AGAAGGGAACGCAACAAGGGAAGGCAACAGATAACTGGCATGGCGCTGATTACCCCGACTCCCGTTTGCCCATTGTCCATTTCCCATTACCAATCATTCATAAGTTAAGTTTTGGCTTTAATTTGTCCATTGATAATCAACCATCAACGTCTATTATCTCCACCCTAAAAATATGTAGTTTACTGAGAAAGTGGTATCCAAATATAATGTTTTTTACTGTTGACCACTTTCTTAAAGGCATTGTTGGTTCAAAGCTTTCGGTCATAGAAGCCGTGCCATTTTTCTCTTGTCAGAGGAGTACACAAAGTATACGTCATCTGGACTAACATTTTTGGTTTAAGTGGCTGGGTTAGATCGCCAACTTTGTGTTCTGGCGATTGGGTGCCTCACTCACAGTGTGGGTTCAAATCCCGGACGGGACTCAACCCAAGAAAGTACGAGAATCTGTACTTAACTCAGAAAGTGTTATCCCAATTATGACATTTGTTGTCAAGAAAACACAATAAATGTATATTCGGCTTTGGATGGGTAATGATATCACAGACATATACGGATATTGATGATGACTTGGAGGAGCTTCGTAACGCACGTCTTCTCAATTCAGGGATTGGTAAATCCAAATATGTGTGTGCGCGTGCGTGCGTGCGTGCGTGCGTGCGTGCGTGCGTGCGTAAATGTGGGCCTGTTAGATGTTACATAAAACATTCATCTTGAGCGGGATGGTAGTTCGAGTTGGATTAGCATGTTAACTATATGATCTTCTTTAGGCAGAGAATGCCGCGCATGAATGTATTGATGAAATTCCTAGGTACATGGGGCCTTTTCGTCCCCAGGAATACCCACAGTGGAGACTTCAATGGGGATAGGGTGTACACAATGTGCTACCTGGTAGATTGTGTGTCATCAGACCGGACAACGTTGGTCTTTGACTGATTGTGGCGTAAAACACACTTATTCATTTTACTTATATCGGAAATTGAATGTTCACCTTAATTGTTATTGTTGAACATGTAATATATTTTTTGAGAAATAAAACAGTGACATAATAACTAAAACTTTATGTGAGCGCGAGTAGTTTTTTTGGAATGAGATGAATAAGTCTTATAAAGTTGTAAGCTTCTTCACAACCGTGTAACTGTGAATTGACTTTATTCGGTAATCAAAAAAGAGATAGGACATAAAATATCCAAATTTCATACGATTTCACTTGTCCACCATCTTGGATGCAAGGCGAAAACATTTCAGCGCTTTTGAAGCCACTGAGAATGCCCCCTGCAGAGTTGGACGAACATTCTGCGGTGGCGCGGCTGAGTTGACCAGAGGCTATCAGCAGTATTTCCTGTCCAGGTTATTTAGGTCAGTTGTTTGTGTGTGTGTGTGTGTGTGTGTGCGTGCGTGCGTGCGTGCGTGCGTGCGTGCGTGCGTGCGTGCGTGTGGGGGGTGCGGGCGGGGGCGGGGGCGTGGGGGTAGGATTGGGGGGGGGTAGATGATAGATTTAGCAACAAGTAAGGTCATCTTGAGTGGAAGGGTATTCGCAGATGGATTAGCATATGAACTATTATGATTCTCTTTAGGCAGAAAATGAGGATCCACGATGTTCGACCTGGTAGAAGTGTGTTATCAAACCTCACAGCATTGGTTTTTTGACTGACTGTAGCGTCAAAACAAACTCATTCATTTACTTGAACTGAATGTTCATCTTAATTGTTATGGATAGTCACGGAGCCTTGATCCAGAGAACAGGGTGTCATTAGATAGAAATAAACTAAGTAATAATAGGATTACCAGAAAAACGGGGTTTTACACACAAGCCAATAAACTTCGCTCATTAACACCAGAGTAAGTCAGTACAAGATTGAAAACTGCCCCATAATTATGTATAACATGCTTGTCGGGTATTGCAACATGTATATGTGAAAACAAAGTTATTAAAATGAAGAGCAAAACTGATGAAAGTTAACAATAAACGTGTATAAGTGTTATATCGTCACTGCAAAAATAATGATTGTTTGTCTTTAGTATTAACATTCAAATACGTTATATCTGTATTAGCGATATTGTCTTTGTTCCACCGGTGAGTCAGCGTTAGCCGTACTATCTCGTAGTATAATTGTATTTCTGAAGACATCACGATACAGTTTTTACGATGCATCACGTCTGCACTAGCGCTTGATAACAGCCTTGTGTTTGGGTGTTTCAGTGGTTTATATCGCTGCTCTTGATATTGTTGATTAAACTTTGATACTATGAACAATATAATGTTATGTGAGAGGTTGACTTTAGAACGGTAACATACTAATAGTATATAGGATGACATAAACAGAACAATGAGAAGTTCGTCCAGATTAGTGTATAGGCAACATTTAATAATTAAAATAATTACATTCAACAACTCCCCTTTTAAGTCCATTTTCCTGACTTATAAGTAAATGCAAGAACAATCGGCCGGAATACAATGCATAGTTCTTGTCCACTTCCATATGACTATATAGCATACAATAAGCTATCGGGTCCCGTTTAGATCGGTTTGGGTGGCAGCCTAGATAGCCATAGAATAGTTTCATCTTGGAATCTCCCATATCACTTGGGATCCTCTTCAATTTAAATGGAGTTACTCGTTACGATTCCGAACCTTCACGTGACTGTGTTTATGAACCATTGTCAAATAGTGGTGACATTAAATCTAGGAAACAATACGCGAAATCGCGCATGCACAGAACGGAAAATTTGGTCAAGGCATTAAGTAATCCGCATGCGCAGAACGATTGATTTCAGTACTTCCGCTAAGCGCTTCGAGTGCAGCGTCAAACGCGGGCCTGTAATCTAACACGCGGGGACTGACCAATGAAATCTGAGAAGTAGAAATACCGGTAGACGCTGTTGCTTGATTGACAATGTCAATCAAGAAAGGGAGGAGCTTAACGCTATCGTTCTCTCCCAGTAAATTCCGATGTCAAATAACGACGTTATTTGGACGGAAAAACGATGGTTTGAAAACGTCCAAATAACGTCGTTTTTCCGTCCAATGACCATATACGGAAAAAAACGACGTTTTCGTGTTTGCAGTGTAACGTCGGCCGAGTACGAACCTCTCGCCGAGAAAGATTTCGAACACATTTCTTTGAAGACAGTTTTCCTTCTGGCCCTTGCAACGGCGGCTCGAGTGAGTGAAATTCACGCTTTAGACGTCAACAGAGTGCGTTACGAACGAACTGCACATGGGAAAGTATTTTTGGGACTACGATGGGATTTCATCGCCAAAAATCAACTCCCTGGTCAACCCGATCGACTATTCAGTATCCCACCGTTGACTGCCCTCTTAAACCCTGACGAAGACATATCGTTGTGTCCGGTACGTGCACTTCGAATCTATCTGGAAGCGGCGAAACCACATCGTCGATTACGTAAGAGGTTATTCATCCCGCTCTCTGCGGCAGCTACTACGGAGGTATCCCGTACCACAAACTCGTTTTGGATACGCTCAGTGATCCTTCGAGCCTACACCTTCGCTGGCCTACCTGCTCCAGTCGCATCTAATCCTCACGAAACCCGTGCTGTCGCTTCCACCATGGCACTTCACAGTAATTGCTCCTTGACCGCAATTATGGAGGGATGTTTTTGGAAATCCGATACCGTGTTTGCTTCCCATTACCTCCGAGACATCTCAGTGACGGACGTTCAAGGCCTTCACCAGTTTGGACCCTTGGTACTCGCACAACAGATCTCAAAGACACACCTGCGCAGATAGGGAGATGTATAACCAGATTTTCATTACATTACACCCATCTCTATTTATAATAAACATTTGTCATGATTATTGGTGTTTATTGTATTCATTCGGGCTTCCCAGACTGAGTATCCGATTGGAGGGTATAATCACTCGTCTGTAGAGATCTTGGTCTTCAACTCGAAGTCGTCATTAGACGCGGCCGATTTCGGTGTCCCGATCCCTAATTTCAAACACCTCTACTTTAGGTATGTGTGTTGAGTAACGGATTGATGATCCTTTTGTGGATATTGTTGATCGTTTCCTCTTCTCGTTTTTTACCCATCGATTCAATCACTGACATGATTGAGGGTTTGACGAAGCGATAAAAGAGATGCCGAGCGGGTCCAACCTATCGTCCTCTGGAGATAGGAATACCGCGTCTTGTAGATTCGACGACTGGATGTATACTCTCTCGAATATAAGTCGTACTCGTTCGTTTTAGACATGCGATTACGCTTGATTACGTTTGAACATGTTACACATGTTGTACCCGACTTATTGTGTTTCAGTTGTTCACGTATCAGGATCTCAACATTCTTTGAGAGTGTTCTTCTTATCCTGTCTACGAGTTGTTGTTTTTTGTTGTCTTACGACACTTAACTGTGTTACTGTATTAAGTATTGTACCACTGTTAAGTTCCAGCTTCCTCGTAAATATCCTACGGTTGTGATCTATAGACAAGGGAGTTGCGCCCCACCATCCAACCGTGGGATAAAATGCATAGTGTGAGATAGGATAAGTTTAAAAATTTGAAATTTTTATTATAAATTGTATATTTATATACTTATCCTATCTCACACGTTATATGCCCACCCGTCCATCCCCACATCGCAATTCCTTAGTCTATATGCTCTTGAAAGAGAATGAGTTGACTGGGATAGACACGTGATCAGTGCAAGAAGGTCAACCAGCATGCATAGCGCGCATGACCCAGATCTGGGAGGTGACCGTGACGATGTGAGGTATGACAGGGTTAATTAACTTTAGAAGCTGGAAACTTTTATTTCAGATACGTTTCCACTCAGAATCGAAAGAAGAAAGAGAGATGCATAGTGTGAGATAGGATAAGTATATAAATATACAATTTATAATAAAATTTTCAATTTACCCAACACAATATCACATGGTCGGTTCTTAACCGTTACTTTTAACCACCATCGTGGCACTTAATGTGCGTTGTACTATTTAAGTCAAGGTTATGAAAAGCTAAAATAGGCCACAGCACAAGTACCACCAGCTGATGTCAGACAGTGTCTGCGTGTCGTTGCAGTGGTAGTGCTTCATGCTGATGCCGATGCCCTTCTTTGGTGATGTTACCGCTGAAGAGATCAGTCCGGCAATACAGGTAACGATGGCAACCCTCCACGTCATGGCGGGGATTTCTGAAAGAAATCCATAAAATTTTCTTCATAAACTGGTTGAAAAATATGTGTTAGATACTTTACCATTTTGGTGAAATCACTGCCATTCGTGTAGTGCCGACAGTCCAGCAGCTATAATCGAGGCGACGTTTGGATTAACTAACGAGCATTAGAGTGAGTGAGTAAGCAAGTATGGTTTCACGCCGCATTTAACAATATTCCAGCTATATCACGGCGGGGGACACCAGAAATGGGCTTCACACATTGTACCCATGTCGGGAATCGAACCCGAGTCTTCGACGTGACGAGCGAATGCTTTAACCACTAGGCTACCCGACCAACCAAACGAGCATTAGATCCTGACACAAACACTAACACCTACAAAAGAACATGTTGAGCACATGGTACAATTTCCCTTGTCAAGTTTCTGAAACAATGGCAAGACACTTCGTGGTAACCTTTGTACTTATTTGGCAGATATTTCGATTTCTGACGTAGTAAAAACGTACATACCACACAGGTAAAAAGGTATTTCTGTTATACTTTATGTGTAAAACTATGTATAATTCAAGGTTAAGCGAAAATAGCGGAATCCGACCGTCGATATTACGTAAACGGAGGAGCAGTTGTTTTTATCATGAAAATGAAAATATCTTCAGGGAGCGATATTATATTAAAGTGAACTGTCCTGGCGCTTAGTAAGAATACTTCTACATTTTTTTTAAAGTATCATTTGATGTGAAACGTTTTAAAAATAGAAAATAAATCGCAAAATACACAACTGCTGATGGGTATATCAGACATCTTATTTTTGAGAATCTATACATTTGCTTTTTTCGGCACAAATTTACAACATTTTAAACATGGTAGGGGTCATGTTGTTGCAAATTCATTTCTTACCCCAGTCTTCACTGAACCATTTTAGTTTAACACAAAAATACCCAGCCACAGATAACTTGTGACAGACTGTTGCAGGACTGAGTGATGGTTAAACAGACAATTAAATTAAATTGGACAACATCAAATCTTTTACTTTTCACTAACATAAAAAAACTCGGTAAACTTTCTTTGGCCCTTCAGTTTATTATTAAAAGGACAATACTTCTAAATGTTTAACGCCGCACTCAGCAATATTCCATCTTTTAGGACGGCAGTAAATAATCGAGTCCAGACCAGACAATCCAGAGACAGGTATCATGAGCATCGGTTCACGTAAATGGGATACGATGACATGCATCAACCAAGTCAGCAAGTCTGACCACTCGTTCCCGTCACTCGCCTCTTACGAGAAGCATGGGTTGCTGAAGACCGGGTATAATACGAAGTGATATTGATGAAAACGATTTTGATAAACGGACAATCCGCCACAACCGAACTATCCATCGACATCACAACAACATCATAAAGTGGTCGATGTTTAGTTCCTCCAGGGAGTGCGATGCGATCGTGTTTTCCGAGACACTGAAGAATTACAGTCAAAACGGGAGAGGATAGCTTACCGTCACCAGATGACTAGAGTTTAACTCTGCTGATGCCTGTTATGTGTGACGCCCTTCAATTTTATCCCCCGTGATATTGCTGCTGAAATATTGGTAAAACCGGCGTAGAACATGATGCTGTTAAACTAATTGTGCAAAAACAAACCTGTCATACTCACAGGGATTTCTCTGTTGTGACATACAGTAAACCGCTAGATCTGGGTTCGGTCTGATCCTGTTGATAATCAGAGACTGCAAGATAGCACATAGACTGTGTCCAGTTTGTTGTTGACTATACATATTCTAAGTCAAGATAGGAAAGGCGGTCACATTCTGAACTGGGACAAAATGGCCGCACCTCCATCCGGGTTATTCAATTGTCTCAGTCCTGACAACAGTGCATGTAAGGCAGTACATTCTAAGACACGCGTTTCAGTGATAACTGATATAAGATCAGGCTTGATTGTGTCTGTATGCTGCTTATCTGCCTCTACGCCAGCCCTGTAAACAGAACAGATGGGTTCCTAGTCCTATCAGTCCTGTAACTCAAACAAGGTAGGCGCTATATTTACTCTGTGTAATATTTGCTCGATCTTGTTAATAAACATTCAGCTGCTCAGAAATGATTATGATTATAATCTATACCCTACGTTTGTTTTTGGACCATATCGAAAGAGTATTTATACGATCAAATAGCTGTTCTCAAAAGACATATATGTGTAAAGGTACCTCAAGACTGGCAGCTTGTCCTTGACACTGTTGCCTTCATCGTAAGAAAAGGTTAGGTGAGATGAGGTATGTGCATGTGCGTGTGCGTGTGCGCGCGCGTGTGTGATCAGACGCTCTCTCCACTAGACCAGGGAGGCAGCCCGTAACAAAAGGACATCAAGCAGCGATCACTACGGTGAGGTGAAATAGGGTTTAAGGTCGCGTTCAAGATTATTGCTCTTCTATAGCGACGTATACCCCACTCAGACACAGTATACTGACCCGAGCCGACCAGTCCTTGTTTTAGCCCCTAAATACTGAGGGCCAGCGCCAAACAGGGTAACAACAACTACCATCTTTTAACGTCTTATGGTATGACGCGGACGGGGATGAAACCGTTAACCTTCCGCTCTCCGGGCGGACGCTAGACCACTGAGGCGGTCGATTTACTACGGATCATATATAGACTGTTAATTTCTCAGAGGGACGTGCGGGCCAGTGGGGTAAATGGGTTAAAGACCGTTTTACTTGTAATTCAGTTATATCACGGCGTGTCAGTTTTATATAAAACCCGAAACACAGCTGGTCACATACGTCTATCACGATGGAGAAACCTATGAACTCGGGTATGGTGCCGTTAAACCATTGATTATATTGCGGGTGAATCAGTCATTCGAATCTGCGGATCCTGGCATGTCTCATGGACGCAACTTTGCATAGCGAAAAGCAGAGCCTTAGGCCACCGGGCGGCCCGCGAGCCAGGCCTGAGAGTGGTGTGGGAGGGGGAACATTCAGGGGTGGGGTTATACGTTCAGAAGACTCGTATAATGGATTAGGAGCCTGCGACAACCTGTGTAACATAAACAAATCTGGGCTTTCCTGCTTTCACTTGGGGACGTGACAGGTAGGAAAAGACCTGAAAATACTATGATGGTGGGTAGACAGTCATAAAAGTTAAGTATGCCTTGTTGTTTTAGATAGCAGAACGAAGAAGAGATGTTGTTGCTTCTTTGTGTGTGGCTGTTGGGGACGTCCCTGCTGGTGGCGGGTACTCCGAAGAAAGGGGTGTGTTTGTACATGAAGGCGTACCACTGCAACGATACACAGGCCCTCCGTGACGTCAGCTGGTGGTAGGTCAGGACCATCTGGTGGCCATCTTGGTCAAATATACCATAAGTGAGTGTGTATAGATTAAGGCCGCATTGGTCGCAATTTCAGCTATATTGCGGCAGCCAGTTTAATAGTAAAGCTGAACCAGTCATTGACAACGTCCTACCCGTCGGGTACAATGCCACGCAATCAACCCATTAGAAGAACCTGATCCAATGGTCCAATTTAGTCGCCTCTTGTAATTGTGTCCCGACTGATCGGAGCTACTGAGGTCTATACTAATGAGCGTATAATATATCTACTGCCATCTCGTGAAAATATAAAACGTCAACGCCAGAGAAACACTAAGTCTCTATCTACTATCTACTGACCATCACCTGTAAACGATCTACTAAACATCAAGTGTAAACTGATCATCTTCCTGCTACAGGTATGACTGGGGCATGGATCACAACAAGCATCATGAGCTTGGCTGTCAGGGTCAGCCCCGGGGGGAGTTCGTGCCCATGGTCTGGGGCTACTGGGGTCAGAAGATGAACTTCCCAAGCTCCTCCCACCACGTTCTTGGCTTCAACGAACCCAACCACAGAGACCAGTCCCACATGACCCCTCAAGCTGCTGCCTCGCACTGGCGGGAGCTCCAATCAGGGGCCCACGGTATGTCCTTGGTCAGCCCGGCTCCTGCTCGATGTGGCAGTGTTGGAGGACTATGTACAGAGGAAACCTACAAATGGCTAGATGACTTCTTCAAAGCTTGCAGCAGCTGTCAGGTCGACTTCGTGGGGGTCCACAGCTACACTTGCAGCGCTGACAACGACATGAGGTTCCTGGAAACCGTGTTCCATCGGTACCACAAGAAGGTCTGGCTCACAGAGTTTGCATGTCCCTATTCCTCCTCCCTATCCCATATTGAAAACTACATGAAAGCAATCATCCCTCGACTTGAGGCTGCTCCGTTTGTGGCCCGCTATGCGTGGTTCCAGGCTCGGATAACGCACGGTGATAACTTCATCCACAAGGAGAACAGTCTTCTGGAAGCTGACTCTTCCAAGCTAACACCCCTTGGGAGATTGTATAATTCTCTTCATTAAGGATTTAATTAAATTGTGTACAATCTGTTATTGTTTTACTTTTTATGTAATTATTACAATAATTATAGGCCTATAAATACAAATGTTAATTCACTTGATTGATTGCATTAAGTATCGATACAAAGTTGGTAAATTGTTTCAGCATCAGTTCACCTGATGTTTTCTGCAATATTTTACTAAATGTGACAGTTCAGGAGAAACAACGGGAGTTGCCGCACAACAAACATGACCAAATCATGTTCCTTTCACCACACATTCATACATGCATGACAGGCCATGTGGAGGGGAAAACTTAAATGTTCTTCATAAATGACCACTGCATGGGATATGTCATAATGACACACCCTCAGAAGACCAGGGTTAGAAGTGGTCTTAAGCAACCAACGCGTGTCATACGAGGCAGCTAACGGTATCACGTGTTGATGCCTACGGAAGTTGTTGATTAATGTCATTGTAAACCAATTATGTAGATCGACATACATACAGACGATGACATACAGCTTGAATATTGAGTTCGGCATTACACAAGCAAAAAAACACAAATCATAACGGCACATTGAGAAATGAGCAGTCGGACAATAATTTCAATATGGCTCATACTATTTGTCCTCCGTCCTTGGAAACACTTAACTCATATCAAAGGGTGGACTTCAAGAGAGGGATACAAAACTAGATCCCTTGTGCTGACTTCACTGGTGTCATCGAGCTGGTATCATCACAAATAATTTTAAGGGGTCCATTCATATAATTACCACCACTATGTTGACTTTTACGCTCAACGGACGCGGTATTTGACTAATATTCTCTGACGTTTTATGTTAACTTGAAATGGGCCGATGTTTCTGTTTGTGGACTGAAGTCCCCGATTTTCATCATTTATGCCGAGCCTACAACCAGAAGAAATGTTTGGGCCGTGACATTTAACTATCCTGCCCTTATCATTTCTTTTGGACGAATCGGGTAGGAATATGTATATGTTTCAGACAAGTATGTGTGTATGTGGATCAGAAAAATTATGCTTACGAGTAACCCAGACTTCTGATTGTAAACGAGTCCTCGTTTGAGTGAGTGAGTATAGTTTCACGCCGCTTTTAGCAATATTTCAGCAATATCAAGGCGGGGGACACCAGAAATGGGCTTCACACATTGTACCCAAGTGGGAATTGAACCCGGGTCTTCGGCGTGACGAGCGAAAGCTTTAACCACTAGGCTACCCGACCGCCCCTTCCCCGTTTGAACAAGTCGAGAAACGTCCTGACATAATAGCCAACCAGTCATCATTGTAATGATTTATTGGAAAAGGTTAATCATTTCAGATCAAATATCTTAAATTACATTACAACCATTTGGACTCAGATGATTTAGTGAAGAGTATTATACAGCCTTCCCAGCGCCGTCAGCTTAGCAGAGCTGTCTTCATGCAACGCGTTGACTTTGTGGATGAACGAGCCGTCTTTGACAATACGGTTCCCAAACCAGGCATAGCGAGCCACAAACGGAGCACTTTCTAATCTTGGTATAAGCCTTTTCATGTAATTCTCAACATGGGTGAGAGAAGTTGTGTAGGGACAAGCAAACTCCGTCAACCAGACCTGTTTCTTGTAACGGTTGTGGACTGTCTCCAGGAACCGCATGTCATTGTCGGCGCCGCAGGTGTAGCTGTGAACGGCAACGTAGTCGACTTTACAGCCTGCGCATTCTTTGAAAAACTCGTCCAGCCAATCAAATGGATCCATGACACAGTTGGAGTTGTTGCCATGGACTTTACATCGGGCTGGAGCGGGGCTGATAAGGGATTTGCCCATGGCAACAGACTCCAATTGATGCCAGTGGGAGGCGGCTGCTTTGGGCGTCATGTGGGCTTGGTGCCTCGCGTTGGGTTCGTTGAAACCGAGGACATGGCGTGCGGAGCTGGGTAGGTTAACATTGGCGACATGACCTCCTCCCCAGAACATGGGTACAAACTCCCCTCTGGCAGGGCACCCCATCTCATGGAGCTTGTTGTCACTCGTTCCCCAGCTATACCTGGTGTAGAGAGGTCACGATTGATAGGTCAGGTAACAAATGTTCGGAAACAGTATAGGTTGCTAGTCTAGTCCTACATACGGTTTGGTAAACGGCCTGACCGTTTAATAACTTTGTTTGAGACAGAATAGTTTGGGGCACAGCTTCAAATATGTACAATCTTCCCTCAAAACCCACAATACACTATTTTCCAGAAAGCAATCTTATCTTTTTTTGAGCAGCGTATATCAAATGGCCGGCCTCATACATTTTTGACAGAAAATCCGAATAAATAGGTTAAATGGGAAAGTCAAATTCAGTAACATCAATCTACTATCTGACGCCCTTTGGCATCATGTTTGCCGCGACAGAACACACACATAAGTCTGTAATTAAGAATTAAACGTTGCAAGGAGTCGTGTCATTTTTCCTAGAAGGACACTTTGGATAATGCTTACATTGTATCCGCATTGGAAAATTTTATTGTATCGTATTAAATTCATAAATACGTATTTAAGAGCTAAAAAGCGTGATTTAATACCAATCGTTATTGATTATGAATGATTTGTTTGTTAGTTGTTTAACACTGCACTCAGTAAAATTTCAACTATGTAACGTCGGTCTGCAAATTATCGAGTCTGGACCAGTCAAGCCAATGATTGATGTCATATATACGCTTCGAACCAAGACAGCGAGCCTGACCACCCGATCACGTTAGTGTTGTGGCCTCTTACGGCAAGCATGGGGTTTTGAAGGCTCATTCTAACCCGTATCTTCACCTACATGTTCGTCGTTTTGGCCAGTACCCGGTAAGATGTACATGATGATGTATATATACAAACGTTACGTGACGCAAACACACGTACCACCAGCTGATGTCTGACAGTGTCTGGGTGTCGTTGCAGGTCGGGTGCTTCGTGGTGAAAGCTGTGCCTTTCTTTGGTGTTGTTACCACAGAAGTGATCAATACGGCGAAGCAGGTCACGCTGGCAAACCCCCACATCATGGCGGCGATTTCTGAAAGAAATCCAAGAAATATTGTTGGTTTAATGAAATTGAAATTTAAGGAGTGAGCACTACTTCTTAATTAGCAAAGAAGGCGAAACACTTACAACTGAATATGATTGTCAGGCAGAGAGCCATTGTAACCTGTTTTGTTTCGAGTTTGTATGTACTTGGCACATATTGCGGTTACTGATATACAACCATGAAAAGGTCAGGGACTTCATAGGATGGTCGTCTCTGAAACACGAACTAGATATCTGTGCACACGACCAGAGATAAAATCCGAGTTTTTTTAGAAGATCACGTGACAGTCCGTTCCAAGAATATTCTTCCTTCAACACGGAGTTCGTGTAATGTAGATACTATTTCCGAAATAATCTGATTTTATTTATCAAGAAAGAACGTGCAACACACTCAAATACAAAAACACCAATTATTGATGACAAAGCCTGTTGGGATAATTTACAAAGATGATGAAAATAGGAAGTCCAACGCAAAAGGAAAAAAATGACTCAATGATACTAATCAACAAACAAACAACAGTGAGTGAGTGAGTGAGTGAGTTGGGTTTAACGCCGCTTTTAACAGTATTCCAGTTATATCGCGGCGTGTCAGCTTAATATGGGAGGAAAGCCCGAAGTGATGCAGGTCTCAGACGTTTACCACTTAGGTGAAACCCACGAGCACGGGTATGGTGCTGACAAACCTAGCAACATAATCGGGGCGAATCGGGATCCGAACCCACAATCATAGGTTTCTGGCATGCCCTAGGAACGCAACTCTGCACAGCGAATCGCGGCGCCTTAGACGACTGGGCCACCCGTGCCCCCCAAACAAACAACAAATTACAGTGGAACGACATCATGTTGGAGGGTAAAACCGTAACTATCCTTCCGTACACCCCAACTTTTCGCCAACCACAATGGCCACTCTTTAACCCAAACAACTTCTTTTAGAGGCATTTAGAAGATGGAGTACTGAGTAAGAATAGGATATTTGGTTTTAGAACCTACACCGAAACCTAATTGTAATAAAGAAGTTGTTCATCCAAATATCTTATCCTTACTTTTTACCCAAATGGTCTGTGTTTTTGTAGCTCCAGGAAATGTGGCGAGATTGTGTTTAATGGGGCCGCTGAAGGAGTACTCGCATACTAGGGCGAGGGAAAACCAAGTGGTCAAACCGTTCACTCGTGGCCAGAAGGGCTAGGTTAAATTCCTATAAAGTGTAACGCCAATCCATCATAAATCATTTGCTGAAATCAGCGTTAATCTCAACGCTGTCAAATAATGGTAAGAAAACAGAAACATGTTATACTCACGAAGAAAACTGTCTTCTGACACTCAGTGTAACACTATATCTTGTTTTGTTCCAACTGATAGTCACGTGAGATTACAACACAGCACATATGCTAGACTGCGCCCAGTTTGTATTTGCGTTTTATTTATATTCTAAGGCAAGATGTCTTTGCAATCAAGGGGTCTATTTCGGTCCTCTGGTGCAAAATGACCACACCTGCTTCCGCGTCGTACAACTACATCCGACCACGATACATGCACACAACAGATGTGGTAATTGTTGTCGCATTTATACAGTACATTCCTGACACACGTTTAAAGTTCCTGATATGATATGATATGATTCGAATACCGATGTGCAAACTTTTTGTAAGAATCCGCTACGCGGATTCATACAGTTTGCACATCGGTTTTTCGATTCATACCTCGATGAACCGAAAAAAATACACAGTCAATCCTTAAATTGAACATTTTTTCTCATGAACAGACAACACAGGCAACATATATATTCCCTTAATAGCATTATGTCCATATTTGCAATATTCCCGATTATTACATATCAGATAATAATCATACATATAAAACACACAATATGCATTTAGATTGAAATAGTGCACAGCCAGGCCATAACACTGAAATCTAACAGTGTTTTATGAACCCATTCATAACATTCATGCTCATGAATCACTAACCATTTACAATATCACAGATATTAGATACTATAAGTTACTTAGTGCTATCAGTAAGTTTAGAAAGTAATATTAATAATATTAACTAACCTAGTAACTTGTACTGTGGTGCAGAGCAGTGCAGTGATAGTGACAAATGGTCAGAGGTGTTAAGGTGGCTGCTGACATAGATATTTAAAATCACTAATCAAGACAGAGAACTAGCCTTCAGCCCTTTGATGATCAAGACAGTTAAAACAATTATACTTAAATGGAAATACCTGATATGAGAGTAATATACCTGAGATAGAGATAGATGCCATTCCGCTGGAGGAAGTCTCTTGTTGCTCTCGCAGTGTGGGCACGGGCGTTATCATGCTGAAACTCGTGGTTGCGGCTACGTGCCAAATGAGGTATGGCGTGTGGTCTCAAGACTTGATCAGTGTACCGAGCTGCTGTGACACCATTTCCTCTCCCTGGACCGATGTTCTTGAAGACCACAGGGTCGACCCTCTGTGCAAGACCAATTCCACCCTAAACCATGATGCTCGGACCACCCCACGAGTCTCTCTCAACAACACACGCATCCGAATAACGTTCCCCAAGGCGTCGCCAGAATCTCTCTCTCTCTCTCTGTCATCTGCTTTTGAGATACAGTAACGTCTCTCGTCTGAGAAGAGGACCCTTCTCCACTGCTGGTGGCGCCAATGCTGGTGCTGCGTAGCCCACTGTGCCCGGTGTCAGAATGGGTCCTCGGTATGGCCTGTGACAGTGGAGGTGTCTGCTCGTCAATCGTCGACGCACGGTGTCCGCACTAATGTGTCGCTGGTGTGTCCCCATGGTCTCTCGAGCAGTTTCCGCAGCAATAACAAAGCGATCTTGAAGATGCTGTCGCACAATCTGACGATCCTGACGTCGGGTGGTGACCCTTGGTCTTCCACTACGTGGTCGGTCATCTGTAGTGTTGGTGGTCTGGTACCGTTGCTGGAGTCTGTATATGGTCCTTACGTGGACTTGAAATGCATTGGCAACTTGCCGGGCGGTTTGTCCAGCTTGCAATCGTCCAAAGGCTTGGTGTCGCTGATTTCTTGTCAATCTTGGCATGTGGTAGCAATTCAATAACGAATGAATGTTATCCGATATGGGTGGATTTTTATAGGGCAAGAAATTGGGGGACGCATGTGCATTTAAATTTGCACGGAACTCACGTGCATCGAGTTACCATGGCCGTTGTCGTGATGCGTTTGGGCGATCGGTTTTATTGTCATCTGCTTTGTTTTTTTTATCATCAAATTTCATTTTTCCGGACAAGGTCATGTTAAATTTTTAAAAACTTTGACAAAAATTACACAGATATTTAAATGACAACCTTTCATGCAATGTTACTTGGGGTGACGTTTCCTTTTCGGTTCAGTATATATATAGTATACGTTTTGCCATTTTGCCTTGGACGAAAACACCTGTCGGGCTATTGTTATAGGGATAGAATCAATTATTTTTGACAATTGTGTGTGTATGTATATAATTGTGTGTTGACTATAAAATATCGATCAGTAACAAGTCTGCCTGACGGCACAGACTCGTCTTTACACGTGAATAGTATTCACACTGAAAAGTCTGCATTAACTGTTTTAACATGTATGACAACACAGTCCGAGATGGAGATGAGTTGTGCCTGTTCCGTATTACGAGGTCTAAACGTTACAACTCGCTGTGAAGTATTGCGTCCCCTTTGGTTTCAGGATCAGGTTTTTTGCGAGTCTGCCTGAACCATAGCCGTGCTCGTTGGCTACATGTCTTATAGTCTTCAACGTCCTGTGATAAGAACATTGGCTAGCCAAAGAAACAGGATTGTCGTCACAGGTGCAGATGGCCAGTGGTCTGCCGATCAAATGGACATGGTCAAGTTCACTGAATACAATGATGGTATCACCTATGTTCTTGTGGTAATTCATGTGCTTTCCGAATATATGTGGACCGCCTCCGTGGTCTAGTGGTAGAGCGTCCGCCCGGAGAGCGGTAGGTCCGGGGTTCGATCACCGGCCGCGTCATACCAAAAGTTGTAATAACAAGTACCATCTTTTAACGTCTTTTGGTATGACGCGGCCGGGGATCGAACCTCCGCTCTCCGGGCGGACGTTCTACCACTAGACCACGGAGGCGGTCCCATGTTAGATGAAAAACAAAAATCCAGGTAGCTCCGTCCGAAGAGTCCTGGGTGTTTCTCCCGTGAACACAACAGTGGAACTGAACGCAAGCCCACGAGTAAAATGATGGCAAATATACATAATCTTGTGGGTAGTGTGTTTCATTTCAGTCTACATGATTCAGTTAATTATATACAATTTGCTTTTGAATATAACCAGGGATAGACCAGTCAGGAAAGGTGGAACATTAATATCACAGGTTATTGTGGATCCGCTTTAATTAATCACACAACATATTATTAGAACTGGATATTACTTAGTGTGTGATCTAAAACGGGTTCATTTTAGTAACGTACACAATAGTCAATTTAATTATAATGAACAGGCGATGCTGCAGCGTGGCGTCGACGATAACTATGATAGCCTCAATTGCCATGTGACAATGGACGACAATTCGATATTTCTAAAATTCGCGTGCATACAACATATAGTTCCAGAAATAAAATGATCTTATTTAAACATACATATCTACAAAATATTAAATAAAATCCAAATGGAGCCCATAACAATGCTTACTTTTCGAGCTGAGGCAATTTAGATACCAAATCATTCTGAACTTGAGTTGGGTTTATTTCTCTATTTATTCCGTAGGGTGTTGGAGACAGACCATATCGCATGACGAACTGAATATATGGAAGGGAGAAATCGGCTTGGGACTGCCTGGGCCAGTGTAATCGGATATGTTGCTGAGTCTCGGGTTTGGTATTTTGGTAAGGGCGGTGTGGTAGCCTTGTGGTTAAAGCGTTCGCTCGTCACGCCGAAGGCCCGGATTCGATTCCCCACTTGGGTACAATGTGTAAAGCCCTTTTCTGGTGTCCCCTGCCTTGATATTGCTTGTATATTGCTAAAGGCGCCATAAAACCATACTCACTCACTTACCTGCTTGTAGAAAACATCTGATTGGAAATATACAACAACACTACTGAAGCGTATGTCTGATGAATTCTTTGATATGCATTACTAAGAAGCTGGCGGATGACAAAGTAGACACAATTCATGGATAACAACTTCTTTAATACTGTAAAGGCGACGTTTCGGTAGAGATTCTTCTTATGCCTCAAAGTGAGATTGACCAATCAGAGACTACTGACTTCACATGAGCCGGTAACCGTCAGTAGAAATCCAAGATGGTTGATACTGACCTAATATGAGACCGTATACCGTCAGTAACACCCACCTCACATATTTCACATGAAAATTCTAATTAATATCATTAATTTTGATGTGCAAGGACGTTTATGTTTTTGGATCATGTTCGTGACTTTATTAACATTATATAAACTTAAAATTGTCAACACGGTTAGGCCTCTGAGGTTTGAAGAGTAGTCTCCCTTTGACCCCTAACGTCTTAGGTTGTAAGTGTTAAGTTTTGAGTTTTAAGTTTTGACATGACATGTGCGACAAAGATACCAAATAGTGTAAACCTTTCGGTATGTTATCCCACTCATGTATGCAATTGTTGTTACTGTTCATCTTCCACCTTCTATATATATTCTGTACAATATTCCTCATTCAGTCTTGCTTGACAACGGTATAAGGATCTATACCGACACGTCGCCTTTACAGTTTTAAAGAAGTTGTTATCCTTAAATTCTGTCTACTTCGTATTTCTGATGAATAGAACCACCCAACAAACATTTCCGTCTAAAACACTGCCCCTTACAGGAATTCGAATAATTATTTTACACTATGCATGGTTTAAATGTTGACAATTTTGTATTTCAAAGGATGGCAAAATAAAATATAACACAGTATATCTTTCTACATTTCGAAATAATGCTCATTATCTGCAATGAAAGTAACACTAGATGGAGATACAACAATGGGGTCCACTACTAATGCAACAACATCAAAGGGCGCGGATAATAACTTTTAGAATACAACCATTGCAACACATTTTCCTTGGTTTAAACCACGGGAGAGAGAGTTTGTTTAGCACCCCTTCAACAGTAATTAAGTTATATCACGGCACGGCAGCTTAATGTGGTAGGAAGGCCAAAAGTGATGCAGGTCTTTGATGAAACCCACGAAGTCGGGTATAACAGTGACAAACCAAGTAACAGGTTTCTGGCACGCCTAAGGAACGCAGCTCCGCTAAACGAGATTCTGCGCCTTAGACGACTGAGACAGCGTGAACCCTTCCGAAGACAGATTAAGTGAATTTACCAGTGTTACCAGAATTGTACCAACGTTGGGGTGTATTCTGTGAAAAAGGCTTCCCGCTATTAAATTTTAGTAATTTTTTTTCGAGCTAGTTTGTTTTATTTTAGCTATGGGGCGCACGGGTGGCCCAGTCGTCTAAGGCGCCGCGATTCGCTGTGCAGAGTTCCGTCCCTTGGGCACGCCGGAAACCTATGATTGTGGGTTCAAATCCCGGTTCGCCCCGATTATGTTTCTAGGTTTGTCAGCACAATACCCGTACTCGTGGGTTTCACCGAAGTGGTAAACGTCTGAGACCTGCATCACTTCGGGCTTTCCTCCCACATTAAGCTGACACGCCGCGATATAACTGCATGAGTTAAAAGCGGCGTTAAAGGTGAAATGCAGAAACATGTCATTGCTTAGGTTGTCTTTGTTCTTGCCAGGAAATTAAGAGAAATATGGCACTTCTTATCACAAAATGACGTGATGAGAGACAAAACAAAATGAATACGTCTGCAGAGCCATTGACTTTATGTCGTTCAAGCTCTTAAAAGTTCTTGACAGCTGTGCTCTTACACCTGGAAAAAAAGTGAAACACAACTCTTTAGTCTCATATATTCCGAGCTTCAATGTACTTTTCGGAAATAAATACATATATAACATTAACCTCCTTTTCATAAATGTCCAAGATACTTTCCTTCGCATATCGATGGTAAGTGCAATAACACTCTATGTTCCTAGGGTTGACCACAAGGACTGAGTCGCATCATACGAGCGAGTGAGTTAGTATGGCTTTACGTCACCTTTATTTCCAAAATATAGTGAGTGAGTGAATATGGTTTTACGCGGCTTTAAGCAATATTCCAGCAATATCACGACGGGGGACACCAGAAATGGGCTTCACACATTGTACCCATGTCAGGAATCGAACCCGGGTCTTCGGCGTGACGAGCGAACGCTTCACCACAAGGCTACCCGACCGCCCCTCCAAAATATATGTCATATAATAAGTTTATAATGTAAGGTGTTGACGCACAAATAGTCACGTCCTCTGGGAAAATCTGAGGTCTTTTGCGGGAGTAACATACTTCTTTGTGTCTTTGTGTCTTTGTGGCTGTTGAAGAATATATAGCCACATTTAGCAATACTCCAGCAATATATCGACGTGGAACACCACAAACGGGTTTCACACATTGTGCCCATGTGGGAATCGAACCCGGGTCTTCAGCATCACGGACGAACGCTTTAACCACTGGACTACCCCCACCGCCTACGCATCATAAGAAGCGAAGAAGAAGAAGAAGCACTAGAAGGGGGAGTAGTCGATTAACTATTGCCACAGAATAGTTACAAAATATGTCATTATCTAACTGATTTCGGTTTCTTAAGTAGGAAGCCCCCTTGTAAACAACACGAAATGTGTCTTTTCGGAAAATAAATATAGGTTACCATTTATAAAAATGTTATTATATTTCGAAATATATAGTTAGGAGTTAATTACTTAATTACTTTTCCAGATGGGTGTATATCTCTTTCAGTGCCACGTGTGTGTGTCCACTGACCATGTCGAATACTTTTACCTAACGCAGCTGGTTATCAAGATGCTTATCGGAAGCTTATTCAATCCGTGGCGCTATTTTCATATCAATCTCCAGAGTGATCCCTCGGTCCTGTGCGTAATTAGTGACGGGCTTCCAGCGTTAACCATCATCTGTTGCTTATAATAATCTCCCGAATGCTGCCTTTAGTTCATCATTGCAGTGACAGATGTGCGTCTACATCTACGTGTTTTATACACAGGTCCAGTGGTGGTAGGTAACCTTCATCATTTTTATTGTATAAACTGCAATCGAAATAACTTATTCAGGTGCTCCTCATGGCTTAATATGCTTGTTCAGCAGTACCATACTGAAAGACATATTCTGACTGTCCCCCATCTCTATGTTGTATCTTTCAATGCATCAGTGCTGAGCCAATAATCTGAGGCTCAACAGAACAAGAAGACTTTGATCCAGAGGATCAACACAGGGCGTGGAAATTTTGTAGCACACCTACCTTTAGATGCGCGTACCTATACTGTCATAATAAGCACGTACACTACTGCCCAGAAGTTCATTCCCCTTACACGCGTTGAGAACGCGTGTAACACGCATGTGACACGGGTGCTCAACGAGTTGTACACGGGTTGAGCACTCGTTGAGCATGGGTGTGCACCGAGTGTGGCTGCGTCACTTGATCAAAATAATGAAAAAGACTTTTGGAAAAAATTGGAAAAATCGGACTAGCTGATGATAAAAATGGCCAAGTTCCTTTTGGAGTCACTGATGAAGTCACTGAAACATCCGATAAGTCTTATTCTGCTTGGGTATGTCTTTTGATGTTGCTATGAAACTGTATGAAAGTCTTGTTGTGCCGGTAATGTTTTATGGATCTAGTACATGGGGATTGAACGTCTACAGAGAAGTTAATCTGATCCAAAATAGCGCCTGTAAATTCTTTCTTGGTGTTAGTAAACGTATCTCCAATATAGCCGCTAATGGAGACATGGGTCTCTCCTCCCCGTTTGTTAAATTACCTGTAAATGTTTTTAGACTGTACACAGGGCGTGGAAAGTTTGTGGTATACCTACCTTTAGATACCTATACTGTCACAATAAGCACATAGATATGTAGCCCGGAGAAAACAGTAGATTTGCCTGTTATACTTTCAGAATTAGGCATATGACACATTTGAGTTTAAATGCTTATATAATGTTAAAAATAGCAAACAAACAAAATGAAAACATAACTAATAATATATTTTCACAACTTTCTGAAACATTTGCTTTTGTTATCAAGAAACAAGAGGTATTAAATTGACACATAATGGCAGTATACATGATAACTGTTTATTTATGTATCTGAATGGAATGGCATCAAACCTCCTTTGTTGGCACATCAAATGTTAGCAACATGTGTTGCATATTGTCTAGAATTGAACGGCAAAATATGGCAGCGACACAATGGCTGTACGGAATGGCATACAAATGGTTTGTACATCTACATTGGTAATTATATTATTATCTTTTGAAATAAGAGGTATATTGTTGTAATACAATTTTATAATTAACTAGATCTATGGAGAAATTAGGATATTGATAAAACTGAAACCTACAACGTTGTGAGTGCATACTTTTTATACTTCTCTACGAGAGTAACCTGACGAATGCTTAGCGTACTGTATGTTAACTGCTGTTATTTACGCTGTACGAAAGTGTTCATACCTTGGTACACGGAAGGGGCGGTCGGGTAGCCTAGTGGTTAAAGCGTTCGCGCGTCACGCCGAAGACCCGGGTTCGATTCCCGACATGGGTACAATGCGTGAAGCCCATTTCTGGTGTCCCCGCCGTGATATTGCTGGAATATTGCTAAAAGCGGCGTAAAACCATACTCACTCACTCACTGGTACACGGAAACTGGGTCAACGTTTCCCACGTTCCCATGACAGTGCTTGTCTCCCTTTGATCATTGACCCCCACTAGACAAACGTGTTTCGTGTCAAATTTACAGTTATGAATGATTAAAAACATATTTTGATAAAGACTCGTGCATTTTATATGTACACATACCCTAATACATGTATGAGACAAAGATATGGTTTATTCTAAAACAATATTTAAATCTATATTGCAATTAGTCATATCACAGAGGCGTGTTCCCTTTCTTCATTGAGACTGTCAAACACAAACGTGTTGAGTGTAATAACTTACAGTTGAGAATGTTTTAAAACATGTTTTATAATTATTTATGTATTTCATATGTTCACATATCATAATACATGTGCGAAATAAAGATAAGGTTTTTAAGTTTGATTACATATTTCCACTTATCACTCATCTCCACGTAACTTTCTCAAACAAAAATAAATCTTGTAAGAAATCTCCGTGAATGTTAATTGAAACTGACCACCTCCTACAATTGACAGGTCACCCCCATTCAAGAACCAGAATCGTATTTAAATATATATAACGCCAACAATGGTACAACATGAGAAAGTTCAAATATGAAACATCAACGCCAGAGAATAACCAGTCTCGAATATCCAACGAAACAGATTCCATTTAGCGCCAAATGTAAACTAGTGAGTGAGTTGGATTTAACGCCGCTTTTAACAGTATTACAGTCATATCGCGGCGTGTCAGCTTAATGTGGGAGGAAAGCCCGAAGTGATACAGGTCTCAGACGTTTACCACTTCGGTGAAAACCACGAGCACCGGTATGGTGCTGACAAACCTAGAAACATAATATGGGCGAACCGGGATTCGAACCCACAATCATAGGTTTCTGGCGTGCCCAAGGGACGCAACTCTGCACAGCGAATCGCGGCGCATTAGTCGACTGGACCACCCGTGTCCCAAAAAAGTTAATTAGCTTTGAAAATTACATGAATGGATCACTGAAAACCAGTGGTGACACGCAGAAAGGACAAAATAATATGAATATACATGATATGATTATTTGGCAACAAAGATAACTTGATCGGACCTTGCTTCATAGCTTGAATTACTCAACCATGAAGCATGCCTTATTGTTTCAGTATTTTGTTGTGTTAACGGATAATATCTTTCATGTACTTATCATAATTTTGCCAGTTAATGGGGGGAGGGAGGGGGTACTGATCTCTCACAATTCTCCGGAACGGGATGTTGCCTTTGTTCTTGTTTTTCCCCTTGGATACCCGGATGGTATCCTAGAAATACGACCTCTGCCGCGCCGACCGTAAGGGTATTTTGTCGCTTTTATTGATAGTAAGGACGTGTCGTCACGTTGATCAACAAAAATGAAATACAATTTTGTCTGGGCATTAATTAGGACATATAGGCCTCTTCCGCGATTGCATCAGTTATGGTGACAAAATGTTGAAATGACACTTGCTTGGCATTCTGTGAATTTCTTTGACATTATTTTGACTAATAACACAAACTTATGAAGTTTAACTGAGCACTGCTTATCATATCGCCTGTCTTTATTACAGTCAATGTGTAAAATGACTGAAATATTCACTTAGGCAATTTGGAAAATGCCCAGATATTTCAGTTATTTCGGGGCGGTCGGGTAGCCTAGTGGTTAAAGCGATCGCTCGTCACGCCGAAGACCCGGGTTCGATTCCCGACATGGGTACAATGTGTGAAGCCCATTTCAGGTGTCCCCCGCCGTGATATTGCTGGAATATTGCTAAAAGCGGCGTAAAACCATACTCACTCACTCAGTTATTTCACAAATTAACTGAAAAAACTGTCCATTTATTTTATGATAACGAATTCCAAACATTGTGATGTTGATTTCATCACCCAGTGACGGAAAATGATAGGATTATAAGGTTATATATGTCTATCAATAATATAATATCAGTCAGTTACCTTGTTCGAGGAATGTATCTGCAGCTGTACAATGAAACGTGTTCGATGTCAAGAGCCTTTGTAACAATCTAATATTTTAAAAGAAATATCGCGTTTGTGGATATTATTACTCGCGTTCGTTTCTCGACTGACAACATACGTTTTTTGCAAGTGTTTCACATAGGTGGTAAGTCTCAATGGTCCTAAGATAGCATACGTGACAACTATTTTCATGATGTCCAAGGTTATTAAAAATAATTCCATTGAATAAGAGAACAGTAAGCAAGCAAGCAACGTATTATTGGCTCATCCTTTGAACAAAGTATACTCTTCAAAAAAAAGAAATGCAAAGTCAGATTTGTGTGAGGTAGGAAAATACATTTATACGAGGAACCGTACAAGGTATTGAGCCAAAATGTTGTGGAGAGAACACTTGGTAATTGTAGTCATCTCAATTATCGGTACATAGGAAAAGTCCATGATGGAGATCAGCTACCATCAATAACGCGCATGTTCGATGGAATCGATAACGGCCTGACATCTCCTGCCCATGGAAGAGACGAGAATGCGAATCACATCCTGGGGAATGGTACCCCACTCGGCCTGCAACGCAAAAGCCAACTGCTGCAACGTCTGGGGTTGTGGTTGACGTCGGCATAGCCGTTCATCCAATTCATCCCACAGGTGCTTTATCGGGTTCAAATCCGAGGTGCTGGAGGGCCAGAGGAGAACATCAACGTTGTTGCTGTGTAGACATGCTCTTGTTATCCGTGCTGTATTGCGGTCGAGCGTTGTCCTGCTGGAATACACCATTGCCGTTGGCTGCAATTTGGAGGACGTGTGGTAGGAGAAATTCGTTGATGTATCGTTGGTTGCCCTGGGTATGGACCAAACCTGTCCTGCCATGATGAGAGATAGCCGACCACATCATAAAGTTACCCCCACCAAACCTGTCCACTTCCTGTACACAGTTTCCGGTGTAACGTTTTCCCCGACGTCTGTAGACCCGTGCTCTTCGATCCCCTCGATGGAGGAGAAATCATGATTCGTCGCTAAACCAGACATCTCTCTATCGCATTTGAGGCCATACCCTCTGTTGACGACACCAATGCAGTCGTTGTTGACGATGTTGTCAACTCAATATGACGCATCGAACAGGACGTCTTGCTCGTAGATCTGCTGCTCTTAAATGGTTTCCTACGGTCTGGTCAGAGATTCTGCGCAGTATTTTTGATGCGGTTGAGTTGGCTGTGGTTGTCCTTTCACGCAGATGCCAGGCAATCATAAAACCCTGCACTTTAATACCGTTCATATTGCTGCTGCACGTGCAGTACGTGCAGCTCCATGGCCCTTTTGTTTAATGCACTGGGTGCGTTTTTCAGAATTGTACGTGTTTCCCGACTAATGGTTGTGCATGACCTTGAGATCTTACAAAGTTTATAAATATACAACGCGCGGACCTCAGATCGGAGCGATCTCTCCTGGACCGCCGGGGAATATAACAGACTGGCGCTTAGCCAACGAGTGTTTCTACACGGGAAAAAAACCGAATAGCACACTAACTACTGTATATACACTGAAGATGAAAGTATAAAAACAAAACGCTTGAACATAAGCTACCCAACGGTATCATTAAAGATTTCAAACAGGCTATGTACGATTATTGAGGAGGCAAAATGTGAAATATCTGAGTGTACATATAAATTCCCCTAATGTTTGAAAATCATAGTTACAAAACCATTTTTAATACAAGAATAAGGTAGCGAACATATAAGAGATAACAGAAATCAAGTCAATACATGGTTTGAGAGTGCCATTATATTAGATTACAAGAGAATGAAATAGTTGGGTCACTAAATCTCTAACACGGATATAATCACACTGTACAACGACGACCGAAGCACTATGCCGAGCGGGGTCGGAAATGAAGCTAGGGAGCAGAGCGATCACTAGAGCACGAGTGACTTCGAGATTCGGTGACAATATTACACCGTAACATGTAACATGTGGAGGTGTGTGACAAATGGGTCGTGTAATTATTGGGAGATAACCACCAGGAGTGCTATATTCCGTGTCAATGAACCGTGAATGATTCCTAGTCCCGGAAACGCCACGGGGAGTTTACCTCCTAAATATCAAATTTGTCGCTCCCGGGCCGACAGTAGGCTGATTGAGAGTAAAGTACACTACAATGGTGATGAGGATTAACAATGGGGATTAACGTCTTAAAAGTAAAGGCAATTAAGTGTTTCAATGAAAACAAAACTTTTGTTAAGGATAACAACTTCTTTATTCTTTGTAAGGAGGTTTCATGACATTTTTCATGCCCCACCAACCCTAAATATCTCCTCCCATTCCCCCTCCCCCAAACACAATGAATGACTCGTCCCTCATTGTTCTTTTTGTTATAATACTCACGTACTGCCGTTTGGTAATAGAATGATTCCTACACGCTCCTGTAGCCAAATATTATGCTTCAAGGTGACCCATGGCATATGTTTAACAATACAGTCTTCTTTTCAAACATTTAAATTATGTTTCAATGTATTTTATATATGTAGAGTTTATTCCTACATCAGTTCTCCATGCGATACTCACACCGTAGTCTGTCTCCCAGACCCTGGAGAGTAAATTTGAAACGGACTCCAACTCAAACCAAGAATGATTTGGCAAGTCAAGATTGCCTCAGTTTTGGCCCTCAAATCAAGCATTGTTTGTTGGCTCCATTTGGATTCAATTTAGTAGCTTTTTAATTTTAACAACGAAAATTGTATTTCTGGAACTAAATGTAAGTCCAATGACACCAGCACATTCCCATGAAGAAGTTATTTATATCTTGAATTAGAATATGGAATTATCGTTCATTGTCCGATGTCAATTCATCGATGACAGGTAAGGATATATTATAGTTAACATATTCGCCTATTTTTTTATAACCAAATTTACTTGTATGTACATTACTGCAATGGATATGTACATGAATGAGTCTGTGAGTGAGTTGGGTTTAACGCCGCTTTTAACAGTATTCCAGTTATATCGAGGCGTGTCAGCTTAATGTGGGAGGAAAGCCCGAAGTGATGCAGGTCTCTGACATTTACACTTTTGGTGAAACCCACGAGCACCGGTATGGTGCTGACACATCTTGAAATATAATCGGGGCGAACCGGGATTCCAACCCACAATCTTAGGTTTCTGGCGTGCCCAAGGGACGCAACTCTGCACAGCGAATCGCGGCGCCTTAGTCGACTGGCCATGGACCACCCGTGTCCTCTTGAGCCACAATTGAAAATATGTCAGTAAATACTAAAAAAATTCAGATATAGAATTATAACCATGCTGATTCACGATCTGTTGGTTATTTTAAAAGACTCACTATTTAAATATAAACTACCGGTCAAAAGAAAGTTTTCACCCACTTCACTTGACCAAACACCAAAAACAAAGGCATATGTGAGACTTATGATGATTAATTTATAAACAGAAATCATTTTCCATGAATTAGAATGAAAATGCATTGTAATGCCGATATTGCATTCTCCGCAATACACAAAGAAAGAGTCAAGGGGTCCAAATTAAACATTACACAAATCAGAGTTCATTGAAAAAGTGCATGAAGAGACCATTAATGACACAGTAGTCAGGTAACACGTCATCAATAGCGAGTGTGACCACCCTGGGCATCCGTGCACGGCAACACATGCATCCACTTTATTGATGCATGTCATCGTATCCCAATAACGTGGATTGATGCACATGATGTCAATCACTGGATTGTCTGGTCCAGCCTCGATTATTAACAGACCGCCGTCATATAGCTGGAATATTGCTGAGTGCGGCGTTAAACAACAAAACAACCAACCAACAGCCGTATATGGTCAATGGACACAAAATTTTGAAAACTTCATTAAAACCGATTGATTAGTTGGGTGTCTCTGAAAAGTGTCGAAAATGCATATGCGTCATTAATTTCAAGTGAACAGTCAACGCTTTTTCTCAGCCCCAACATAACCGTCAAATCACTGACCAAATCATTCACAACCCTCCTTGTTACGTATCATACTTTAATTACAATTAATTGTATAATAGTTTGTGTTTACAGGGATTCAACATTTGACGACGAAAAATGATTTCAAAGACGCTTGCCTTCTGTGTGGTATTCCTTTGCTGTAGTACGTACTTCTTTTATTGTAAACTGAAGAAAGATTTCAGAATGGGTTTGACAAGGGACTTCTCTCGATATACTGCAGCAGAAATCACAAACAATATACAGAGTAATGCAAGAAACATTACAAAATATTTTAACGGAAAGATCGAGCGAGATTACCCAGGAACCGGAAACATAAAAGAAGGCAAGGATGGATGTCTGGTCAGCGACGATGGAAACAGTGGTAACTATACGGAAAGACGAGTAACGGCTCTATTCTTTGAAAGGTTATCACATAAGAACAAAGAGGAATATAGGGACCTCATCAGAACCTTCAGTAAATATGTGCCCTCCAACATCACTTACTTCCTCTATGCAGGAACTCTCCTCGGATCCTACTCACATCACGGCATCATTCCCTGGGACGATGATATGGATATTATTGTCAGGGAAAATGACAAACCTGCATTACTGACATTCTTGAAGTCTCTCGGTCCAGAGTATGAAATTTACACTGAATGGTCAGTAAACTGGAAATTGTATCACACAAAATCCCCAAAGGCAGGTACTCGAAAATGGAATTGGCCATTCCTCGATATATTCTTTTATTCGGAACACCCTTCTTTCATCCAAGAATCTAGGGAACTGTGGAAAATATATAATAAGCGTGATGTGTTTCCTTTGATGACACGGCCCTTCATGGGAATGATGCTGCCAGTACCAAAGAAGACCCGGGAGGTGTTGGAGCTGCATTACAAGATAGATATGTGTGTGTCGAATTCCTATGATCACAGACTGGAAAAGGATGTGCCAAGAAAATGTGTATCAAAACTTCCTTGTTCTCTCCTGAAAGACAAGTTTCCCTTTGTGGTCAGAACGTACTCATCAACAAATACATCTGTTGAAATACTTGAATATGGCTATAGCGTTCATCAAAAAGAGACTTTGGCATAATAACATCTGTCCTGTCATTCGTATTCATGCCAGTGTGGACAGTTCCTTCTATAAGTTTCTTAGTGAGAGACCATTATATTTCCTGATCAGTTTTGACTTGGGTTTTGCGGTTGACGCCCTTAAGTTTTGTTCTTTTTAATTTAGTTTATTTTGCATCCATAATCCATTGATTATCCCTTCTGTCGTGTGAAGAACATGTAAAATCCATACCGGTTTCCTCTCAAGTGTGAACCTACTCCACTTTACTTCAAGCTGGTAACACTCATTAGATAAACAGCTGTATAGATTTTAAGAGCAGGCAGCGGTTGTTATGCTTGTAAACGGGCCAACGGATAAGGTGTTATACAGGCTTGCAACTGTAGCAGCCTGATACTAAAGCTGCTGTACAGGAATCACGCTGTTGGAGATGATGGATGATGCCTCAATAAAGTGACCAAAATACCTTCGCCTGTAATAAACAGTGTCTTCATTTACAGAAACGAGCCTTCGTGTTGTATTGTATACTAGTTCCCGGACGCAGAAATTCTTGTGCCAGTATTTCGAGAGTCAGAACCAAGTATTCAGCGTCCAGACCCATATCCGTCCATACAGTTTATTGTTACTCCAGGTTCACTGCAGTTCTGTGAAGATTCCGGGTGAGACTCAGTTTCTTCAACCCACGTTTGAATCAGGGGGCGACTGACGGGATCGGGTAGTCAGTCTCGCTGACTTGGTTGATGCATGTCATCGTATCCCAATTGCCTGGGTCGATGATCATAATGTCAATCTCTGGATTGTCTGGTCCAGGTGCCATTATTTTCAGACCGCCGTCATATAGCTGGAGTGCGGCGTTAAATACAGGTACCGTTGTGCCGCCATTTTAAGGCTATGTATGTTGGTCAATGTACATGTACAAAGGTTTACCATGTTTATGTGTTTGGAAATAAAACAAGCACAACATGTCAAATAATGTAAACTGCAAGTGTGCACATACTTTTCGGTTTTCTGAAAAAGAAACGTACGTAGTTTTGGTAACATAACTTTACTGCAAACCCTGACACAAGCTAAGTGATAACACACTGCAATAGGACAAACAGTGGAAAATGTGAAGACTCCACACGGAGAGTGACAAATGTCATGGCCATGAGAACTCAAATTCTCGTTTCTACCATTATAGTTGAAGTACACTGACTGCCATGGACAAACTGATATTATGGATCACACGTTGGGGAACGTTAGCCCATACTGTCTGTAGTGTATGTGCAAACTGTTGCAGTGTCCGTTAATTAGGATGACGTTGTCGCTGAAGCAAATAGTTGGTCTGACAGCGTGCGTTACACCTTGACACGTCGCGTGGGGTAGAAGGGGTCGCGTCTTCCGGTCCGTGACTTCAAATAAGGACGACCCGTGAAGAGCCGGGATAGAATAGCTCTTCAGGAACCCATGCTTGCAGTAAAAGGCGACTATGCTTGTCGTAAAAGCGACTCACGGGATCGGGCGGTCAGGCTCGCTGACTTGGTTGATCCAATTGCGTCGAACGATGCTCATGACCTTAATCACTGGAATGTCTGGCCCACACCCGATTATTCACAGGCCGCCGTCATATAGCGGGAATATTACTGAGTGCGGCGTTAAACAACAAATAAACTAGTCAGTATTGTATTGTTGGGTCAGCAATAACATTTAGTGTTTCGTCACGTGATATGGATTAATCAATGAAATTAATCAATCTTAATAGGGGTATGACGTTGCAGACTATTTACTGAACATCATAGCTGAGTGGTAAGATTTGTTGACAAAGGTATAAGCAGCAATTGAGATTTTTTTAATGAATTATTTAACTGCTTGTAACATGTGTATGCACAATCCAGGAAGGGATCACAGGACTTCTCACCTGTAAGTGGGCCAGGTAGATCAGCATTTGATTACATCATCACTTCACATGAACAGTGGAGTACTGTGGGAGATTTCAATGTCCATGAAGTCAGTCACATCCTCAGTCAGTGTGATGATATCGCCAACAGTCTCCCTGCCAGATCAGTCAACACTGGCCTGGAGAATCGCGCATAAAATACCTTGAGGAATATCGTCTAGACTACTCTTCATCCTCTGTTTCATTGTCATTTTGCATGTGATTGACTGAAGTGCAAACAGATGACACTTACGTACAATACTAGTATTAGATTTAAAGACTATTCTTGAGTTGCAGTTTAACATATACAATGTATGATAAATCAGCACTCTGTGAGTCTGTCATGTTTGCGTTTACACAAAGTGAGATCCACACATTATATTCATGTGGGGGGTCGAACCCCGGCGTGACGAGCAAAAGCTTCAACCACTACGCTACCTAACCCAATGACATTTGTGTGAATTTATTGGTAAGCGATTGTTTACATTACATTACATTACAGCTATAAGGAAAAGCGGACTTGCTTTTAACCACAAGGCCATTCCACTCCTTCGTTGAATGTGTTACTTGTCGATTCCCAAATTGAAACAACGTGTTAACTCAGAAATATGTACGTACATGTATGCACGGGTATGGTGCTGACAAACCCAGAAACATAATCGGGGCGAACCGGGATTCGAACCCACAATCATAGGTTTCTTGCGTGCCCAAGGGACCCAACTCTGCACAGCGAATCGTGGCGCCTTAGACGACTGGGCCACCCGTGCCCCCAACATGACATGAACAGATCCTTACCTTTGTGGAAAGTTATCAATCAGTTTGTCCAAGAACTTGATTTTGGAGGAAGAAATCTCTTCTTTTAAGAATAGCATTTGATTGTGTGACCCTTGAAACCCTTCAGACAATCATCTAGGTTTTCTGCTGATGAAGACCACTGTCAGATTTCAACTCCCCCAGACCTGTGAAAAATAGCTCTTCAGCAACCAATGATTACCGTAAAAGGCGACTATGCTTGTCGTAAGAGGCGACTAACGGGGTCGGATGGTCAGGCTCGCTGTCTTTGTTGAAGCATGTCATCGATCCCAATTGCGTGGATCGATGCTCATGATATCAATCACTGAATTGTCTGGTCTAGCGTCGATTATTTACAGACCGCCGTCATATTGCTGGAATATTGTTGAGTGCGGTGTAAAACAACAAACAACTCAACTCCCTCAACTTATCAAGTGTACTTTTGAAAGGACAGGTTCAACTTGGCAACAACTGAATGATGTCCATCATCAAGTTAGGGCAATGGACTCTGAGCAAGCTTCCTGAAGAAAGGGAATTTGAACAGTTGTGATGTCATTTATCTGAAAATACATGTTCAACAGTTTCACCTAAAATTAAGCTTCAGGAATGTTTTACGAAATCTAATTCAACCTACCCAACTCAACATATTCACAACCACGTTAGTTTATCACTTAATAAGTACCTGTTTTATACACCAATTCTGCATGCCTTTCAAACAACGGGAATAAACAGAAGGGAACAATAAACCAACGGATGAAAACACACAAACTGTTAATTTGTACTGTTAAGCTGATTTGGAATTCAGTGTACGACTGTCAGACACAGCAGTAAAATAATAACTCTCACATACCAAAAAAATAACAAACAAAATTAACAAGAATGTTATTGAATTGTCATTACTGCAATGTTAGCAGAATGAATTTAAATTCTGAAACAAAATGTCTGCAAATGTGCCGCCTTTAGATCTTTGGATGTGTCGACTTCAGCAAGATACGCTAGAAGGGCATTAAGGGTCCTCCCATACATGGTCTCAAGTGCCCTGTAAAATGATAGCCATCTGACTCTGTGGACTTCTTTATACATAAGCTGGGGTAAGTCTAGGATGGCATTTATTTCTGCCATTCGAGCAGCTTTCTTTGGTGAATATTTGAAATAATAATAAATTGCTGTGAGCGCTAGTTGGAAGGCATCCAAGGCTGTAACATCTTGTGCAGTTTGGCTTATACACAGTGCAAGTCTATGTGCGATGCAGTGCACGCTAACCATTCCAGGATTGTCTATCTTCATCATACCTGCCACACCCTTGCCCTGACCAGTCGTAACCGATGCTCCACCAGAGCCGAGTCCCATCACCTTTGACACAGAAATCCCTCTTAAAGTTATTTTCTAATTTCCTGTGAAAGAGCCACTCCAGTACATTCTGTAATGTTAATATTGGGTTAGGTAATTGGTGCTTGGTTGCATATTCCCTAGATCCACAAGTTGGGTGTAAATAACCAATCTCTTGTTCACACAGATATCAGTGCTTTCATCAGCTAGATGGAAATATAGGGGGATTGTTTCACTTTTGCACTTAATTTCATTGTCAATAGACGCAGAGAGTGCTTCAATAAATTCACTTGCTGCATACGAGAAGCCACAGTGTCTGAAACAGGTAGGGGAGAAATGTCTGGCACATTCAGTTCTCTCAAAAGGGACATCAGCGAATTATATTTCACAAGTGCAACACTTTCCTTAAAGCTTGCATATCCAATAGGCCACCTTAAGACCAATCAAGGCACCTTTCTCTTGAGTTGAAATTTGCCGATTTTGTAATTCACGCAAATCGCATCTGAGATCTGGGGCAAGGATCTCCGTTTGGTGGTCGTTCGTTTCGAGTTGATCCTCGATGTTTGATAGTCGATTATTGTGACACCCTTGTGTAACTGTGTTGGTTCGTTTTGCGTCCACACACAAGTGACAAGTGATTTGGCCGGTTTTTGAATCGCACGTCAACCATGAGTGTAGGTTCAGTCATCGTTGCTGAAATTTACGTTTGACGACTTAAGCGCTCTGTGCACCTGCATCAACATCTGTCCGTGACACGGAAGCCTACAGTCTGCCCTGTTTGTTTTAGATGGCATTGCGAACGATTATATAAGCCACGTGCTCCATCAACAAAAATGGCGAATTAATGCAATGTCGTTCCTGATTGGATGAAATATCCGATCTGGCCAATGAATGTCGCGTCAAGAAAGGCGCTTGACTAAGAAACAAAAGCTCCTGACAGCGTTTCCCTATGATACAGAAATACGATGCCAAGACACGTTGCTGAGAATTTCAATAACGCCTTTTGATGGTTGGCATTGTTTTCGAAACTGTATGTTGAATTGGACTATTCCTCACTATTTACTTTTTAATAGTGAAACGCACGACGCCTTGGTTAGCATTTCTCTCGGTCAATGGTCCGACTATTTCAACAAACCATCGGTCAAAATGAAATTTTATCGGTCAATAACCGGTGACCGAAGGCCATCTGAAACTTAAAAATAATCAAATAATATCATGTCCAATCTCATTAAAATCAGATCTTAGTTCTCGCTATCGCCAAACAAAGTGAGTGAGTGAGTGACTGAGTATTGTTTTACGCCGCTTTTAGCAATATTCCAGCAATATCACGGCGGGGGACACCAGAAATGGGCTTCACACATTGTACCCATGTCGGGAATCGAACCCGAGTTTTCGGCGTGACGAGCGAACGCTTTAACCACTAGGCTACCCGACCGCCCCTCGCCAAATAAAGATCTGAGGACATCACATTACGGGTCACGTCAGAACGACCTTTCATCCGACCAATCAAAGCGTCGCTTACCGGATCATGAAAGTGACAGTCTAATCATGCAAACTCGAAAACGTTAACACGGAGTATTCCGAACGACTGATTCCGTCAAAATTATCGTCTATCTCTCGCTTCCGTGGGATAAACATTTGAACGGAGGAGGCGTACGTGTTGCACAGTATGTGGGAAGCACTGCTATACAATCTCACCATCAGTTTTCCAAATTTTAATCGAGAACTGTGTCAACATATTTTTCAAGCGTAGTCTGCAATGGAAGTCGCCAGGTTGAAACGAGTGCCGTTAAGCTCAAGAAAGCTGCTTTCTAATTGGCTGTTTGTCATTTCAGTGGTCGGTCAAAGTTCGCAAAAGGTCTTTCTGACGTGACCCGTAACGGGATGTCCTCAGATCTTTATTTAGCGGCAGCGAGAACTTAGATCTAATTTTAATGTGTTTGTATCATTTTGGTCTTTTGCCCAACACCAATTTGACTCAATGAATGGACACATAGTGGGAGAAGATGGTAATGTGACTGTTTGCCATTTAGCGCCTATAAGGCAGCTTGGGTTATATATTCCCCAGGAAGCTGAGAATGGAATTATTGGATTACACCCTTATCCATTGAATGGGGTAAATTTATGTATTTACTTGTTGTTTAATTTATGTATTAATGCGTGCATTCATGTATTTATGCATACATTGGTTTGTTCAATTAGTTTTTCTTCAGTGCAAAAACACTGCCAGCTTCATAAAATGCACTGACGGGCAAGTGAGCAGTTGAGTAAGAGTTAAACGCCGCTTTTAGCAATGTCACAGCAATCTGAGGGGGGCTACAGCTGGGCTTCACACATTGTACCCATGTTAGGAATGGAACCCAGGCATTCAGCGTGAGATCTAGAACGAAGGTCTTAGCCACTACGCTACCCCCAGCTGTCCAGGTGAGTGATTGCAACGATTAAGTATTCAGTCCACAAGCAGAATATGTGTTTGTTCGCGCGCACTGAAAGCTTATCACACTACGGCTATATAGACTAACATATAGTCTCTGAAATGAACATATCGTACAGAAAAAAACAGTTGTTCAGTTATCTTAATAAAAATATAATAAAAAGGGAGCCAAGATATTCTCTTCATTTTCTGATACTGCAGTAATCTAGACTTGCCAAACATTATAGACTTGCATGGGCTGTAGTTGATATAAATTTATCAGGGTCTGTAAGACGGACTATACGGCTATACCACACCGTGACATGAAAATAGCGTGCCCCTGCCTGAAGAGCCTCACTCTTTCTCGTAATGGCGGGGTGGGATGACTTCACTGTCAAACGTGATGATCTCTGCAGTTTCTGCATCCGATGTCTGGAGGCGGCTGGCGCCAGGACAGAGCACGCCACGTGTTTGACAGAGGTACTGGTGATGGCTGACTACAGAGGTCACTACAGCCATGGCCTCAACCGTCTAGGTGAGAGTTGTCACTTTCTACAAATAGAACAGAAGGTCACCGACTGGCTGTGATAGTCACATAGCTGTGTACCTGTCCTGAAGATTTCTGGTGACACAGACAGCATTGTAGTTTACCCTGACTTGCTGACTGTCCCGGTTTGTTTTTAACCTGTACCTGAATTCTAGTTATGATCTTATCAGGGTGTACTTGTTTGATATTGACATTTATCAATATATCCCCAAGCCATATTATTAAGCAATGCTAATGATTGATTTGTGAGCATAATTTAGACAAAAAAAACATCATTTTCAACATCAGGACAGGCCTAGGTCGCGTCCATAAAAATCTATCAATTGCGAGCGGTCGTGCACGCAGGCGCAGTGTTGATGGAAAGAAAGCTTAGTATAATATCAGACCAAATAAGCAACTAGTGCTTCATTCTGTCAATATGCTCTTTTAAAGGATTTACGAAAAACACACTTTCGGTACATATGTGTAGCAAATTAAAAGTAAGTATATGTGTTTTAATCCTCATTCAATAAATCTTTATTCATGCACTCAAAGGAGATTTACAGTGAACCACTGATATGGGATTAAAGCATTTTATAAAGCATATTTAAACTAGTATACTAAGGGAAACAACTTAAGGCAATATTTGTGACAAAAATGTTAAAACCTACTGGTATTCCGGAAACTACCGAGAGTTAATGAACAGAGTTGTCATCACGTGACGTGATGTCATGGTGGAGAGTTTAATTGTAGACGATCACTGTTTCTGTATAGAGTTTGGTAGATTACCAACGTTCGCCATGGCATCACCTGACAATACCATCGATGAAAAGGTTGCATTTTTGCCCAATGACCTTACACATATTCGTCCATCTCGATATGAGACAGTTGTTACTCAAAACAGCAGCGGGGAAGCTCTACCGAGTGAGGACGATCAGCCTGATGTCAACACGGAAAGACTAGGGAACACAATCTGGTGTAAAACTCCTGTAAATTCTGAATCAAATGGGTGTTTATTAATAAAACATAATTCGTCCACAGTTATTCTTGTCTTAAAAGTTCAACATGTAGATTAACGCTTATCAATTGTCAAAAAAATGTTAATTGTGTTGTCTTTATGCCAAACAATTAACATAGGGCTATTTATACCTAAGTCGTTTTCTAAATGATTATTATGCGTTAAACCTGTATTGTCTAGCGATGGCTGGTTCTGTTAATACTGCCGTGTAAAAATTTAAAATAATATGTACTTCATTGATCAAGTAGCGGCATGCTCAGTTACTTTACTCGTCTTGTGAAAACAACCATCTTTATAACATGGACTACCTTATATTAGGATAGAAACTAGTGTTGACTTGGTTGGGCTGAAATCGACTCCCTTTTAACCGGGTAACGGCGGGTATGGGGCCCATCATCTGCTACGGGGGTCCGAGGTGCAGGTTAACAAGTCGCAGGCATGCTCACTGCGTTTTGAGAAGGAGCATTTCTCAGCCCTGGGGTCTTGCTTATTGGCGGGTGGTCGGACTGCCAGTGTTGACATGAATGGGTTGTTAACGACGGGCTACAGCGAGTGTAGGGGTCCCAACAACTAACTGATAACAAATGAGACGCCGTATGTTTCAGGTGTGTAGGCTAGAAGAGTTGGTACTGTTTTAACCGTGCGTGACAAGTGTTCATGTATTGGTCGCCTGTCGCCCAAGGCCAGTTGTTTTCAATTTGCTCCACAAGAAGTATATTGAATAGAGATATTTTAACCCACTATGTCTTACATTTTGTAATTTTAACAGAAATTCGTAGGTCTTAGGATGGAAAATGTCAATAACGACAGATACAATGTAATACAAGGAAGGGAGGAAAAGACATGTCATCACAACTTGAACATTTATTTATGTAAATTCTAGTTCAATAGGGAAAACACGTCATTAAAGCATTATAATCCAATACGAACATGGAAGGCTTAAAAATATTTGTTAATTTGTTTGTTTTGTTGTTTAACGCCCAACTTAGCATTATTCCACCTTTTTGACGGCGGTCTGTAAATAATCGAGTCCTTTTAGGACAAGCTTGGTTTGCTTAAGGCCTTTTTTACCCCGATCTTCACGGGTTGGAAGGCTTTAAAACGATTCTCATGACCTGAATACAGGGTCATGTAATTCTGGTTCAAGTACATCATGATCCCGTGAAGATTCGGGTAGAAGAGATCTTCAGCAACCCATGCTTGCCGTAAAAGGTTACAATGCTTGTCGTAAAAGGCGACTAACGGGATCGGGTGGTCAGGCTCGCTGACTTGGTTGATGCATGTCATCGATCCCAATTGCGTGTCTATGACTGGATTGTCTGGTCCAGATTCGATTATTTACAGACCGCCGTCATATAGCTGGAATGTTGCTGAGTGGGGCGTTAAACAACAAACCAACCAACCAACTAATCATGTACATCATGACTGGATCAATAATGTATGTGTTAACGTGGCTATAATGCAAGAAGGCAACGATTAAGATTTTGTAGTTTACATTCACAGGTGGGAAGGGAAAAACATTAGGATTCATTCAGGGAAACGGCACCTCAAAAGAAAACAACATTTGCGCTAAAACAATTTTATCTCAGGAAAGAGTGTCATGTTTAGCCATGGAAATAGTATCTTTTAAACGTTTTTAAATTGCAAATCGGGGTTTTTTTTGTCTAAAGCGTTGACGCGATCATTTTATCATAGTTCATAGTTTTGTGAATGGGCCTTTGAGTGGCGACATAACAAAGAGTTTAAAAGTTTTTTAAAGTGTCTGTCCCCAAATAAAATGTACACAATGACAAATGTATCCCATGCAAGGTAAAAACAACTTATCCCCGAGTGGCAACAAAACGTTATATAAAGAAAACTTAGAAGTACTTGAATAAATTTATGTAACTATAATTAATTCATTTTTTTTACAAAAGTAACTGCTGTGGACAGTTAGGTAAGTAGCTGGGATTTTTTAAAAAGATGGTGTTGATTACATGCTTAACTTGCATTTTATTCAATTACAGTTAACGTTATGGTTTTGAATTGGTTTGTTGAATCGTTCTCCCTGTGTCGCAATGTTAAGAAAGTTGTGATCATGTAAGTGTTAGTTGAGTGTGGAATGTACATATACATATATCATTCTAACGGCACACGCGAAACGTGACTTTGTGAACACTATCCAACGTGGCGTTCCATTCTGTGTTAGTGTTTGTGCATTTTCTGCAACGATTATTGCAGACGTTTCAGAACTATTACTGTTGTTTTGATAAAGGACAGACGTCCAGATATGCTTTTTAACGTAATGTTCATAGTAAGTATATTTCATGTAGACCAATAATAATGCAGGCAAAGAAAAAATAATATTTATAAAGAGTAAAATGGCGATATTTGGTTTGTTGTTATTGTATTTGACGTAGCGTGATTTGTCTGTAATTGATATTCAGTAATAGATCATTTCACACAGAACCCATCACTATCTCACCTTTAACACAGACATAGTCACCGTCTGGCCTTTAATACAGACATATTTACCATCTGACATTTAATTCAGACATATTCACCATCTGAACTATAATACAAACATATTTACTATCTGACCTATAATACAGACATAATCACCATCTGGCCTTTAATACAGACATATTTACCATCTGACATTTAATTCAGACATATTCACCATCTGAACTATAATACAAACATATTTACTATCTGACCTATAATACAGACATAATCACCATCTGGCCTTTAATACAGACATATTCACTATCATGACCTTTAATACAGATATATACACCATCTGGCCTTTAATACAGACATATTCACTATCTGACCTTTAATAAGACCCATTCATCATCTGACCTTTAATACAGACACATTCACCTTAAATACAGACATATTCACCATCTGACCTATAATACAGACATATTCACCATCTGACCTATAATACAGACACATTCATAATCTGACCTTTAATACAGACATATTCACTATCTGACCTTTAATACAGACATAATCACCATCTGGCCTTTAATACAGACATATTCACTATCATGACCTTTAATACAGATATATACACCATCTGGCCTTTAATACAGACATATTCACTATCTGACCTTTAATAAGACCCATTCATCATCTGACCTTTAATACAGACACATTCACCTTAAATACAGACATATTCACCATCTGACCTAAAATACAGACATATTCACCATCTGACCTATAATACAGACACATTCATAATCTGACCTTTAATACAGACATATTCACTATCTGACCTTTAATACAGACATATTCACCATCTGGTCATTAATACAGACACATTCACCTTTAATACAGACATATTCACCATCTGGCCTATTATACAGACATATTCACTATCTGACCTATAATACAGACATATTCACCATCTGACCTATAATACAGACACATTCATAATCTGACCTTTAATACAGACATATTCACTATCTGACCTTTAATACAGACATATTCACCATCTGGCCTTTAATACAGACATATTCACTATCTGACCTTTAATACAGACATATTCACCATCTGACCTATTATACAGACATATTCACTATCTGACCTTTAATACAGACATATTCACCGTCTGGCCTTTAATACAGACATATTTACCATCTGACATTTAATTCAGACATATTCACCATCTGAACTATAATACAAACATATTTACTATCTGACCTATAATACAGACATAATCACCATCTGGCCTTTAATACAGACATATTCACTATCATGACCTTTAATACAGATATATACACCATCTGGCCTTTAATACAGACATATTCACTATCTGACCTTTAATAAGACCCATTCATCATCTGACCTTTAATACAGACACATTCACCTTAAATACAGACATATTCACCATCTGACCTAAAATACAGACATATTCACCATCTGACCTATAATACAGACACATTCATAATCTGACCTTTAATACAGACATATTCACTATCTGACCTTTAATACAGACATAATCACCATCTGGCCTTTAATACAGACATATTCACTATCATGACCTTTAATACAGATATATACACCATCTGGCCTTTAATACAGACATATTCACTATTTGACCTTTAATAAGACCCATTCACCATCTGACCTTTAATACAGACACATTCACCTTAAATACAGACATATTCACCATCTGACCTATAATACAGACATATTCACCATCTGACCTATAATACAGACACATTCATAATCTGACCTTTAATACAGACATATTCACTATCTGACCTTTAATACAGACATATTCACCATCTGGCCTTTAATACAGACATATTCACTATCTGACCTTTAATACAGACATATTCACCATCTGGTCATTAATACAGACACATTCACCTTTAATACAGACATATTCACCATCTGACCTATTATACAGACATATTCACTATCTGACCTATAATACAGACATATTCACCATCTGACCTATAATACAGGCACATTCATAATCTGACCTTTAATACAGACATATTCACTATCTGACCTTTAATACAGACATATTCACCATCTGGCCTTTAATACAGACATATTCACTATCTGACCTTTAATACAGACATATTCACCATCTGACCTATTATACAGACATATTCACTATCTGACCTTTAATACAGACATATTCACCGTCTGGCCATTTATACAGACACATTCACCTTAAACGCAGACATATTCACCATCTGACCTATAATACAGATACATTCATAATCTGACTTTTAATACAGACAGATTCACCATCAGGCCCTAAAAACAGACATATTCACCATCTGACCTATAATACAGACATATTCACCATCTGGCCTTTAATCCACCTGTCCTACAGTATAAGGTAACCACTTATACAATATAAAGTTACCACTTATACAGTATACATGATCTGTCCTTTCATGCACATTCATTTATTCGCCATCTGCCCTATGATACAGACAAATCCAAATCTGACCAGTAATACAGACATATTCACCATCTGCCATTTAGTACAGACACATTCACCTTTTATACAGACATATTCACCATCTGACCAAAATACATACACATTCATAATCTGACCTATAATATAGCCACATGCACCATCTGGCCTTTAATACAGACATACTCACCATCTGGCCTTTGATACAGACACATGCACCATCTGCCCTTTAATACATGTATATATATTCATGATCTTGCCTTTAATACAGATACCTGCACCATCTGGCCTATAATACCGACATATTCATCATCTTGCCTTTAATACACATTCACCATCGGAACTTATATACAGAAATATTAACCATCAGAACTTTGATGCAGATACATTAACCATATGATCTTTGATACAGACACATTCATCATCTGAATTTTGATACAGACACATTAGCCATCAGAACGTTGCTACAGATACATTCACCATCAGATCTTCGATACAGAGACATTCACCATCTGAACTTCGATACAGAGATATTCACCGTCTGAACTTTTGTGCAGAGAGCTACCTACATGATATCGTGTCGGGAATGACGTCAGCACAAGACGAACCCGAGGTTGTGAAGGAAACGGTGTCAACAGCTCTTGTAGATGGCAAGAATGTGCTAGGTGAGTGTCATGCTAACAGTACTGTGGTCGTCAGTATATCTTACAGCATACACATAATTCCATTTAAACATACATATAAATTGTTATATTGTTGCAGCTGTGATGCATTGTTTCTGTTGGGATTTGGTAGACGCTAATTGCATTGTGTTTGGACAGTGGTCAGTCACCAGGAAGTTACTATGTTTAGATGCTAGCGTGGTGCCGACACTTCCGGTTCGGTATACCGCAGACGGTATATGTTTAATGTTCTAGTACCGTTAGACTGTTGAGGGCAGTGTATAGAAAATGTAGTACATTTGTTGATTGTGTACTACTTGTTGGTTTGTTGTTAGTTTCACACTATTGTGAATCGCACGTAACAAATAGATAAGGGCCTGACGAATTCTTGACAGGTAGCGAGTTCTCAAAAATAATCACCCGGAAGGCGGATTTCCTGGTTAACGGGAGGTTTCATTGTACAGACGTAGGGGTATCCCTCTGAGAATATGGTTTGATGTACCCTGTGTGATCGTGTACCTCGATCTATGTACCCTGTCTGTGGCCGTGTATCCCGAGCCATGTACCCTGTCTGTGGCCGTGTACCTCGAACGATGTACAATGTGTGACCGTGTACCCCGAATTATGTACCCTGTCTGTCGCCATGTACCCCGATTTATGTGACCGTGTACCTCGAGCCATGTACTCTGTCTGTGGCCGTGTACCTCGATCTATGAACCCTGTCTGTGACCGTGTACCTCGAGCCCCCCGAGCCATGTACCTTATGTGTGGGCCGTGGGCCCCGCGGTGGCAGGCGAGCAGTACCCGGCCATATAAAAGGTACTCAACCGTATTCCCCCGAAGGAAAAGCCAACAACGAATTTTTCTCACCGCCATGTTTATCATTTACGACAATTTGAAAAAAAGACGGATATTGAGATGAAAAGCTTTTTTTTCTCCGCCGGGTATATGGAAATTAATCAAAATGTCATTGTCCAATAAAATTCAAATATTTTACATATTAGGAACATGCAAGATAATTAAAAACGTTCAAAACCCTTTCCATAATCAAAAGAAATCTCCAAGTCCATAAGAGTCCATTGTACTATTCCGACTGTGCCAAAAGCATGGGTTTATGAGTCACTATCAAATCATGGTGATACTAGGTGTTCGCGAAAAGGTGACCGTATCCTGCACAGCCGCTGGCAACCGTCACAAACACATGCAAAAGCAAGTCAATTGTTCACCCGAAAAAACATATTGCATCAAACATCTTTTTGACAAATTTGGAAATGACGTGGCTCCACGTGGCTTCAATTAAAAATTAAAAGCTTTACAAAGGCTTTCAATATTGAATGTGCTTTTGAACAACGTCCGAGCTTCTTCATGGACCCTCACATTGGAACTAAGAGGACGAGATTTGTTCAAACGTGTCAGTTTAAGTAATTGATTGTGTCTTCAGCTTTTCGTCTATGATTCATGAAAATGTACAGTCTTCAGAATGTCAGCGTCTGACGGGATGAGGCGTGCCATGATCCGCTGATCAGTGCTTTATATCGATTGTGACTTGTTGTTACCCTGTCTGGCGCTCGAGATTAACATATGGGGTTGTAAAGAGTTCAATACAATTGAAAAGGTTCATCTCCTCGCTTGTAAAAGGTTTTTGAATGTTGGTATGTCAACACCAAGTAATATGGTTTATGGAGAATGCGGGAGATTCTCAATGTACGTTATATCTTACACTCGTTGCTTGAAGTAATGGTGTAAAATAATAATTATGCCCGTTTACCCAAGAAAGCCTACAACATGTTTGTACACCTCGATAGTCTTGGAAAGAACACATGGGCTTCTTGCATACGTACATTGCTTTTTACATATGGCTTTGGTTTCATTTGGCTGTCCCGGACAATTGGTAACGCAAATGTTTTCATTAAGTAGTTTCGCATGCGTGCCATTGGTATGTTTCATCAGAAATGGCATTCAGATATTTACGAAAGTTCAAGATATGATACTTATCGCCAGTTCAAGTCATTGATTGAACCAGAATAGTATTTATCAAACTTACGGTATCATTATTCGTTTTAGACTTGGCCTGAATGTTCTAAAAATTAACATAGGGAGACTTTCATCTTTTGAGAAATCTCTAAGGTTATGCCCATTCTGTGACATTGTTTTCGAAGATGAATACCATTTTATGTTAATTTGCCCTATATACGAAATTCTAAGAAACAAGTACTTACCGCAGTGGTCTTTATCTCATTTTAATGCTTTTACATTGTCTTCATTACTGTCCTGCAAGGATCTTCTAACACAGCATCAACTGGCTTTGTACATACATCATGCGTTTTTGTTACGAAGTGAATTGTTACCTTGACTTTGTATCTTATAAATATGTTATGTAACTCCGTTGTATATGGGTCTAAGGCCTTTCATACAATAACGAATTGAATTGAATTGACTTGTTGTTACCCTGTCTGGCGCTCGAGATTAAGGGGCTAAAAAAAGGACTGGTAGGCTCGGAGTCAGCATACTGTGTCTGAATGGGGTATTCATGTTATACTGCGTCATAGTATCTCAGTGGGCTAGTACTATAAAATCGGCTTTAGTCCGGACTATAACATATAGCCATACATACACGTTCGCACGCACGCACGCGCACGCGCAAACCCACGCACGCACGCTTGCACACTTCGCTAAATAAGTGCAATAATCTTGAACGTGACATTAAACCTTAATTCATCTCACCTCACCATATCTTGTCTTCGTAATCTTATGAACTTTTTCAGGTCCCGTTGTTGGCAGGTTCTGCATGGACCTCGCAATACAGAAGGCCAAGGAGACGGGGATCGGATGGGTGACAGCCAGAGGTATCTGTAACTTCAACCCTTTTTGTCACTTAATGCTGCATTGCTCTCATCGATCCAGTGACTTTTGATTAACGCCATTGTCAGCAATATTACGGCTATATATGACGGTCTGTTAATTATCTGGACCGGACACACCAGTGCTTACTATTGTGAGGACTTTCCAACATCGCCAGGATGTGCAATCAACCAAGTCACCGAGCCTTACCGTCCGATCTTAATTAGTCGCCTCTCGGTGCTTGTAACTGAGAGTTGGTGTCACAAGAATATAACTGAAATACTGTTCAAAGCGACGTTAAACCAAATACACTCACTCACTCACTCTACCCCGGAATAAAAAGGATGCTCTCAACGACTGATGATTCTGTCTAACAAGGAGTGAGTGAGTAAGTGAGAAGATATTGTTAACGATACAGTCAGCAATAAGTCTATTGTACCACAGTAGCGTGTAAAACAATCGGGTACTTGCCTGGCATCTCAGCTGTATAAGGTGCCACAGCCACTCATTGTAACCCCATAAGCACCGATCCCCGCAATCGAGGCACGATGACATGCAATTAGCCAAGAAAGCGAGTTTCACGATGCGATGCTCATTACGACAATCATATGACATTGAAGATCCTTTAATGGTTCTTCACGAATCCCCACAAGGAACATGAAATGAAAACTGCCTACCGTTTTAGCTTTGGGTACTGACTGCTCATGGAACCTCTACGTAGGCTCCATACCACGGCATCGAGCATTTTCCAGAGATATTGTACACCATTTTATCATACTTATTTGTTCATTGACAGCATCAAACCACTTTGGAATCGCTGGCTGGTACGGCCTTCGTGCAATGGAGCAAGGGTTAATTGTAAGCCAGGCTTGATTATTACTCACCAAAGAATACATTTCATATGAGTGCATAATTTCCATATAATGTCAGTACATGCTTCAGGGTAATTTCTGAGTGTGTGAGTGAGTGAATCTTCCACAACTCCAAAGTTAGCATAAGCCCACCTATAACAAATCGATTTGTAAAAAAAATCTTTTTGTTTCCCATCTTTGTAATATCTTGAAACAGTGACCAAAGATTTCCGAAAATGAACCCCAAGACTATTAAATTGATGGTCGGTCCGTACAGGTAATCCACCTTTTGAATATAATAGAGTAAACGTCAACCTTTTCAATGTCACAAACATCACTAGCACAGGTACTTAATATAATATACTCTTCAAAAAAAGAAACTTGACATAGATGTTAAACCACTTTTTGCCAAATATCTAAAATAATTACATTCAATGAGAACCAAATAAGTCAAACAGAAAGATGATGTGTCTATAAATCGCGAAAACACATGCAAAGCAGATAAACGTAGCCTTTGGGGATCAATTTTACAGCTTCATCCAAACGCAACCGCCTGTAAAAAACGTGCAGCACAGGATCCTGCATTTAGGCATGCAGCCCCTCCCCCCCCTGCTGAATGGGTATAAAAATCCACATCAACGGCTGTTCATACAGTCCTTATAATGGCAGTAGAGGCAAGACATAATGCCAAGACTGAATGCAGCTCAACGGAACAACGCCATTGGGAGATTATAAGCTGGATCAACTCAGCAAGAAGTGGCCAGGCACTTTGGCGTATCCAGACAGACAATCTCTGTTGACGACAGACCAATGTCAGGAAGACCAAGGGTGACAACCCAAGCACAAGATCGATACATCCGGCTGCGACACCTCCGAGACCGCGCTACCACAGCCACATCTACAACCACACAGATCCCTGGGGTACGCAGAATATCAGATCAAACGGCACGCAACAGATTGAGGGAGGCTGGACTTTTTGCACGAAGACCTGTTCGACGTCATGTATTAACCCCACGTCATCTGGCGGACCGTCTGCTTTCGTGCAAAAAGAGGGTTAGACGGACACGTGCAAGGTGGAGAAATGTACTGTTTACTGACGAGTCCCGTTTCCTACTCACTCGTGCTGATGGGCGCGCACGTGTCTACAGACGTCGGGGTGAACGTTACGCCCCCAACTGTATGCAGCAGGTTGTCCCATTTGGCGGCGGGAGTGTCATGGTACGGGCCGGAATTCATCACGGTGGTAGGACGCCTCTCGTGCATGTGGCAGGTGCATTGACAGGTGTGCGTTACAGAGACTTGATCCTACAGCCTTACGTTCTTCCTCACGTCAACGTTCATGGCGGACAGTTCCAGCAGGACAACGCTCGACCGCATATTGCACGTGTTTGTCATGACTTCTTACAGCACAACAACATCCAGACATTACCTTGGCCAGCGCGGTCACCAGATTTGTCCCCGATTGAGCATCTGTGGGACGAGTTGGATCGACGCGTTCGCAGAAGGAACCAACCGCCCCAAACACTTCCGGCGCTTCTTGATGCACTTCAGCATGAATGGCAGCACATCCAACAACGTGTTATTGACAACTTGATTGCATCTATGGGTCGTCGGTTTCACGCGGTGATTGATGCACGTGGTGGGCACAACCGATACTGACATTTTCTGTACCCCTGTGACTTTAACCGTATCGTGTACATGTGTCTGTCTAGGTGACACGATTAATGTTTTGAACATTGTGTACATTGATCTTCAAACAGTGTTTCAATTATGGTTTCTGTACTTATTTTGAAACAATCGCATTATATTACGTTTTGAAAGTCAGTGTCAAGTTTCTTTTTTTGAAGAGTATACATCAGCAACCAGATCATGATACTTTGTGCCTGTGCTTCTTTCAATTACAGGGGATGGCTTTCTGTAACACCTCGCCAAATTTGGTTCCTACACGTGCAAGAGAGGTACAGCAGTGTTCTCACATCTTAGCCTCTTTCAAAACCAAAAACAGTTGCAACCACTGGCTAATGCCACACTTTACTGACTTTGAAACAGAAATGTTCAAAGAAATGAAAAATGTCGTTTTAATCACCAGAATGTAAAAACAATACATATATTTCTGGGACGTTTTTGTTTTTGTTTACTTTCTAAATGGATAGTGAAAGTTTTTCATCAACGTATTTTGAAACTCTATATCAAGAATGTATGACTACCGTTATTTTCACATTCTAGAAATCACTTGGGACCAATCCTATTTGTGTGGCAGCACCGTGTAACCATGGTGACAGTTTTGTGCTTGACATGGCAACGACGGGTGTGGCACAAGGAAAGGTAGGTTATAGGTCTAAAATATTAATGTCACTCTTTTGTTTCAATTTGGTTCGCTTAATTTGTTGAGACTGAAAGCATTCATTCAGATTCCCAAATATAGGAGTTGCTGACTGATAATATTTGGGAATAGAACATTCAGACAAGTGGGTATTCCCATTGGTATCTTCACGATCAAAGGCCCCTACAGGAAATGACGACTCTTGTGCGCCCTGTTATGAAATGTCACACACGCCCAACAACCTCTTCAAAGGAGACCTGTTACCTTTTTATTTTTTTTGGATAAACGTTCTCAATGGATTTGAGTTTTAACCAGCAATAAGCACAAGGACTGGAATTTTTTTCATCTGTTTGTTGGGGGACACGAGTGGCCGCGATTCGCTGTGTAGAGTTGCGTCCCTCTGGCACGCTAGAAACATAATTGTGGGTTTAAATCCCGGTTCGCGCCGATTATGTTTCTAGGTTTGTCAGCACCATTTCCGTGCTCGTGGGTTTCACCGAAGTGGTAAACGTCTGAGACCTGCATCACTTCGGGCTTTCCTCCCGCATTAAGCTGACACGCCGCGATATAACTGTAATACTGATGAAGACGGCGTTAAACCCAACTCATTCACTCACCCATCTGTTTGTTGACCAATTTACATTAGGTTTCACTGTCCTTGATATGGTCATTACATTGCATGGAAGGAACATGACCACATGTGTATCCCGTTGTTGAACAGGTAGAAATGAAACACCGACTGGGACAGGATCTTCCACATGGCTGGGGCGTGGACGAAACTGGGCAGGTGAGCTACAGTGATACTCCAGCAATATTTGCATAGTGAATCAGTTACAGGAACGCGTGTAGGACAGACACTTATAAACCTATCACCGTATTACCCTTTGTTGCATTAGGTTCCTGACAACCTCAGCTAAACCTTGATGGAAAGTAAATCAGTCACCAGTTCATCTGCCAAACCTGGGTCACTTCTCAACTTGCTTTGAGGTTTTAAATTCCAAATGTAAGACCTAGGTCTTACAATTGACATTTTGTGCACTGGCCTTTTGATATCAATATCATGTTAATTTTTGATTGGTTAAAAGTCGGGTTTTTTAATATGAACAATCCATGACCTGATCAAATCTGCAACCTGACATAGCGTGTAAAGTTTTGTAACCCGCTGTTTTCCCACTGAGCCACCGGGGCAGGTGATGAAAGGTTGTTCAATTGTACCTGTCATGATTTCAGTTGTGTCATTGTTGCACGTTTGTCTCTCGCACGCTTTGATCCTTTTATACCGCGACACACTGTATCACTCACACCTCTAAATCCAGATATCGAGAAACGCAATATCAGCTAAGCATACTCTACTCCCCACAGTAAATATTTGCTTAAATTCGACACATGCAACAAACGCTGAACGTTTCTGGAATGTGAATGTGAATGTCGTGTAGTCCTGCCTTCCTCTGCTGTTTGCTTTCCTAGCCATCCACTGACACCCGCCGTGTGCTACACCAGGGTGGATTACTGCCCCTTGGGGGCACAGAGGACACCAGTGGGTACAAGGGGTTTGGTCTGGCCATGATGGTGGAGATATTTTGCGGCATCCTCAGCGGATCTGACTTTGGACCATTCATCAGACATTGGTCATCTCATGCCAAGCAAGCCAATCTGGTGAGACTTTGGCATGTAGATGAATTTTCAGCTGAAACTGTTTAACTGTCATTTAGGGTGCTAGAGGACATATCTAAAAGGTTTTGTTTGTGGCCCGGAACAACAGAGTTGCGGTTCTTAGTCTGATCTGCACCTTACACATTCACTATGATCATGACATCACTTTGTGTTTTGTACGTGCCCATTCACGTATCCCGTAAAAAATGGAAATAATTTATATATCGAGCTAAATTATTGTTCAAATCATATCTTCTTATAATCCCCTTCTTATGTGATGCTATTATCTGTATCATCTGTCAGCCTGCCGGGCAGACGTAATCATACACCTGAAAACCGATTTGACCAAAACAATTACAAACGTTGTCAAAACGTTACAAGGCTTGAAACAGTCACTGAAACACTGCCAACTTTAGATCCAAAACACAACTATGATACCCGTATCATAAACATAACTATCGATTACCATTTCTTGGTTGTTTCCTTCTTAGCCACCATCAAACATGGGTGTATACTTCCGTTTGTCCGGCAGTTTATAATACTATAATACTGACAGTTATCTATCACAGGGCCAGTGTTTCGTTGCCATCGACCCAAGTTCTTTTGCGCCAGGATTTGAAGACAGACTGAGTCAGCTCATGGACCACTGCAGAGGACTGGAGCCGGTATGTTATAAAAATGAAACCGAATCATCGTAAAAATGTGTTTCAATATCTTTAAATTCAGATCTCTCCAGTCACCTTATTGTCTATTTTGACGATCACCGCAGGGGATTCTTAACTTCAGGGAATAGTGAGAGAAGCATTGGGGGCAGCATATATATCTGATTTCTGTATCTCGAAAACGAACATGAACGGGCAGTTCGAAAGGAGAATAGCGAAGGCCGGTCAATGTACATTATGGATATTATGTGCACTATATCTTTTCTGAGCGTAATGGCATATACACCCAAATGGTCTTTCTGTCGGGGGAACGTCTGTGTTTCGTTTAAAAAATATCAATCTATTTGAATATGGAGCCCTCACATTATGCATTTGGATTGGGCGACCACAGTTTGTAGGTGTTCATCTATTGAGGTTTCTTTCGATCTTGAGGGCCGGAGTCGAATCAGATTGAAAAATCGGATTTAAACGAGATCGAATATGATTGCATATGAAGGGGTATACAGTCACATTTTACAATAATATTCAGTCGATATGTTTTAATAATTACACAATGACAACTCTACACTGTATAATGAAATGAGCCTCTGTTGGCACACTTTCTGTTAGCCACGTGGACTATGGTTTCAGGCGGACGGAGAAACGGAAGTGCTGGTTGCTGGAGATCCGGAGCGCAAACACATGCAATTATGCGACAGTCTCGGAGGAATACCTTACCATGGTAATCAAATGAAGTTTGCGGTGAGTTAGACGAACATTGTGACTCACGTAGTGAGTGTGAGTTGAACGAACAAATTGACTCACATTGTGAGTTGGTTTAAAGCCGTTTTGGGCAATATTCCAGTTGCATCGCAGCTATCAACTTTAGGGGCGAGACAAATTCTAACAAAAGGTCGCAAATCTTTACCAAGTTGATGAAAGCCAAGGCTGACATAAGGATCCTGACACAGCTAAAGGATACAATTTCTCCTCCTTAGACCTCAAGGCTACCTCGCCCTCCCAGATACTGAGACACTTGCAAAACGTTCTCAACGTATCTTGTTTCTAAAGATCATTTATTCAATAGTTTAGGGGCTCAAAAAGATTAATAAGTCACTAACTGATTAATAAATTAGAAAGCAAGAATATCGAAGTCATTACTGCACTCAAATTATGGAAATTTGTCATAAAATACAACCATTATTGGGAATTGTTGTGGTGATAGATTCTGCTCGACTGGTTGTCAACCTGTGACCATTGAACCTGAATCTCGCAGGAAACACCTGCTATATAGTGGTATTAGATCTTATCACAGTTCGAGGGCACCCGGGAAGATGCGGGTTAAACTTGATCAGCCACCATGCTTGTCGTAAGAGGCGACTGACGAATCGGGTGGTCAGACAAGCTGATTTGGTTGATGCATGTCATCGGATCGCAGTTGCTGAGATCGGTGAGCATGATGTCAATCACAGGATTGTCTAGTCCAGACACTATTATTTACAGAACACCGTCACAAAGCTGAAACAGCTCTAGCACCAGTGGTATCTTGTTCACTATTTTATTTTCTTACATGGATGAGGGACTTTTTAAAAACATACTGATCCAATAAGATATCTTAATCTTAAAGGTACCTTAAACAGAATATTCGATCAGATATTCCAAAACATCTTCCCGAGGCAAGGGAGTTAACTGACTTTAAAAGTACAGTTTCCACCCTTGCTGAACTAGGCTGGAATTCGATGCGCCACCAGTGGTTATGTCCCTTCTAAGCCACTCCTATGGACCAATCCGATTCCCTCACTTGCATTTGTTTCAAACAAAATGGCGGCGCCCAGTCAAATGGGTTTGATCGATCATCAAGATCTATATTGTGATAAAACGGGTCTTACATCGCGAAGTACATCAAATCATGCAAACTCCTTGATTAAAAACATGAAAAGGTTTGGAAAATATATGATGGCAAAGAGTTGGCGGTGCACATGCTTTGCATATCCTGCAATCGACCGAAATCTGCACGACAGTTTACGAACCGGATTTCGAGTTCGGTGCGCGATTTTGTTTCGACTATGCATAGACTCGTTAGTCCAGCCAAAATGTAACTCCATAATTCCAGCCTTGTTCGGCAAGGGTGGCAACTGGACTTCTATAGTCAGTTAACTCCCTTGCCTTGGGAAGATGATTCCAAAAGTGAGTGAAAACGAAGTGCTTCTTTGAAGAAATGTTGACTTCAGTTGTACCTGCCAGGGTTGACAATTGTTCCACCCACACATTGTTCCCTATTAAATTGCAATTCACCCAATTTTTTTTCGTTTATGATCGGATAATATGTATATACGTTACGTTAACACCAGAGAATCATCACTCTACTATAAGAGGAAACAGATTCCATTATGCGTAAAAGGCACACTATTGGTAAAAAAGTATACGAACGGATTACTGAAAATATGTGATGAAAAAAGGTGTTTCAGAAAAAGGGTAAGGGTTCGCGTAAACCATGTAAAAACACAATATAAGACTGACACGTTGTCAACTACACCAGCACACAAAAAGATGACCCGTGAAGATTCCGGGTTAGAATAGGTCTTCAGCAAGCCGTAAAAGGTGACTATGCTCGTGGTAAGAGGCGACTAACGGGATCGGGTGGCCATGCTCGCTGACTTGGTTGATAATTTACAGACCGCCGTCGTAAAGCTGGAATATTGCTGATTGCGGCGTTATACAACAAACAAACAAATCAATTGCGTGGATCGATGTTCATTATGTAAATGACTGGATTGTCTGGTCCAGACTCGATTATTTACAGACCGCCGTCATATAGCTGCAATATTGCCGAGTACGGCGTTAAACAACAAACAAACAAAAAGAGGCTTCTGACCTAGTGTATATATGTTTTCATCCAAACACGTGATGTACATGACAAGTACACTTTGGAGTGAGAGACGTCACCCGCTCTCTTTATTACCTGGTATGTTATACATGAACCAACAAATCTCTTTCATTTCAGGATGACGTGGCAGCCAAATATAAAGTTGACCCACTCAGGAAAAGCAAACAAAGAAACAGCATATAAGAAACCATATCTCCTTTGCCTAATAAATGGATATCGTAGTGATGAGTGCTAATATGAAAATTGTTTAAATTGGAAAACCAGGTGAAAAATTGACTTGCTTTTGCATGTGTTTGTGACGGGTGACGCCGGTGGGACAGGTAACGCTCACATCTTCGCGAACACCTGGTATCATCCTTATCTGATATTGATTCATAAACACACGCTCATCGTATATTAAGAATTGTACAATAGACTGCTTTTGGCACAAATTTCTCAGGAATTTATTGTTTAACAATGTTGCAATTGTATAACTTTGTTTCTGTTAGGATTAAAATTCTGGAAATTAGTAATTAGTTGTCAGGAATGTAGTACTATCTAATAACCATGTTATAACACAATATTGCAGCTATATGACGGCGGTCTGTAAATAATCGAGTCTGGACCAGACAATCGAGTGCTTGACATCATGAGCATCGATACACGCAATTGGGATACGTTGACATGCATCAACCAAGTCAGCGAGCCTGACCACTCGATCCCGTCAGTCGCCTCTTACGACAAGCATAGTCGCCTCATAGAGCAAACATATGTTGCTGAAGACGTATCCTAACCGGAATTTTCACGGGTCTGGAATATTGCTGAGTGCGGCGTTAAACAACTAACGTAACACAACAGATAGCTAGATGAGTGTTATGAGTGCCAGACGGACAGAAGATGCCAATAAACTGAATGAAGCATTTGACCACATCATGCCAAAAGACTGCTTGATCCTCTGCTCACTCAGCATCGGATCCTGACTGAGGAATTGGGTGAATTTGATTGTAATATTTTTGTTTTTTCAACATATTTTCTATTCACAATGTAAAAGTAATTTACAATGACTTTATTAGCATTCGTTTCGGAAACGAATAAAATGTTTTTTTAATGTTGTTGTTGATGGTTCTTTAACATTTAGAAATATATGGTTAAAGATATTAATTAAATCTGAATATATTTTTCTTAGAACGGCATGTTTTCATAAATGTTAGAATATGTTAATAATAAATATGCACAGAAGAATTCATTTTGTTGTATTTCCTTTTACGAATGCATGTTTGATAGTTGAATTTTTCATTCTCATTGTGAAGCATAAGCCATTACGTAATAACATAGCACGTGATATGACATAATCACTTGTATACATTCCAGTGAGTTGAGATCAAGAGAGAAATAGATGCGGGCGGTTATGCAAACTCACTCTTCGTGCAATCGAATCTAGAGTCAATATTTAGTTATCTCGTCTGGTTGTGATCATATGAAGATGTCACTGATTCGAGAATGTAAAAGAACAACATTGTAAAATATGAGGGCAAGTACCACAATTTGGTCTCTTACACTTTTGTACTGTTTTACATTCTTGTTTTCCATTCGAGAAAGAAGTCCTAGTAAGAATCTGTTTTAGATTTTGGCTCTGTCTTTTACTTTTGAGTAAGGCATTGAGAATTTGAATATACTTATCTTTTAAGATTAAGTAATACAGATTTCTCCGAACTGTCTGAAAGCTTTCTGTAACAAAATTCATCTTTTAACATATTTAATGAGAGTTCTTGGTAATAATTACTGTCCATAATTATTATAGCGCCTCCCTTATCCGCTTCTTTAATAACAATTAACTCGTTGTTTGAGAGACGCTCGTTCATTTTTTGTTTACCTCTTTGAGGGTTTACAGTAAAGGGAAAATCTTTGTTACTACCAGGGGTTTGGAGTGAAGGTGCTTTTGTTTCTAACTTATGTAGTATCTTCGTTTTTGGCATCAATATCAAAATGATTTAGTAATCTCAATTTTCTACAAAAATTATATATATATATATATATATATATATATATATATATATATATATATATATATATATATTAAATCGGATATCGATGCTCTTCGCATTTCCCGAGGCAAGAGAGTTAACTGACTTTTAAAATCCAGTTTCCACCGTTGCCGAATTCCTGGGCTCGATCGTAGCGCCACCAGTGGCTATTACGAGTTATGTCCCTGCTAAGCCTCTCCTATGGACCAAACAGATTCCCAATGTAACTCCATAATACCAGCCTAGTTCGGCAAGGGTGGAAGCTGGACTTTTATAGACAATAAAATAAGTTAAATCTGTTGCCTCAGGAAGATGTGCGCTTCGTCAATTCCTACATACACATGAGAAATATGCTGACATCTCTCTCCTAGTGACGCTTTCCTTTTTTGGACAAACAACACTTGTTTCTTAATAACTCCCCAAAGCTGCTGATGTAACCACATTTGACAGTTTTAAAAAAAATACTTAGCACTGCACCATGACATCATGTCTATTTTTAGTTCGGGTCAATAGTAGGATAGTGACGTCACAATGTCATCATGTCTATTTTTAGTTTGGGTCCATAGTGGGTTACATACGACTCGGATTTAAGTATTTTTTTATTTAATATAATCATTTAACAGAATCATATGTTTTATGCCATTCATCTGTATGTCTTGTGCCAAACCGTATATCAAGTGTTCTTTGTTAAAACATCAATATAGACAATTAAGTATCACCTCCATTTTGTAGAAATTATACATGTGAAGATCCATCTGCCCAAAACAACATTCGTACATGTGATACCCCAATAACAACGCCTAGCGTATGTACTATTATCCAATCGTGAAAGTGAAACTCAATTTTTTAATAATATAACGCATTCATTGGATTGTTAAACTTCTGTGACGCATGAGTCTACCAATTATGGGTTTAAGTTGTTTGACCAGGATTATAGTGAGTGAGTGAGTTGGGTTTAACGCCGCTTTTAACAGTATTCCAGTTATATCACGGCGTACCAGGGTTATAACATTCAAGGTTTCAGTAAATTCCAAGTGTTCAAATAATTCCATGGTAGACATGTATAGGACAATTCTAATTCCTAATTTGACGCATCAATGACAGTTATGTCCAATTTCCCCTATTTTGACTTCTACCAGATGTTCCGGTTTTGCTCAGGTGATCATTTGACTTGCCTCTGCGTGTGTGAATGACGGACGTCACCCGGATACGCTCACCCTTTCGCGATTACCTGGTATCATCACTATTTGAAAGCTATTCTTAAACATATCCCAATGATATAGTTGGGATCGTACAGTCCCATAGACGAAGGATGTAGATGCTTACCACTCTAAAGAACCCCACGAGCATGAGTATTGGGTTCACTCTCAGTCTGCCTACATCTCAGTCTCCCTACACTGTAAATTGTTCAGGCGATACCTGAAGCCTCCAAACAAGACTTGGTGACCTCCAGCCTGAGAAGTGATGTACTCAACTTTCTGTAACGCAGCCATCATAACACTGTCACCAAAGTTCTATACACACCTTTTATACTATTTCAGGTTTTTTAGAATAAAATACTCCTTGAAATAAAGCAATGGGTTAACAATGTGAATAAAAGTTTGAATAGGATTCACTAATAAAAACACACAAAGTATATAAGTAAGTGTTTGATCTCTGAGTTAATTGGTTAATCCTTCTAACTGAGAAGGCATTGAATTTTAATAAATTATTTGATAACTAACCAGAACAAACAAAGAAACATTGGCATGTCTCACATTAACCTTTAGATTATTTTGTGTCTGAAAGGCCGTGCGGCCGATGTTGTTTTTTAATCTGCTGTTGATACTACATGTATGTAAAGCAACATCTTATTCTAAACTGTGAAATTGTAGACAATTTCATTTATAAAGCAACATCTTCCTTTTCTCTCGCTATTACATTGTGGACCATTCCATTTTTCACCAGGTAAGATAGCATTTCAGTTAGTCTGCCTACACTAATTACTAATTTACACTCAGTCTGCCTACAAAAAAGTGCAGGCAGATTGAGATGTAGGCAGACTGAGAGGTTACCGAGTATTGTGCCAACATACATACATTGCGAACGCATGGTCAGCGGATCCCTACGCGGCCAAGGGACACAACTACATATAGAAAAAGAAACGTCAACATACACCAGCCACTCAATTTTACGCTGTTGGCGGACGTACTCTAGCAGAGACACAAAGTAACCTTTAGATACGGAAAGCCGATATAGTACAACTGCACAAGTAAATGATGTGTATCAACATGTAGCCTACCTATTCACATGGTTGACAGCTTTACAACAACAACAACAACTCAAACACATATATAATTGATATGCATCTTGGCGACCGACCAACGTGTAAAGAATGCTATTATGGGCTGATTTCGTGGAAGCTGCGTAATAATCCTTCTCGGAATTGCAGATTTTCTTCTCACCCAATTGTAGCCATGTATGAGTTGTTCCTTTAGGGGCATGCCGCTTTACAGTCTATAGGGTGCTTGTGTGGAGGGTTTTGTGCCAGAGACATGATATTCAAAACACGCAATCTTGTCAATACATGTTGCACCGAGTTAAAAAAAACCTTTGACAGATAACGTTCAAGGAAATTGAGCTTATCTCTCGTGTGACCTTGTATTAGCTTGAAAGGATTTGTGCATATGCATACACCCTGTTGCCTTTACTTCACTCGCCTAATTAACACTGGGTATAATTTGGATTTACGTTGAAATGATTGCATGTTCATCACTCGTCCTCCTGTTGGTGATTGGTGAGTACCTTTTGCTTACCTGTGATACACGTTGTTATTTTCGTATTGGTCTTTACTTTTTCATATCCCTTGCTTCATACGACACGACAATATCGCATTATCTATGTAAACAGGAATGTGTACCTTGCGGAGCAGCAGCCATGCCTGCAGTAGAGATGTTCTTACCCAGGTACAAGACCTGTCATGCGCCTTCTCAGCTGTGAACAAAGCAATTTGTGCAACAGACCAACATTTAATTGACACTTCGTACTTTAAACGTTAATGTTCAACTTCAGTAAGACTGCATAGACATGTCCATACTAATGATCCTGTTAAATGTTGTCCTTATGGCACAGATTATCGGCTACTAATTTTGTTGGTAACTCCAATAGGCACTTTTCTGGTTCAAGTATAAATTTGAATGTGGACTAAGAAAACGAGGTGAGGATACAGGTTTATCTTGCCAGTCGTCCATCGGATTGGGTATCCACAATGCATATGTCAACAGTTCATATGACGGATTATCGGAATGAGATACCCACACGGGTAAAATCATGGAGCACTTATCCACAGAATTGCTTCCATTACTGAGATGGCTAATACCTTTCAGCTTTGTCTCCTCAGAAGGTTTAGGGAGATCACTATGTAACATAGTAGCATGAAGACGTGAGCATGTCTTACATGTTAGCCTGTTCTGACAAAATTTTGAAAGATGTCCATTAAGCATCTTTGCTTAAAACAGTGTATAAAATGATATATATATATATACATATTATAATGTTTCGAAAACTCTGAACGGAGAAACTGAGTATTCATGATGTTTATTTTAGAAGATAATAACTGAAGCTCCTCCGTTTTCATTCTGTGCAGTAGACTGTTTCGGACCCTTTTATTTTAAGGAAGTTAAAGCGATTCGGTGTTCTGTTCACATGCCTGTGTTGCCGAGCAATACACATAGAGACTGTTGTGTCAATGAGTACAGACTCATTTATCAACGCCCTAAGACGCTTTATGTCAGTGCGTGGTCCGATCCGTCAACTACGATGCGATCAAGGTACTAACTTTGTAGGGGCAAAGAACGAACTGCATGGTGTTCTAACAAATCTTGATCAAAGAAAATTGAGACAATTCCTATTGCAGAGAGACTGTGGTTTCTTTGAGTTCAAGTTTAACCCACCATGTGCAAGCCATATGGGTGGTGTCTGGGAGAGGCAGATTAGAACTGCAAGAAATATCATATCTGCTTTACTTCATGACTTTGGATCACAGTTGGATGACGAATCCCTCCGTACTGTGATGTGTGAAACTGCTGCCATTGCAGATCAATGATACCGACAACACCCCATCCCAGGTCGGTACGTTGTCCATATGGTTGACCTTCCTGAACTGGTGCGATAACCTCACGAGGTATGAGTCCTTGTGGGCAATTATAGCCTATCAATAGACCAATGTCATCATCGTATGTTGGCTTCAATACATCACACAGTTGTTGTAAGTGTGACCATGCTTGCACTTTGTCGGGGGTCGGAATATGGTCTTTATTGGCTGGTATCACATCCTTTGAATATGTTCCAGGGAGAGCAATCCTGAACACATTGTCCATTCCTCGAACTTGAAGACCTCTGACCTTCTCGCTTCTGACATGTGCATTTGCTGAAGTCATTGTAGAGAGCAACAGATTAACTGGTGTACCTGTGACACCGAGTTTGTTGCACAAGTCTTTTAACACAAAAGTCGCATCGGATTGGGTATCCACAATGCATATGTCAACAGTTCATTTGACGGATTATCGGAATGAGATACCCACACGGGTAAAATCATGGAGCACTTATCCACAGAATTGCTTCCATTACTGAGATGGCTAATACCTTTCAGCTTTGTCTCCTCAGAAGGTTTAGGGAGATCACTATGTAACATAGTTGCATGAAGACGTGAGCATGTCTTACATGTTAGCCTGTTCTGACAAAACTTTGAAAGATGTCCTGGCTTGAGACATCCAAAGCACACTTGACTGTCTATGAGGAACTGTTTTCTTTCAATCAAGGGTTTAGACAACAATGTCTCACAATCATCAAGCTTGTGTTGACCTTTACAGAAAAGGCAAGTTTCAAATTTCACATTTGATTTCTTGTCTAATTTACCTGTGACAGTGCTTAGAGATGAATCTTTCAGATTTACGTCGAACACTGTACCATGTGGTCGTTTAGATGTCTGATGCTGTGACGATGCACGAGTGTTCCGGGGCTTGTTCTCATGTTTCAATTCCAAGGGAAAAGAAGTGACAGGATCACACATTATTTCTGCTTCCTTAGCAATGAAAGTCACAAATCTTGAGAATTTAGGAAATTCTGATGTCTGTTCCCTATATTCGGCGACTTTACGTCTCCAACAATTGAGGAGCCAATCAGGTAGCTTCTGAATAAGCTTACGATTTTCACATTCATCATTTAGGATGTCAAGTGATCTGACGCTTGACATTGCTGTTTCACACTGTCTGAGAAAGTCTGCAAACTTACGTAATGCATTACCATCCCTTGCTGGTAGTTTCGGACATGAATCTAGACGGTCACGAAACGCACCTCCAATAATGAAATGGTTTCCAAAACGTTCATCAAGCAATTTGATCGCCTCACTGAATGCATTCTCTGACGATAAAAGAAAAAATCCCTCGACAGCCTCTTTGGCTTGTCCGTCAAGATAGCGTTGCAAATAATAGATTTTTTCACTTTCAGGAATACCTCGCCTCCCTATGAGGACATTGAATGCACTTTTCCATTTTGGGTACATTAGAGAAAGTGCCTGGCTCTGGTGGAGGTAAACGCCCAATGTTTATCTGATTTACTAAGGCCTTGATTAAATCTTCATTCTGAGATTCTCTGAGCGGAACGTTTTGACTGAACGGAACATTTTGCGAGTCTTGAACGTTTTTAATCGGAACAGATTCTATGTCTACATTCACAATGTCACTTTTGACATATGACTCTTGTGGAGCTTTAATTTCACTTTGTGTAAGATTCTCAACCTGAACTGAGTCAATATAATCTTGTACAAACATGTATTTTCCATCCGGACATAAAGCAGGAGAATGAACAGAATCCTCATTCACTTCACTTTCTAATTTCTCTACAGCTTCTAATTGTGCCATAGCCATAGATATTTTCGTTTCAGTTTGACACCTTTCAAGCTCAGCTCTCTTTTGATTTTCAACTTCAAGAAATTTCAATTTAGTCTTTAATGCTGCAGCTTCGGCTGTAGCAGCAATTTCGGTCTCCTACAGTTTTGACACATTCGACATTTTTGATGACTTAGTCTTTACAGATTTACATGATTTGCTGTCAGCGAATTTCCGTTCACTCAAACCAAATTCAAGGTCACACAGTTTATCACTCACGGATTTAATTAAATCAAAATGTTTTGATTCATTCTCGTCAAATTTTGCAAGCAAATGTTCATCAGAATAATTGAATTCAGTTAGTTTCCCATGTTCACTACACACAATTGCCATACGGTCTTCTAAACAATCACGAATTGAACGCAGTTCAGATATGGCCACACTGTCAGATACTAACTTCATGACACTACCCGCCTGCCGACGCCATGCAGATAGTGCAGATTTGAAACGTTTGACACATAGTTCAATCTTATAATCAGTGTATTCTTGTGTAGGTTTAGCCGCACGGCTACTTAAATCATCATCACAATTGTTCATATTGTCAATATTCAAATCCATGCTGACACTATTGAAATTCAACTTACTCCCGGTACACGTTCTTTCCACTCAATCGATGTTTTACTATAATGTTTTCGAAAACTCTGACTGAGAAACTGAGTATTCATGATGTTTATTTTACAGAATTTCTAATATAGAGAACTCACAGTTGTCCAATTCCCTGAAATCCGTAAAACATATTGACGGAATGCGGATAAACAAAGGCTTTTCTCACCGGAAGGCATGGTACTCGCTCCATACCCCAAGGGAGCTAAAGAAATACTCACCGCTAATGAGAAGAAACAATAAAGCGCTATTAAAATATCATATTACCATACCTGACTGACTACCGTTACATATATCCACAATCGTGTGTGGTTCAAACATATGACAATTCGGTGTATGTATCAGTAACTGTACATGATATACCAAGTTTCTTGTTGCTGTTTCCATCGTATGACCTTAGCATTTCAAACCATGTCTTTCGATAATATCTGACCATTGTACCAACAAGTGAGAAAGGCAGATTATTTTAAGACTCGCTTTAGGTGGATACATTACACTACAGTACAACTATAGATTAACAGATCGTTATGTTTCGTGACATATTGATGTTGCATACCGCCAATGGGCTAGACTTTAAAAGATCGAAGGGCTTCCCGATCGGGCTGCCGTTTTTCCCCTTTATCTCGAATTCTTAAAACTATGTTAAAATGAGCCCCAGATAGTTGTCGAAATCGGAAATGTTTATTTTATTTTCACCACAAACGAAGGTAAATCCAGTCATGGGGATCGAAGAATCCGGAAATGCGCAACAGTTGATTGATAATTGATAACCTTTATTGATATGTAGTTTATTATTTAAACATCAGGTGTTCAGAACGTCCAGCATGGGAGACAACTCCAGATCAGGATGCTGCCGTTCCTTCAGTCGTCTGAGCCAACTCCGAAACCAAGAACATTAGTTGACTTTCATGCAGTCAAACACCTTTGTGTCAAAATTGAAGGGACCTCCGAGGTTCTTTACAACCAAACATGATAAACATTGATAAAGAAGAAATACGCAGGGACCAAACTTTAACTTCGAGACAACCGCAAGTTCGACACAACGGTGTTTGACTGTACCAATAATTGTAAAACTACATCTACCACAACTAGACTCGTGGCTCTCCATGGTCAAATCTATCTACATGCATTACAGTAATAGTATGTATTTCTCATTCCTGTGTAATGCCCAATGTCCTTTTAATGTGACAGGCCTGGTGTCGCCGAATCCTGATGTAGATACTACCTGGATGAAAACCACTCTTCAAAACTATTTCTCCAAACCTCGACACCATGCCACACACCCAACATACAAAGCTGAAGCCAGGGACTTCATCATGAAGGAGTTCAAAAGCTACGGATTGGAGACACACTCTCAACGTTTTGACACGAATCTTGTGCCGGTAATGCTGATTTAACACGCTGTGATATTATATGACTGATGGTATGTGTCAGGATTTATCACATCATACAGACAGGCCATTAGTGTGTGTGTTAGTGTGTTAGTGTTAGTGTGTTAGTGTGTGTGTGTGTGTTAGTTAGTGTGTGTGTGTGTGTGTGTGTGTGTGTGTGTGTGTGTGTGTGTGTGTGTGTGTGTGTGTGTGTGTGTGTGTGTGTGCTAGTCTAGAGTAATGGCGCGGGTTTTATAGACTAAGTGCTAGCCAACTGAGATACCACGCCGCAGTTGAAATATGGATATCCCGCACACACATTATACTGACTCCGAGCTGGCGATACCTTGCTTTAATATCCCCTTAATGCCGAGAGCTCTGCAGGGTCACAACTAGTCTCTTCTTTTAGTGTGGCCACTGGATCAAACCACTGACCGTCCTCTCTCTCTCTCTCTCGCTCTCCCCCTCTCTCTCTCTCTCTCTCTCTCGCTCTCTCTCGCGCGCGCTCTCTCTCTCTGTCTCTATTCACGAGATCAGGGATGCCGCTACATATATATGGGGTAACGTTGAATCTTTTAACATATTCGCCTGATCAATTTAGAAGATTGAAAATTAAACACTGCATAACACATACTCTCAGTTTTGCTTAGCTACTAGTTCCTCACATTGACGACACAGTGTAATCGCAGTTTGACAGCACAATAACCCTTATATCAATTCGGGCTCGCCTCTTACACTAAAGTGGCACGATGTTATATAACCGGACCACTATAACGTGAGGCACTCGTATCATTGTTTAGTGTCTCGATCATCACCATGTCATACCCTCTTTACCTTACAGGTGAAAGGTGTAAATATCATCGCAATGTCGAAGGGAAAGAATTTCGGAACATTTAAAGATCAAATAGTTGGAGTCGCTGCGCATTATGATACCATGAGAGACACTCCAGGTAAGGATTTTGGTTGAAATCATGATTCATAACAATCACTTTCGTCAAACATTATCCGAAACTACTGCACACGAAATGCCGTCGTAACACCATGAGGGACACACCAGATAATCAATTGATTTTAAATCATGATCACATTCACATTCCATGAGCATGTAAATCAACTGCATCAGAAATGCAATAGTCGAGTTTTCATTTATGTTTTTTTTCATTGTATTCAGCATTATCACTATTTTACTGGAGCCTGTTAACAAACATGACCAGTACCTCATAGCACGATAAACGATTCACGCCTTCTGGTACTATTGCACGTAAAAAGTCAGGTCACAAATTATTTGTGTTTTGTGTGTTGTTCACAGCAGTCAAAATTTCTCGAGCTACATCACGGCTGCTTACTGTACAAATGCCAGTACCAGACAAATCCTGCAAGTTGTTGATATTGTGAACACTAGATTCTACAAGTCGCTGCTTCGACAAGTGAAAACGTTCTGGATGAGTCATCTGACATATCCTCATTTTAACATTAAAATCTTGACAGCAGATATCGATATTCATACACCATCAGTTGACAAGAAACTCGTCCCATACGTTCCTTGCAGGTGTTGACGACAATGGCGCTGCAGTTGTCGGTATGTTACAAGCAGCCAAACATCTCGCCAAGTTCACACGAGACTTCACCGTGGTTTTTGTCGCCTTTGATTTCGAAGAATGGGAAAATAGAGGTCGGTACTCTAACATTGTTAGTGGATACTGCTAGACTAGAAAGTTTTGCATGCTCAAAATATTTTCGAACCAAACACATTACTCGCGATAACAATGTACATTTTTTTATAAGAAATGTAAATCTGTGTTTTTCCCTTACTCTAGTTATTTGAACATTTGTATCAAAACAGTCGCCCATGACATTTTCTATTTCAAAAGGACTTCCCCTCGAGGCGTGTGGAAACCTGAGTTGTGGAAGCAGAAAGTTCCTCAGTGACTGGGTGCCCACGTTTTGGAGCACGACACCTGTTGTAAAAGGGGTCGTCGTCATGGACACCATTTTTAACATACAGGAAATGCCAAACACCCAACAACTCCCACCTGGTTTGGCTCAGGTAGTGGCAACATAGTATTAATCATCATACCGAAACATATTATATTATAGGTGTTTTTTTCCTTGAATCTGGCTGGACACCAAGTTGACTTGAATACAGAATAGTTATTCAAGTGTTTATTACCGAATACCTGTAGCTCAATACCTTCGCAATGATTCTTCTCTTCATAGAGAACATTAAAAACTATTTCTGTATCAGCCTAGGGTGTACTTTTTTCAAATCTTGTACTTTCTGATAGCTTTGCTGAGCCTTCTGCCTGACGAATTCCTGCTTTCGTGGTTTCGGTATCTAACAGTTACGGTGTATATAACGTCAAAGCCAAAGCATAACCAGTCTCGAATATCCGTCAAAACAAATTCCAATGAGTGCAAAAGGCAAAATAGCGTTGAAAAAAACCCCCATTAAAAATCATGGACTTTCGGATAGCTTTGCTGATCTTTTCGTCATACGAATACCCGCTTTAGCGGTTTCGGTACAACGGCAAATCATTCGGTGAAAACTATGTGAATGGATCATATGCTAGAACGTAACTAATGGCCTTTGTTCCAACCAGAGGTGCCTCGTGCAGACGTTCGGTACGGTCGACTACTTATTACATATAGGGGTGTAGTTCAGGAAGTATTACTACTTTGAAAAACGAGAAGGATAGGAAACAAAAGGATGACGAGACAAGAATGATTAATTGTTAAATCCGCATGTATCTCCAGCTTAATCCGGGCGTTGTGAACAGCATTAACTCAGACGGCAAGAAGGGAGATTTCATCGCTGCAATTGGCCGTGCCTACGATTCTGACGTCCTTGATGCCTTCGTCACTTCTTACACCGCCTTGGGTCAACCTGGGTTCGAGCTTGAGAAGATTAACATCACCGCTCTAACTGGCCCGACAGTAACACCACAGCAATTCATGGTGTTCCAGGACTTCATGAGGAGTGACCACTACACCTTCTGGTCAAACGGAATCAAGGCAATCTTCCTGACGGACACAGGTGATCCACTGTCATGTGACTTGTTTGAATCTGAGAGATAACCGAGATATCTTTTTTATATTCTTTAGAAATTAAACTTAAGTAGGGAACATATTTTAGTAATATCGCGTTTAACAAAGCATCGCCACTCAAATGTTAAAGTGTTTGTCCTGGTGAAAAGAAATATTGAAATATGTACATGTAGATACAGTGTACCAATTATGTCGTGTCGTGGCAGCTTAATGTGAGAGACAAGTGACACTTAATGCTTTGGGGGGAGGGGGTGTTGTTAATTCGCTGTGCAGAGTCCCCTGGGCATGCCAGAAGCCAATTATCGGGGGTTCCAATCCCGGTACCACTATAGGATCCTGCCACGCCCAAGGGACACTGCTCTGCATAGCTGATTTATGCGCTTGTGACGATTGCGCTGCAGTACCCCCGATGATCTGTTGCAGTGATTAGTAATATCCACCAGTATATATAAACATTATCTCGTGAGAACATGACTAACACTTTTCATTTCTTACAATAAAATGTAAACGTTATCTTTAAGCTAACTTCCGAGGGTACATGGAAGTCTGCTACCATCACTCCTGTGATAATCTTAGCCGAATGACTGACAAGATGCTTCAGTTTCTCGGCAAGACGACCCAAGCTGTCATTGGTACAGTCAACAAACTGGCACCATCTACCGGACATGTATCGGGGGCAGGTAACTCTAGCCATGACACACTATTTGTTAGCTTTTGATGAAAATCATCGGCTTATACCTGAAATATTATCTCTGACTTGGGTTTAACGGTGATTTTAACATCATGTGGAAGTTGCGACAAATGTGACACATAATACTTTCGTATCAAAGGGACACAAGTAGCAAGGGACACAACCCTCCACAGAGAATTGTGGTGCCTTTTGAAAATGGGCCACCTAGAACACAAGTGAACAACTATATTCAACATTGGTTGGTGGCGACACAAAATACGCTGCCAAACATATACGAAGGGCGTTCAAAACGTTTTGCAACTTCAATATAAGACCAAGTCGCATAATAACTTTTGCACTTTTATTTTTCAATATAATCTCCATTCACCTCAATACACTTATTCCATTTGTCCTTCAAGCTTTTAATGCCACTTTTATAGAAATTCGCAGATTGGCCCTCTAACAGGAAATAGTCACTGGGGGCTAAGTCTGGGCTGTAGGGTTGGTGATTTAACTGTTCGAATCCACATTCACATATGGCGGCATGTGCACTTCTCGACTTGTCATGCAAAAGTAGCATTCCACGTGTTAACATCGAACGGCATTTCTGGCGAATAGATTTTCGCAGTTCTTTCATTACATTAGCATAATACTGTTTATTGATTGTAGTCTTTGGTGGCATGTAATCAGTCAGTAATATGCCTCTTGCATCCCAAAATATGGTGGCGATTACCTTTCAGCCGATGGTTGAGTGCGTAACTTCCACGGAGGCGGAGAATTTGGGTGCTTCTATTGCATGGATTCCAAGTTAGTTTCTGGGTCCCAGTGGTGGATCCATGTTTCATCACCTGTCACTAGACGAGAAAGAAATCTGGCTTCATCAGCAGTACAGAGATCCAGGAGGTCTCGACAACTTTCAGTTCTCTGATGGCGATCTTTAGCTCTGAGGTTTCTAGGTACCCATCTTGCAGATACCTTGGACATACCAAGATGCTCATGAACAATGGTTCCAACAGTTCCAACTGATATTTGGAATTCCCTAGAAAGTTCAGATACTTTCACTCGTCGGTCAGACAAAATTCTTCTTTCTATAGCAGCAATGGTTTCCGGTTGGGTGCCATCTGAAGGCCTGCCTCAACTTGGGTCATCGTCTTTTGACTCCCTCCCTATACCTTACTGTAGAGACCAACGGCAAACTGTGGAATAGTCAGGAGCATCCTTACCATCACTTTACACATGCGATCGTGGATTTCTTTTGCTTTGCATCCCTCCTTGGTGAGGAACTTTATCACAGCGCGTTGTTCATGTTTGAGAGAATCCATGATTGTGACCACCCTCAGGTGAATGAAGCCATCACATCTAACTTATTGTTGTTATGACACGTGTCAATCTGATGTTATGATATGTGTCACACCTGCCACAAGTTGACATTGTTGTGTAAACACAAATGCCCAATTTGCAAAACTTATTGAACGCCCCTCGTATCTACAACAGATGGTGTTTTCCATTACTGCCTGAAGTCTCTCTTTGTCAATGAAAGGTTATCGGATAAAAGTTATGAAAATTCGCTGTCTTGATAAAAATTATACCTTGGAGACTGGTTTGCTGCGATAAAACATATGTTGTCTGGTGCAGGGTCGAACAGTTGGAGGTTTGACACTGCACACATACATTCTTATTCCTTTGAACACATCTGATAACTTTTATAATGCTGTCCTTATCTTTAGCTCTGCATTTCTAATTCAACAGTTGGTTGGTTGGTTTGTTGTTTTACGCCCCACTCAGCAATATTCCATCTATATGACGGCGGTCTGTAAAACGAAATGGAGTCTGGACCAGACAATCCAGTGATTGACATCATGAACATCGATCCACGCAATTGGGATACGATGATATGCATCAACCAAGTCAGCGAGCCTGTCCACCCGATCTCGTTAGTCGCCTGAGCCCTCTTACGACAAGCATAGTCGCCTTTTACGGCAAGCATGGGTTGCTGAAGACCTATCCTTCCCCGGATCTTCACGGGTCTCTCAACAGATCTTGTGGGTCAATAACATATTTTAGTCATAAGACATATATGAAGTTTTAATGCATGTTGCTGTTTACAATCCTTGTTTGATGTTTCAGGGATCCCTGGGAACAACGCTGTCCTGTTGGCATGTCTCGTGGCTCTGTACTCAAGACTCGCAATGCCAGAATAGAGGGACATCCTTCTCCAGAAACAAAGTACTTCATTCAGCGTGGTACAGTCCCGCAAGATTCTTTTCGACACATAAAATAAACTTGTGTCCAAACTATTTTGATAAATGTAACTGATTTCTGTAGAGGATATGTCTGTTTTATAGAGCGGTTCCAGTATTTTAGAATTAGATGTTCATAGTTCTATCAGATAACCGTCATGCTTAATCTTTTACAAACTGTATTAATTTTCCTTTTCATTATTAAAGAGAAAATAGCGTATTGTCGTAATAACGAAATAACAAGAAATAAAGGTCAATACATACCTTCAAGGGGTTGTTTAATGTGTTAATAACGTGTCTCTGACGCGATAGATGCACACACGTTGACACACAATGACCAGGACCGTTGTATTATATAAATCAAATGAAACTTAATGGTGTTGGTCATATGGAATTGGAACCATATGCCTGAAGGCTGAGTGCAAATCAATTTACTTGGGCTCAATAATGTACAGGCCTTTGTGAGATGTGGACTACTCCTGACTGTGACATTCAGTGTACTTCAAAGTTAGGTGGATAAATGTATTGTCCACCTACTCCAGTAGAACTGGCTGATTTGTCAGACCAGCGTTCCGTTGACTTTGTAGACAAACCCGACTCAGATATGTTGACAATGGGATACGGAGGGTTTGCTCATAACATATGCAGTTTCTATGGCAAATGCAATGGGGAAAAAATAAAATTATTGTTTCTCAGGGATATGCCATTACATTTTGCCCAGAGGCGTAAGCTAACATCAACTACATAATATACTAAAACTTTCATCAGGTTTAACTGGTTCTCTATTTACTTGAGGCTGATATAAAATCATTCTTGAGTCTACGGATGGTTAAAGCGGTGGCACGGCACCCAAATGTCCCTGGTTTGATTTCCTAAGTTGGTACAATGTGTGAACCGCATGTTTGTTGTCTCCCGCTGTGACATGGTTATGTTTGTTTGTTTGTTATTTTATCCCGCTCTCAGCAATATTCCAGCCATATGACGCGGTCTCTAAATAATCGAGCCTGACATCATGACAACCGATCTACGCAGTTTGGATACGATGACATGCATCAACCAAGTCGGAGAGCCTGATCACCCGATCTTTCGACAAGGATTGCCTTTTACAGCAAGCATGGGTTGCTGAAGACCTATTCTAACCCGGGTCTCACAGAAATATATGACTAGGTATTCCCATCACATCGTCGTTCACTCACTCACAAACTCACATATAAAAGTTACAACAGAGTTGTTAGATCTGCTTCTCCTGCATGTTGTGCAGGGCAGTCATATGTGAACTATTAATCGACCAGTACCTTGTACCTTGGCTAGCGAGCAACAGTCAGTTTTGGCAAAGGCTGACACTCCTCCAATTAATATAACCAATTCATTTCAAGTGATTTTATATAATAAATAGTGTTAGCATTTACTCCTACACACTTTGTCCATCAATCTTTATTACAGAAATACGTATACTGAAAGGCCTATAGTGAATATCTTTGTGGGTAGTAGGTGGACATATTGAGTTCTACTTGCTTAAGTCACTCATCTTATCATTACGCAGTCAAAGGCTTCAGTACATAAATATTTGTAGAAGACATTAATTCATTAAACTGAAAAATATTGGAAATTGATCATTGATGGATGTAGGTACGCAATTCGTAAATTCTGATAAAATGGACAAATGAGAACGAAATGGTACTCATCCTCTATTAGCTGTACATTACACATTCTGAACATTCTGTTCAAATTATTCGAAAACAAAGGCGAAAAAACCCGTTTCATAATCACAAGAAATCTACATTGGCCATTTGCCGATTCCGACTATATGAAAAGCATGTGTGCATGTTCGCATCTCGTTAATATGTAGTGTACTACACACACCCTTCCCTTTATGACGCCCATTGTTCAGGCGTATCAGGTGTGTGAAACAACTGCTCTGCATGCGTTTTACTGTGCGTATCTAGCATTGACTCTCAGGACAGATTTTTCACTGTTACACTGGAAATATTTGTTAAGTGAGAGACGCTCAGAATGCCATTTTCTTATGATACAAAAAACGTATACGGAATGAACATGTAAATTAAACTTTGACATCCTTACATGAACTCATCTGTACAAACATGGATTGTTACATCCTACGTATGCAGTGTATTATGACACCGAATAACCCTCACTTGCAACTTGGAAGGCACATGTATTTTAACAAACTTGGAATACAACAAAACACAATGTATTTGACAAGCAATAACGTTCGACCTTCTTAGCATATTACACCCTCTGTGTATTTCATAATGAAAACGCCCGTTTCTGACTTTGAATGTCCAGTTCACATCAATAACTTTTGCTCAGTGACTATATTCTATCGCGTGTAGAGTGCATTCATGTATTTGACGACAGAGGTTTTGAACAATATTCATGAACTCTTTGTCATGTACCGGCTAGAATTCAGATCATACAATTTTGAAAGCACATTCACTCAGCTATCTGAGCCACACTCCCTTGATAAGCTGTCAACGCTTTCGATTATATTTTTTCTATTGGAACTATATAAAAACGCTTACACTTCCATGGCTGAAGACGTCACCTTTTTGCACGATATTTTCAAAGAAACACATATGGTTATCCTTTTGATAAATGTGTAGCCTTTTCCTGTTCAAAACCTAACCTTTTCTTCTCGGTCCACCATTGAATGCAAACTACTTAAAGTTTTAATAGTAGTCTGATGTTAAAGTTGATCAGTGACCTTGGCTCAGTGACGATATGTTACCCCTTGTGAAATGTATGCATGTATTTGACGACAGCAGCTTTTGAAAAATATTCATTAACTCTTTATAACCCACTAGAATTCAGATAATACAATTTGATTGAAGGATCAGAGCGACACAACCTTGATCAGCTGTCAACGCTAAACGTGAAAACAAATTTTACATTATACAAACGGACAGTATAGTTGCATTCTAACTTTGCACATTAACTAGTCATAATACTTATACTACAATAAAACTTGGGATGATCATACGTTCAGGTCGTGAGAAGGATTTCTTCTTTTATTTATACGGATGTCAACTACAAAAGAATCACACACACACACACACACACACACACACACACACACACACACACACACACACACACACACACGTTTTTTTGCAAAACAAATATACATCTTAAACGGTTTTTCTTTCTTTACTATTAGCCTGCAGGATCTCTGCACTTGTACACGGCAAATATTCAAAATTAACATTGCGTTTTTAGTAAATGCGTTATCGTGTGACTGGATGTCAGGTCTATCAGTTGATCGTCCGATTCGTATACATGCCTCCGGTCATAGGAGTTCTGTTTCATAATTTCTAATTCAAGTTTTGTGAATGGTGGGTGTGTGGGATGGGGGGTGTTGGGGGGGGGGGGGTAGTTGATACCCGTTGAGCGAACATGATTATCCTTTTTGCGAACTACTGGTGATATGATAATCAGCTATTTTGCCTTGAACGACCAATGGAATCTGTTTTGTCGGGAAATCAAGACTGGTTATTCTCTGGCCTTGACGTTTAATATTTATGTGACACCTGTGCCCCAACACCAAGCGTCAATACATCAGGCATTGTTTAGATCATCACGAAGTTAACCAATGACTGGATCGTTTTTGTGTACCATCATATTCCAAACCACGACCTGTTCTTGTTGTAGTCACACAATATGCCATCGTTTGAATCATAGTTAACATTGTAGAACAAAGTAGTATATGTCCCTTACAGCTCAAATGTTTCCTTGTCCCTCAAACCCGAAGAAATCATATTCAGTGGGAGAGAAGTGTTATAGCCACGGGTCCTACTATAATACAGCAAAATTGTTTCCTTTTCCACCGGTGAGTCACCTATAATAAATCTTACCCGAGTATCTCAGTAGTTTTAATATAAGGGTAAAGCTATTTTTTCAGGGCATTATCATTTGCAGAAGCCCGAAGTCTTCCACCAACTTCCCGACGAATGTAGGTTTTGAAACATTTACTGCAATCAACACGAATGTCACTGACCCACTTTTACAAATATTGAAACGTCATAGAATAAACCAGATGACGTCACTATTGAACGTGACGTCACTATCCCTACTCTATTACGTCACCTAACGGCGTGATAATGGCCCGTAGTCAACCAATATGAGGGCATTATCAAGTTGCAGTGGCCCGCCAATTTTTGATAACGGGCGGTTTAATATAAGGGTAACGCTATTTTTCAGGGCATTATCATTTGCAGAAGCCCGAGGTCTTCCATTAACTGCCCGACGAAGGAGTGCAGTTGAAAAGACCGAGGGCTTCTGCAAATGATCATGCCCTGAAAAATAGCGTTACCGTTATTATAGCTAAAATGGATGGATTTTGTTATCAAATAAAAACAAACAACAATATCGGTTTTGAAACATTCACTGCAATCAACACGAATGTCACTGACCCACTTTTACAAATATGGAAACGTCATAGAGCAAACCAGATGACGTCACTATTGAATGTGACGTCACCTATCCCTATCCTATGACGTCACCCAACAACGGGCGTGATAATGGCCCGTCGTCAAGCAATATGAGGGCATTATCAAGTAACAGTGGCACGCTCATTTCTGATAACATGCGGGCGGTTTATGATAATTCTATCCGTTTTAGCTATAATGTCAAATAAAAACTTTTACCGAAGAGTGATGATGTATTTGTAATACAAAACACAAGGGGTAAGATTCTATCTATCATCCCAAACAATATCTTAGTTTGTAAACTGCACGAACCAGTATCTCTTGAACAAAAAGTAATTTTAAAAACAAACAAGATCAAGTGGTAGAGAGTTACGGCTATGGGTCCTTCTGTAAAAAAAACAGCAAAGGAAAAGTTAACAGTCACATGACAATACCCTGTTACGTTATTTTCAGAATAAGGATAAAAAAAGGAAATAAACCTTGTGTGCTTTCACTGTTTAGATTCGTTTACTCAGATTAGATCACGATAAGGATATAAACATTGCGAGCTTTCAAATTATGGATTTAACAAAGATTCAATAACTTTTGAATATTTTGGGAAAACGATTGCACTCGAACCTCGAGAATTATACAGGTTGGTATATGGCATGGAATATTGCTAAGTACTATTGCTATTGCGAACTACATGTATTAACAAACGTGGCAGGAATATTTATAAAACCATGCACTGTATTCGCGCATACATATGAAGTAAACCACATTTATTGAAGGTATTTTGCAGTACGTATTCTCACGAAATTCCAAATTGAAAAGCGGGTTAACCAAGGAAGCGGTTTGCACGGAAATTGTTAAACTCGTGAACGATCACACAATTAATAATCAATATGAATTGTATCAAAATACAGTTTACAATCAAAACAACCCGTGAAGATCCGGGTTAGACTAGGTCTTCAGCAACCCATGCTTGTCGTAATAGGAGACTATGCTTGTCGTAAGATGCGACTAACGGGATCGGTTGGATAGGCTCGCTGACTTGGTTGATTCATGTCATCATATCCCAATTGCGTGGATCGATGCCCATGATGTCAATCACTGAATTGTCTGGTTCAGACTCGATTATGTACAGACCACCGTCATATAGCTGGGATATTGCTGAGTGCGGCGTTAAGCAACAAACCAAACCAAAAAACTATTTGTGTGTGTGTGTTTATCAATAAGACCTTGTGCTGATGTCCACATTTCCATTACGTTGTATTGATCAGAGCACAAACACGAGGAAGCTTGTTTCGTGTTTCTCTCCATACTCCTGCCTTGGTAACCAATACAGCATGTTATGTCATTATTTCCCCGGATGTACAATGCCTGATGCTGCACATTGATCAGCTAACACTGCTTACATCAACATGACCTGATAATGTCTGACTGGATTATTTGCCACTATGAGAGCTGGCTTGTAAATGTACGGCTCGTATTGCTGTATTGAGCTTAGTTTCAGTTTGTCATGGATAACTCCCGTTCATTCTGCCAACATTGTATAAGCTCTGATTGGTGAATATAAGATAGGTAAGCGATAAATCGCAAAGAGCAATAAAGAAGGAAGCGTGGTTTATTCTCCCTGTTGTGTTTTAATGTACGATTAACAACTTCCGGCCCACTCGTCGTTTATTTTTTAAATATACGAAAGCTACTCGATAAATCTCAAAGAACAATAAACAATGATGCGTGAATAAATCACGATAAAACATTGTTCTAACATGACGTCATTTCTGGAGATTTCCAACATGCGCTCGCAGCTTGATGACGTCATAAATTGAACGACGTTATTGGTCAACGCAGATTAACGCAATTGCCGAACGATGGTATTAAAAAGTGGGAAAGGCTGTACAAAAAGTTGAAATCCCATGTATCAAATAAACAACTCCCTCTCGTGGTTTTTTTTTTTTTTATTTGAAAATTGCGAAATGTACACTTTGCTGTTCATGATTCTTTCACTCGAGGTATGTGTCAGATGTCATGTGACAAAAGCACAGTCGGACCAGCTTCGTCCACTTTCCTGGAGAAACCCTTTTGGAAATCAATAAATGTACAGTATCACGATCTCTCCGAGGCTATTCGGTGGGAAAGGTCAATGTTTAGACAGAATACAAGGTACTCCATGATTAAACATCGTCCCCGATACACTAGGCCCGTGAAGATCCGAGGTAGAATAGGTCTTCATCAACCCATGCTTGCCGTAAAAGGCGAATATGCTTGTCGTAAGAGGCGACTAACGGGATCGGGTGGTCAAGGCTCACTGACTGGGTTGGTGCATGTCATCGATCCCTATTGCGTGGATCGATGCTTATGTTATCAATCACTGGATCTCGATTATTTACAGACCGACATCATATAGCTCGAATATTACTGAGTGCGGCGTTAAACATCAAACAAACCAAACCAAACCGATACACTAGCACTGTAACCGATACTCACGTGTCATACACTTCAAGGGACACAACTCTGTGATGTAATGTCTTTGACTTATGTGACACCCGTGCCCCAGCAGCCTCCAACACCCGCACCAATCACCATCAACCATATAATGTCATCGTTGGAACCATAGATAAATTTGCAGAACAAAGTAGTAGCAGTCCCTTTCAACTCAACTGCGTCATTGTGTCTAAAACCCGACGATTTCATATAGCAGTGCCACGGACATGTCTTATTGATATACGAAGTGCTGATTGATATCTTATTCTTATCAAAATCACATGTGACTGTTCATATGAACCCTTGTCATCAAACTTTCACCTTGAGACACAAAAGTTGAAGTTTTATTATCCCATACATACATTCTTGTGTTCACGCTAGTTTGTCAAGAGGAAGCTGATGAGTCGTCAACATGCAATGCAACGAGAGTACAAAGCTGCATGTGTTGACCCAGTGGGGCACTACGGTGTTAGACGAGATGGTGCTGTCCCGTGGACTGTGGTTATTACTCACCTATATCTTGCAGCATTCAGTTAACGGTAAGTACAAATGTTATCAAACCAAATTGTGATCAAGCTATTACCAAGAAACACAACTCAAAATAATAGGTTTAAATTCAGTTTCGGCCGAACAATTGTTGTGTTCTTTATTAAAATGTCTTGTCCCTTTCACCTCCGATAAGTGTGAATCAGTTTGAAAGGGAATACAAATTTAACTGTGATACCTTTGGCCTTAAAATGACAGAAAACTACTATGATCTGTCTTGACAAGTTGTTTGATAGTCAGCTTATAAGGTGCCGGAACTAGCTGTGCAGAATTAAAAGCATTAGGCGTGCCAAGATACATGGTCATGAGTTCGAATCATGGATTCGCAATGTTTATGGTCCGTGCTTTGTATGTATTAAATAAAGTGGGTGTGTAAATATTGCAATCGGTTCTCACGACAAATATGGGATTCCTCGGGTGTGTTGCTAGCGTGAGGCAGGCATACGAGGTAGGAATTTTAAAATAGGGATTCTCACTACAGGAGGCAGCTGTCCAGATGATGTTGTCTCTGTCAGTGGAGGTAAATGCTACTTCATTGCAAATACTTCGAAGAAATCGACTTCGGCTACACACTATTGCAACGACAACTATAAGAACAAAGCTTTCCCGGATACTCTGGTAGCTAACAACGAGATCAAGTCACATCTTCTACGGCTAAACCCTACTTGTGAGTATGTTACAACTTTCCATAGTCCACAGCCAACAGCCAACCGTATATGATCTTGTGGCACCAACAAATGCAATCAGTAGTTTAATACCACTTATGCAAATGACCGGGGGGGGGGGGGGGGGGGGGGGGACTTTATGGAGTAGTATTAAACGTTTATTACAGTATCGCAGTCGAAACTCTGGGGTGCCACCGTCTGTCTGGGTGACTTACCTTCATGAACATGTTTCTGATAATGAGTTTGATACATCTGTTGCAGATTTTATCAGACATCATGATCCTCTGAATTGTGAGAAATGTAACGAAACTGAGGTGCTATCAGATATGATTACATATGAGGAAATATAACAAGTATTGAACACTTTAAAATTTTGAAAGGCACCTGGATCGGATGGAATACCACCCGAGTTCTACAAATATTGCATGAATATCGTCCTATACTTAAATATACTTTTCAATGCCATTTTAAAGACAGGGACTTTCCCTTCTGCCTAGAATATTGGCCTTATTATTCCTTTGTATAAATCTGGTGAGTCAACAAATCCTAACAATTATAGAGGAATATCCCTCCTAAATATAATGGGAAAAATGGGCAATGGAGGTAAAAATGGTAAAATCAAATATTATTGTTTTCAGAAATGGTGTGTATCTTAACAAAGTGGAAAAAATAGTTTTATAAATCTATGGAAATGTCAGCAATTTCACATTATAAATACCTGGGCATTATATTTTCTTCCAGGTTTATCTGGTCTAAAGCTTGTGAGACTATTTCATTACAAGCTAAAAAGTCATGTTTTCCGTTATTTCAACTTATGAAAACTTATCCAGATATATCTTTATATCGGATTTTGCATTTCAAGAGTGTTCAGGCTAAATGACCATCACTCAGTATGTGCTGCTGTACTTATAGCTATTCTTCGTGTGAGTTAATGAAAGTATTACTGACTTTATGGCAGCTGTTAAAGCAATTTTATCTGGTATCAATGGTTCACAAAGTGACATAGTTTATGAAATATTAAAGTTGGATACATTTTTTAACTCAAAGTTTATTACGTGTGTTATTGTGTGGATTCCAGCTCATGTTGGGCTGCATGGAAAATAGACAGCTGACGAACTTGCAAACTCTCGCTTGCAATATCCTGAGGTTAAAACATCGGAATTCAGATCTCAAACAAAAGATTTCGACTTAATGTCAGCAAAAACATTCAACACAAGCAGGGAATAGTTGTCGGGTAATTGGACAAGGGGCTGACATATGAATTCAATTTGTCCTTCTTTTAAAACAAATAAGATAATTCGTCGACGGAATTCTGAAGAAACGTGAGGAGGTCATTATTACAAGACTTCGTCTTGGACACGGTGGGCTAAATGCTTCCTGCATTGTCATTGATGAAAAGGTTACACTATTTTCATGGTTCAACTCAGCGGGCAATATTAGGCTTCGTGACTTCATTAAATTAAGTGTATATCAACATTTTGTCCTTTTTCTTGTCTGACCTGTTTTTTATGGAATTATTTCTTACTTTTCAGAAATGAAATAGTGATTACCTGCTGTTTTAATACATAAGTTGGATCATGAAGTAGATGCGTTCATCATCTCAATTCCATTACTCGGTTTGCTCTTGTTTAAAAACATTGGATGTGTTGGGCCTTTAAAGTCGCCCTTAAACCCAAATACCACACCTTACCACATAATACAAATCCATTCTGGTAAGCTCTGAACTCTGTCCACGACAGCATTTTCTACCAGAAGTTTGATCATTTGCTACCATTGATAGTTACTATAAATATACTTACAATAGTTTCTACCGACACTAACATTCCTAACATATAACTTTATGCATTTCTGTAACGTCTGATACAGTCCATTCAAACCACCAGGCAACACTGCGGCTGAATATCGTTACTGGATAGACCTCCGTCGTACAGAGGCCATACCACACTTCCATGTCGGCAGCAATGCTACAAGATTGCCCTATACTGACTGGAACCCGCATAAACCTGTCCCTGAGGATACATTTGGCTCTCACAACTGTGGTATCTTCGCCTGCTCTAAGAACCTGTACTGGTGGGAAAATATTAGTTGCAGCAAATCAAGAAACTTCATCTGTGAAATGAAAGGTTGGTATTTGTCTTCAGGGACCATGGCTTGTCATCAGAAGTGACTAATGGGATCAGGTACTCAGGCTCGCTGAGATGGCTGATGCCCATACTCCAATTGCGTGGATCGATGCTTAGGATGTAAGTCACTGGATTTTCTTGTCCAGACTCGATTATTTATAAACCGCAATCATATAACTGGAATAGCGCGGCGAGTAGGGTTAAGAAGCAAGTTAAATGATATCACAATGGAATGTACACGACTGAAAATCGCTACCACTATCTATAATAAAGGCATGCGGGGGAACAGGGGACCCCTGGGCGCTGCAATTCGATGTGCAGGGTTGCAGTCCCTTTGGCACACCAGAAACACATGGTCATAGGTCCGAATCCCAGATAATGTTTCTAGTCCCGTGTCCCGTGGGATTCACCAAAGTGTTGAGTGAGTTGGGTTTAACGCGGCTTTCAACAGTATTCAAGTTCAATCGCGGCGTGTTAGCTTAATGTGGGAGGAAGGCCCGAAGTGATGAAGGTCTCAGACGTTTACCACTTTGGTGAAACTCACGAGCATGGGTATGGTGCTGACAAACCTATAAACATAATCGGGGCGAACCGGGATTCGAATCCACAATCATAGGTCTCTAGACAGCGAATTGCGGCGCCTTAGACGACTGGGCCACCTGTGCTCCCACCAAAGTGGTGAAGGCATAAAACCTGGCTTTTTTCCCACACCAAGTGAACACGCCGTGATATGACGAGAATACTGTTCAAAGCCCCGTTATTCCCCATTCACTCACTCTAAGCAATGACTTGGACATTCTATAAAATGAGGACATTGATTGATATGGCAAGTCAAGATCTGTTAGCGAGAGTGTCTGTGTCTTGAGGGTATCAGATAACATGTCTCTATCACGAAGGTGTTCTTTCTTTTCAGAGTGCCCACACAGTTGTAACCCTGCAGCTGGTAAGAACTGACTTTCACTATTGTGTGAGTTTCTTAGAGCATTCCTAGAGTGAGGGCCAAACATGTTCCCATATACCAGTGTATAATTCAATGTTCATGTTTATTGCTAACACTATGGATATTTCTTAAAAACCGCACTTTGCACTTTTTATCATAACCGTGCGTGATATTCCTTATCGGCGGAATGGCTTGTTTTGACTAAGACTTAATAAGAATTAGCACACATGTAGCTATCTTCGTTAATTAATCATCGCGATATTTCGTGATTCTATTCAAGGTTGCGAGGACTATAGTACACATGTCTATACACCCACACACGTGTGCACGTCGCTATGTGAGTGACATAGTCTTGAACGCAAAGTAAATCGCCATCTCACATCACCTCATTCTATTTGTCTGTACAGAAACCTCGACGACTGCTGTTGTTAACACTATGGCGTTTCCGAATACAACATCAACGACACAGGATGTGACAACAGTGGAGCTCATTTCTAATACAACATCAGTGGACACGGAGAATGTGTTATCCAATACAACCATGCCAACACAATTTCGTAAGTATGTGCATGTATTAACGTTAACACACCGTAGGTTGTGGGGAGCTTACTTAAAGTGGCATGTGAATACAGAACTGATGATATAACGTAAATTTAACCGTTGAGGGCAAAGGAGGCCTTCGGCGAAAACCGTTATTGTTTGACAATCGTTTGTTTTATCTACCGACAGGGCAGGTTTACCCTTTCCGCGAAAACATGTTGTCACCACCGATTTTGTCAGTCATACAATAATATAATGTTCATCACTATTTTGTTATTCAATTCGCAGATAAATGTAGACTGATTATTCTCTGACAAGTTATATTTCCATGCTTACGCCCTCCACGGCGTGAGGATAAGGGAACGGAGTCTGTTTCTCAAGGTGGATAAAGTTACTCAAAAACTGTTTAAGTTTGAGAAATGAAAGAAACTACTGACGTTACAGGAATGGAAATGTGGTTGCTTATCTTGGAGATACTAAGAAAGCCTGAGTTTTAAAATTTGTGTCATAAATTATTTTCTCGAGATTAGTTCCCTTGCTCCATGTTTTTACGGCATGTCATTTTACTTCGTGCATAGTGTCTGCAATGGGTTGTTCTCAGAAACTCCAGTTATTATTATTATTATTATTATTATTATTATTATTATTACCGTTATTTTCATTTAAATTTTATTTTAGACATGGGTTCAACTGCCAGTGTGTTTGAAGCATCTCTCAAGACAGCCATGCTTATGATTCCAGTCCTCCACTTCAGTTCATAAAGGCAAAACACCACACATGTACTTGTAGGGTCACGAAATAAATATATGTGCACGCAATTTAGTTACAGTACTCTACGGCGTCTTAATAATATAATGCCGGACGTCATATCGTATTTCAAGGTTTTCTTATATCTGTTGCATCACGAGATGCCTAAGAGGTCCATCCTATAGCTAGACTGCATTCAAAGCCAAAACAGGTTCCTTGACAGTGACGGATTTACAATGATGTATTTTCAATTTAGAATTGACGTTCACTTTGCGTGTGTTAAAAGAAGTAGGGCGAAACTGTATGAACCTCTGAGCTAGCGATGACGTTCATACAATGTTTGACCCTCTGTCTTTGAAGGGCCCGTGAAGATCCGGGGTAAAATAGGTCTTCAGCAACCCATGCTTGCCGTAAGAGGCGACTATGCTTGTCGTAAGAGGCGACTAACGTGATCGGGTGGTCAGGCTCGCTGACTTGGTTGAAACGTCTTCGATCCCAATTGCGTGGATCGGTGCTCAGGATATCAATCACTGAATCTCGATTATTTACAGATCGCCGTCATATAGCTGGAATATTGCTGAGTGCAACAATAACCTGCAGTAACATCCTTGAAGTTTGGTAATAACAAATAGATCTAAACAATACCCTGCAGTAACATCCTTGAAGTTTGGTAATAACAAATAGATCTAAACAATACCCTGAAGTAACATCCTTGAAGTTTGGTAATAACAAATAGATTTAAACAATACCCTGCAGTAACATCCTTGAAGTTTGGTAATAACAAATATATCTTAACAATACCCTGCAGTCACATCCTTGAAGTTTGGTAATAACAAATAGATCTAAACAATACCCTGCAGTAACATCCTTGAAGTTTGGTAATAAGAAATATATCTTAACAATACCCTGCAGTAACATCCTTGAAGTTTGGTAATAACAAATAGATCTAAACAATACCCTGCAGTAACATCCTTGAAGTTTTGTCATAACAAATAGATCTAAACAATACCCTGCAGTCACATCCTTGAAGTTTGGTAATAACAAATAGATCTAAACAATACCCTGCAGTAACATCCTTGCGGTTTGGTAATAACAAATAGATCTAAACAATACCCTGCAGTAACCTCCTTGAAGTTTGGTAATAACAAATGGATCTAAACAATACCCTGCAGTAACATCCTTGACGTTTGGTAATAACAAATAGATTTAAACAATACCCTGCAGTAACCTCCTTGAAGTTTGGTAATACCAAATAGATTTAAACAATACCCTGCAGTAACCTCCTTGAAGTTTTGTAATAACAAATAGATCTTAACAATACCCTGCAGTAACATCCTTGAAGATTGGTAATAACAAATAGATTTAAACAATGAAAATGATACACTGATTTCAAGTGCACGACGTCAATGCGACGGAAACGACAAATGTATTTCTACGTGTAATCTTTCTCTTGAATGTTACTTCGAGTACATCACATGATTTTCATGTTGGGACCCGTGATGATCCGAGGTAGAGATGGCCTTCAGCAACCCATGCAAACGGATCGGATTGCCAGGCTCACTGATTTGGTTGATGTATGTCATCGTATCCAAATTGTTTTGATCGATGCTCACGATATCAATCACTGGATTGTCTAATTCAGACTCGATTATTTACAGACCGCCACCATAGAGATGGAATATAGCTGTGTGCGGCGTTAAACAACAAACAAACAAACCTTCCTTGTTGGTGAACATACAAGTGGACCCCAGAATTGCTTCGCCTTGGACCGTTGCAGTTTTATGGTAAATGAGAAAGGCACCAATCCCAACTGTATGTATTTTACAACGCTTTCAACGGAAACCGTGTAGCATTGAACGTGACGTCGAAATGAATATTACCAAACCCCTTCAGAAGCTACTTTACTGCCACTGAAGTGAGGGATGGACTTTGGTTTAAAGCCGTTTTGCACATGATTTCAGTTATATACCACTGCGAGTAAGCTTTATGTGTGTGACAAGTCAAAAGCAATGCTTACCACTTTGGTGAAACACACTATATAAGCTAAATGGTTCTTACAATCCAAGGTCAGGGTCAATCTGAGATTTTAACCTGTGACAGGCGAGTCATGGCTAAGGAAGTTAATTGCATATATAGCAATTTGTTGGACCATTCGCTTCCCTTAAAACAACATGTACGCGTAAATAGAATGTATCAACTCAACAGTAGAAAAAAATATTTAGACAGACAGACAAATTGCTTTCGTATATGTGGCCGTGAGGCCATTTATACAATTATATTTTGTTGTCGTTGAGCATTTTCCCGTTACATTCTGAATAGATACACATATTTGAATTTTATGAAATTTAAGAACCCAAGAGAAAGTTAAAAGAAAACAATTTATTACAAAGCGAAAATAAACAAAAACTAAAACAATTTCTTAATTCCCACTAAATTTTAAATGCCTAGTCCTATTTTCTCTTACTAATATTAAACTTATACCAAACAAATACTAAACTAATCACAATGCTAATTCTAAACTGTTACCAATGCTACTATAAAACGACTACTAAACTACTCCACTCTTAATGCTACTAATAACACTTCTCTACTGTCGTAACTGCTTTCGGGCGTCCAGTGCGACCCTAATACCGTCACCAAATGTATTGCCGTTCCTGGTCCTCATAGTCAATTACGCCATGACATTTCCACTCGCCTTGTCCGCCGCGGCTCAGCTCCGTCAAGGAGTGATTGGTCAAACGACGCTTACTCCAAGTTGTGTCTATCAGCATTCACACTCACATAATAAAGAAACGCAACACCAGTTTTTATATCCACATAGTTTTACTTACTCTCAGCCCATCTATCAATACAGGACAGGATCAGACCGGCCAGACTCGTCACTAACTGGGGAAACTTAGAACGATCGGGATTCGACTCGATCGATTGCAAACCGCGCTCTTCTCTCCTAATGTTGAAGGTATCATTTTATGGTGTTCGGGCCTGTCCTGTCCTTGTCACATGTCACAATACCTCATTTTGATTCGTTAAAAGTTAGATCTGACCTTGAACTCATGTGTGTCGTAATCGGAAAAATACAGAAGCCGACGTGCCATATTGCTCAGCTCTCTATTGATTTTGTGACTCGCATCCGGAAGCTCCAAATGAAATATACCTTGAAACTCTCTATTTGTTTCATTAACTAATGGACGATAACCTGGAACCAATCCAATGATAATTATGAAATGTCCAAAATACACTTGTGATAAATGTGAAATGTCTTTTATCTATTGAATCCTTTCAAACTAAAAGTTCTGTCACAAACTATATCTAATGCAACTCCTCATTGCAGCTATAACGGTTTTATTTGTTACCATTTTCCAATGTTTTTTAGATGCATTTTTAACCTTATAACACTACCAATACTAAGGCTCACCACTAAAACTATCCACTGAACAACACAAACAGCTCTACTCTAATAATACTAATTACATATACTCTGCAAAAAAAGAAACGCAAAAGTAGTAAAATCGTTAATATTTGACAGAGTTTTGCTGACATCCATACAAAATTAAAACCAAAAATTAATTGGCCATTTCTGCATGGATTGTGATTGATTTGTGTGGAAAGAGTGAAGTTTATGTACTTCAGATATCTGGTGAAAAGATGGAAAACTCTCAAAAACACAACCACTTAAGAGCCTGGACCTGAAATACACCAACATAGCATGCACGTACAACATCACTTGTTGGGCTATAAAAACGTTGGGTTTTCATTTGCATCCCATCACAAGCTTACAGCAAGTGAAGAGCGAAAACATGTCACGACTGACGGAAGCTGCGACGTCAATGGTGTCAAGGTCACAGACTCTAACCACAACTGTGATGGAGGTCTTGACAAGTTCGGTTTAGTGACGAGTCACGTTTTATACTTCGCCGTGCAGATGGTAGTCGTCGTGTTAACAGGCATCGCGGGGAACGTCATGCACGAATCTGCATACAGGAAGCGGCCAGATTTAGTGGTGGTAGTGTGATGATGTGGGCAGCCATCTCCTACACTGGTAGAACAGGCTTGGTGCAAGTTCTAGTGAAGTTAATGGGACAACGTTACACGGATGAGACTCTTCGGCCACACGTCCTTCCCGTTATGCAACAAGCGAACGTCATTTTCCAACAAGGCAACGGCCGACCTCAGACAACAAGACTGACAATAGCCTTTTTCAGGAATCACAACATCCAGGTCCTGCCAAGGGCCTCCAGGTCTCCCGATTTAAACCCAATCGAACATTTATGGAGTGCACGGGATCAACGACTGCGAGCACGTCAGCAACAACCACAGAACCTCCGACAGATGGCAAAAACACTGCAGGCATAGTGGGTGAACGTTGCCCAGGCCACAATTCGGGATCTGATTGCTTCCATGGGATGAAGATGCCAGTCAGGTTTGGACTCTTATGGTGATCATACAATACTGAGAACAGATTACCTTCATCAATAACTTATACATCTAAAAACACTTTTGCGCTTTTCTTTGCAGAGTATAATACATATCTACACATTTGTTTTAATTCTTTTATAATGTCATACTTATCTTTTCCGAGACAAGGGAGTTAACTGACTAAAAAGTCCAATTTCCATCCTTATCGAACTAGGCTGATATTATGGAGCTCCATTTTTACAGGACTAACGAGTCTATTCATAGTCCAGTCAAAATCGTGTAACGAACTAGACATCCGGTTCGTAAACAACATGGGTTTCGGTCGACTGCATGATTCGCAAAGCCTGTGTGCAGGGCGTCGACAGATATTTTGTTGTTTTTTTAATTTGTTTAATCAAGGTGCTCAGGTGATTTGATGCACTTTGCGGGGTAAGACCCTTTTTTACAAAAGAGATCTTGATTATCGATCAGATCGTCTTGACTGGGCGCCGCCATTTTTTAAAACCAAATGCAAGTCTTAGTGAAATGTGGGATGGAATCTGATTGGTTGATAGGAGGGACATAGACGGCACATAACTCGTAATACTACTGGCGGCGCTAGGATCGAGCCTGGAAATTCCAGACAACAACTTAATATGCGTTATGAAAGCATAAATAGTAAAAGCTGGACTATATTAAAACACTTTGTCACAATTTTACTCCACAATTACAATACTCATTATACTAAACAGCATAATTTCATTATTCACAATACATTCAACATATTTATAAACTACACAAGTCTACGATACACGTTTTTGCAAAAATGGTAATAATTGTTGAATTTATTTGTCAGGCGATGTTGTTGTCTACACAGAAACATATAATCTTTGATTGTCAATTCTTTCCTGAAGATGATGAAGACTTTGGGCTTTGAAGCAACACTTTCAGATTAGGCCGTACGAAAAAAAAGGGTCATGTTTCTCAGCATCTCTTTTTTAAATTTGTAGGAAGTTCTATTTATGTAATAATAATTTACTATTGCACAAACTAGACAAGAGATATGTACAGAATATGTTAATATGACCTTTTAATAGCAAATAGCACGAACGCCATTTTTGTTCGTCATGTGAGTCATGAAAAATGTGCAAATTCGAAAAGTCCAAGACTGCGGAATCGGAACCGAATTTAGCTTGAAGGTTCAACAAAAAAAATGGTAGGGCCAGTTTGTATATAAAAGTTGGTCGGTGATGAGAAACGGATCAATAACATTTAATGGGAACTGGTGTAAACTTCAGCCTGTCCTGTCAGCAATGCGCGGGCAACTGGTTACAGAGGGTCTATACAGTAAAGGCAGTGTTGATCCACAGGATTATCCCCACGAGAACTCCAAGCATAGACACATCCAGACGGTGTACTCCTGGAAACAATAACAGACTGACGATGACAAGAACTGACTACACTTATATCAATGTTCTGATTTGACTGTCAGTGTTTTTATTTATTCTGATAAAGGGATTACAAATATAAAATGAAGGGTCCCTATTCTTGCACCAATCAATTTAGACACACAGTGAGAACAACATTCGGAATGTACGTCATGCAGAGTTACCTGCACTTGATGCTAGCGCCAGTTAGCCCACAGTGTCAATGACATTATATATATTTCAGATGCAATTTAAAGCACATCGGGACATGCGGAATTATGCTGTAAGATGATTCACATTTAACTGTGTCTTTGGTATATTTTTAGATGCAAGACAAATGTGAATTCAAAAATTATTCCTGATGGATTCTTTGACAAAGAACTTAAAATCATAGAGCGCATTCTGATTGGTTTGTCGTATTTTCGCACATAACATTCATTGATAGAAGGACGAGTCTTCTTGCAGGTTACGGAAAGGGGCGAATGGTGACGGATGAGTGCGAACAACATTCGGGATGTACGTCATGCAGAGTTACCTGCACTTGATGCTTGCGCCAGTTTGCCCACAGTGTCAATGACAGCCTGAGTGGTCTTCCCGGCGAACTGGATCCTCTTGTCCGTGACCTGACTCATGTCATCACATGATTGACGGAAGCAGGTTTTCATGTAACCCCGAAAGTCGGCTGCAAGAATACGTTAAATTGTGTGAGTCCATATTGCACGGATAATAGAATGGTTAATTTGTTTGTTTATTTCGTTGTTGCCTTACGCCGCACTCGTCTATTGTCCAGCTATATGATGGCGGTCTCAAAATAATAAAGGACCCGTGAAGATCCGAGGTAGAATAGGTCTTCAGCAACCCATGCTTGCCGTAAAAGGCGACTATGCTTGTCGTAAAAGGCGACTTACATGATCGGGTGATGAGGCTCGCTGACTTGGTTGATTGCGTGGATCGATGTTATGTTAGAAATAAATGGATCTCGATTATTTACAGACCGCCGTCATATAACTGGAATATAACTACAACAAACAAACCAAACCAAACCAAACCAAACCAGTGATATTAATCACTGATTGGATGGCATTACAAACAAACCTTCTTACCAGTGTCAGTGAGGAAGATGCACGGGATGCCACTCAACCAGAAGGTACGGTGGTCGCTTCTCATAAGGTCCGAGTAGGTGATGGTTTCGCCGACAGTAACAGAAGGCCCAGTTAAGGTGGAGATGTAAACCTTCTCCATGCCAAACTCCGGCTGACCCAGAGCGGTGTAGGATTGAATGAAAGAGTTGAGAACAGCTGAGTCAAAAGGACGTCCGATGACTGTCAGGAAGTCTCCTTTGTTGTTGTTTGAGGCGATGCTGCTCACAACGCTGGGAAACAGCTGCAACAAATGCATGAGTCTTTTCACGGAAGTCAGAAACCACTAGCTATACCAAGGTGGAATGTACAAAATCGAGTGTGGACCAGATAAACCAATGAAAGAATACACGAGCAACTCTTTGCTTGTTTGTTTTTGTTTAACGCCGCAGTCAGCAATATTCCAGCTATATGACGGTGGTCTGTAAATAATCGAGTCTGGACCAGTCAATCAAGTGATTGACATCGTGAACATCGATCCACGCAATTGAGATACGATGACAGCCATCCATGTGTCAAGGTGACAACATGCTATCAACTAAGTTATCGAGCAGTCGTGTGGATCCAATTAGTCGCCTTTTCACGGCAAGCATCAGAGTGCGAGTCAAGTGATGGGATAATCCGTCTCGATGACTTGGTTGATTGTGCTAGCATTACATAGCCGGGTTCACGACATTGAGTCAGACGGATCTTCAAGCCTAGATACAAACTTGGACTTTCAGGTATGAATATGAGTACTCCGAAATCGTTTAGATCTTTAATAAATACTTTTGTTTTAATAATTAGAAAATGGACGATGAGGTAACCCAGTAGTTAAAAATAAAAGCTTTCGCTCGTCACGCAAAAGTCCCGAGCTCGATTCTCCACATTGGTAAAAATGTGTGAAGCCCTTTTCTGGTGTCCGCCGCCATGATCTCACTGGCATATTGTCCCAGTTTTGACATTTTACTTATGTGTTCGATTCCCGACATGGGTACAATGTGTGAAGCCCATATCTGGTGCCCGTGATATTCCTGGAATCGAACTCACTCACTCACACTCAAACGTTTTCAGAAGTCGATGTCAATCAACGGCATTGACTAAACAATTGTAGGTTCAATCTCAATTACTAGCGACAAAATCTATCCAATTCTTCAGTGGTGTGGAAACTGTCGCAATCGCATTGTTAAATGACGTCAATTGGATATGATTTATGTCACTGCAAACTGAAAAGTTTGGAAAACTAAAACGTTACCATGTTAAATCCAGTAGGTAGACTCTGTGATTCCGCGCTGTTATCGAAGTTCAATATATTGTCCATCACAATGACGCCGATTACTGTTGGTAGCGTGGACCAATATGAATTCACCCATCCAGTAATAAACGTACTACTTCCGCATCCAAGACTTGTGCAGGCTGGGAATGCATCTACAATGAAATATATTAAAAGAATTGAACTTTTTCTAGGATATGTAGGATATGTATGAGCACGGTAAACTGCCGCGCCAAACTTTACTATAGCGTCGCCCAGTCGTCTAAGACGCTGCACTTCGCTGTGCAGAGTTGCGTTCCTTGAGCATGTCAAAAACCCTGGATTGTGGTTCGAATCCAGGTTCGCCCCGATTATGTTTCTAGGTTTGTCAGCACCATACCTGTGCTTGTGCGTTTCACCAAAGTGGTAAACGTCTGAGACCCTCAATACTTCGGACTCCCACATTAAGCTAACACGCCTTGATATAACTGGAATACTGTTGAAAGCGGCGTTAAACCCAACTCACTCACTCAATGTGGAGGCATATAGGTCTTAATACTTAATGTGCTAACAGTTTTACATAAAACTATAATTAACGGTATTTAACTTTTTCTATGTTGGTGTGAATAATGTTGAGCAAATTTATCAAACAGGCATAGTTACGTATTCCCTTAATTTCTCATTCAAATCCCTATTCCACTGATAAATTACGTTATACATTAATATGACGCCACGCAAAAAGGTTACACTACAGTGACGTCATATTTTAAAGACCTTACAGCGCTGCCTCATTCCGTCATGCTGTGAGCCATGCATGGATTGTAAATGGGAACATCTTACTTCTGGTATGGTTTATTACGCCGAATATTTAACGATCTATGATTCATGTTTTTAGTCTGTAATTCATCGGTTCATATTGGCGAAAGTATGACAAACCATGCAAAACAGAAAACCTTATCATGTTTTTAACGCAGCTTTGAACAGTATTTCAATTATATCACGGCGTATCATGTTACCACTTTACCTGTAACCTCACATGTCGTGTTAAGTTCTGTAACTCAGTTTTCCAACATTTGTTCAGTTTTACATGTCATGACTCCAGCTGGTACATGCTGCACGTGGTTTTTCGCCAGAACGCTTTGATCGAATTCCTTCGACCGCGACACGCAGTATTGTTTTACTTTAAGGTACTTTGATGTTTCCTATGCTTTCTAATATTCCTGGTATTTAAACGGTTCATAATGGATAAAACACGCCTTTTCGGTTTTGGTTGAAAATGTAAAACCTTGATCTCGGGAAAAGGCCTCGGGCCAACGTCTAGCGGTTTTACATTTTCAAGCAAAACCTCGGAGGCGTGCTTTATCCTATGCATCATACTCCTGGCGAATTTGGCATTCGAACACCCGCGATCATAAGTCAAAGGGGGTACTAAGGGACGCACCTCCCCACAACGAATTTCTTGGTCTTTAAGGACAAGCCTACCGGCGCTGGTAAACAATCCAAGAGAGACAAGGTTCCAATGATCCAATTGCTGGGGGGCGACTAATGTAGTGATGAAGTACCAATGTGGCTACTATTATCGCTGGCTACATTTAGCTGACGGGAACCCGAAGGTGTCATTGTTGTTCTAATGGGTAGGGAATTAACATGCAAAGTCATTTTTAAGGGAGAAAATATACGTTTTTTGTCTTGTTGTAAATTGCTACAAATATATTCAAACATTCAGCTCCGGGCAGAAATATTATCAATAAATAGATGGAAAACCTGTTTGAGTGACCACCTGGAGGTGTTATTGTTGTTATGCGTTGAATTCATGTTAGGTCCTAGTTTGTTGGGGGAAAACATTGCTTTAAAATATTCAAACCTGTTCCGGGCTCCAAGAAGTCGAATGCAACAAACACCACGGTGTAGTCTCGAGTAAACTTGGCGAGATGTTTGGCCGCCTGCAACATGCCCACGACCCCTGCTCCGTTTGCATTCACGCCTGAAAAAATGGTGAATGCAGGTGAGATGAAATGGGGTCTAACGTCGCGTCCAAGATTATTGCATGCACTGGTGTGTGTGTGTGTGTGTGTGTGTGTGTGTGTGTGTGTGTGTGTGTGTGTGGCTGCTTGTACTAGTCCAGACTGATGCCGATTACCATGCCGCAGTTTAACATGAATACCCCACTCAGACACAGCATACTGACTCCGAGACGGCCAGTCTTTGTTTTAGCCCCTCAATGCCGAGCGCCAGACAGGGTAACAACAAGTACCATCTTTTAACGTCTTTTGGTATGACGCGGCCGGGGATCGAACCCCGGACCTTCCGCTCCGCTAGACCACGGAGGCGGCCGGTAAATAAAGTAAACTTTCATATTTGACACATATTTCTCATGTTTAAAAGGCGAAATTATGATAAAGTTTAATGTAGAATTAGGTACATATATCGTTGGTTGAGAACATAATAACTGTCCAATGTACAAGGTCGATGATCGATGAGATGGGCACATGACTGTTAACATTTCAGGTAGCGCCTCGAAGGCAACTTGGGCAGTTACTCCCCAGGGAGCTGAGACTGAAATTCGAGTGTACACTCATACATTGATGACCAGATTTCAAATGGTATGTGGGCGGTGGGGTAGCCTAGTGGTTACAGCGTTCTCCCGCCGAAGTCCCGGGTTTGATTCCCGACATGGGTACAATGTGTGAAGCCCATTTCTGATGTCCCCGCCGTGATATTGCTGGAATATTACTGAACGCGGCGTAAAATCATACTCACTCACTCTAATAATATGTAGCGCCGCTAAACAGCAGTACTAGTTAGAATTTAGGCACATCATAAACGGCACTAGTAGTAGTAGTAGTAGTAGTAGTAGTAGTAGTAGTAGTAGTAGTCCCGTAAAGACCCGGTTTAGAATAGGTCTTCAGCAAACCTTGCTTGTCGTAAATGGAGGTCAGGCTCGCTGACTTGGTTGATGTATGGAATCGTATCCCAATTGTGTGGATCGATGCTCATGATGTCAATCACTGGATTGTCTTGCCTAGACTCGATTATTTACAGGCCGCCGTCATTCATGAATAAAGTTATGATGTAAAAGTATTTCCTTTTAATATATCACAAGTGAGGGTTTGGCAACACAAACTCACCTGGAGTATCCATCGCAGTGTCGTAATGAGCGGCGACTCCAACTATCCTGTCATTTGCTGTTTTGAAAAGCTTTCCTTTCGAAATGCCAATAACGTTGTTGCCTTTGACCTGAAATAGAGAAACTATCAGTTAAAGAAATTTGAATAAAAACAACTCGTCCTAGCATAATAAGTATATCGATGTTTTTATCGATGAAATTCTCAATAGTTTTAAGTTACACTGACGGGAAAATATTTAAATTTTAACGTGACTGAAATATGTTGGCGTTTCGTAAATTGACTCAGTGAAAATTAGGCCCATTACCACTTGAATGATTTTACACATTGACTGTATCATATATGCATCAATTATCCACATGTATATAACCTTCCTACTTCACATTTCACCGAAACATTACACCGAAACGTCACATTCTTTGTAATAAAGAAGTTGTATATCCATAGAACTATCTCCCTTGCTCAATCAAAAGTAGTATCAGAAAGGTCAAAGTGTGCGTAGCACCGAGACAAATTCCATGGAAGTGTTATGATACCTGCTGACGTACACGCAGTACCACTTCGGTAACAAAGGACGTCAATAGGGGCTGCAATAGTTAGAGGTTAATCTATGGCAGTTTTCATATCACATCCCATGTCAACCCGATACCGAATATCAGCCCGATTTGAAAACTGCCACATACTAACCTTTTTATCATATACCATAACATAAAATTGTAAAATGTATCTATTTGTAAGTGAATTCCAAACAGTTTCACCTTGTTTGGAAGTCATTGGCTCGGGAAAGCTTGCTGAGCAGACGAGCAGACGACCACTAAGGGACGTAACTCTTGCCACCCTGGCTTATATCGCTCGCCCGTTAAAAATGCATTGACAAACCATATCAGCCCGGCAGAGGATGTAATACGTGTCTGGTTATTACAACCCCTATGATAGGAGCCTCTCCACGTTGGCTCTATTGCAAATGCAAAATGCCTCGTGTCATTGCTAGGGGTATGATAAAGAAAGTTATTGAGGAGTGCATTATTAAATAGTAGTGAGGGGAGAAATAGTGAACGTTATTTAGAAATGCTTTATGGAACATACGCAGGAATGCAACATTGAAAGTTATTGAGGAGCGCAGAATGCAGAACGTTTTTTAGCATAACACAATGGACTTTTTTGAAAAGTGTACGTTTAGTTGCATACGAACATGCAATCTATGAGTTTTAAAAAATAAAAATAAAAATTTGTATGCGTGCGTGTGTGTGCTTCTTGTGTAATCTCGCACTCAGCAGTATTCCAGCTTTATGACGGTTGCTTGTAAATAATCGAAACAAACCCGTGATTGATATTGTGAGCAACGATCCACACTGTCGGGATACGTTGACACGCCTTCAACCCAGTGACCAAACCTGAATACCCGATCCGAGAAGTCACCTCTTATACCCAGAACAGGTTGCCGAGGACCAATTCTTAAACGGGATCCCAACTGGGGACATAAGCATACTAATGCTGGGTAATGTTAAACGTTGATGACGTTACCGTGGAGACACCTGCGGCAAAAGTATGTGTGTGGGTCTCCAAGCCGTAGTCACCGAACTCCTTCAAGATGAAATTCTTTGCCGCCTCTTTGTAGGTCGAGCCTGTGCCGTGGTTCCGTGACTGGGAGAAGTAGCCCTGAATGGTGGTCTTCATCCAGACAGTGTCTACATCAGATGTGCCAAGGACAGACCCTATGGAGGAAATATGGCACATATTACAGGTCACGCACAACACGTTTTGGGATCTTAGATCGTGCGCACAGTCTTAGGACAACAGGTCAATATATTTTTGAGATTTGCGATGTTATTGAGTATTCCATGCACGGAATTTTCGTTTCAACCTACGTTGTTATCGTTATGAGATACAAACGTTATCAGCCATGTTCCGTACATCTCAGTCTTGACACAGACATGGCGTCACTCTGGAATGTTATGACGTCATGATACCTTGTATGACAACACGAATACACAATAATACTCGGAAATATCAAAACACACCCTGTCCTAGCTGCTTTCGGGCGTCAATTGCGACCCAACTACAGTTACTGAAAGTATTGCCGTTCCTGGTCACCATGGTCAGTTAAGCCATGACTGTGCAACTCGCCTTGTCAACATCGGCTCAGCTCCAAGGAGTGATTGGTCTAACGACGCTTACTCCAAGTTGTCTCCATCAGCATTCATACTCTCATAATAAAGAAACGCAACACCAGCTTTATACTCACATGGTATTACTAACTCTCAGTCCATCTATCAATAACACGACAGGATCAGACCGGGCTCGTCACTAAATGGGAAAACTTAAATCGATCGGGATTCGACTCGATCGACTGCAATCCGCGCTCTCTTCTCCTAATGTTGAAGGTATAATTTTACAGTGTTCGGGCCTAGCCTGTCTTTGTCACATGTCACAATACCTCATTTTGATTCGTTAAAAGTTAGACCTGATCATGAACTCATGTTTGTCGTAATCGGAAAAATACAGAAGCCTACGTGCCAGATTGATCATCTCTCTATTGAATGTGTGGCTCACTCTGGATGCTACAAATGAAAAGTATCTTACCTCTCTGCTTGATTCATTAACTTATCGACGATAACATGGAACCAATCCAATGATAAATATGGAATGTCCAGAATACTCTTGTGATAAATGTAAAATGTCTTTTCTCTTTTAATTCCTTTCGAACTAAAAGTTCTGTCACGGACTTTGTATATCTCATGCAACTCATTATTGCAACTATAAACGGTTTAATTTGTTACAATTTAGTTATCATTTTCTAATGCTTTTGAGACGCATTTTAAGCTTATAACAATACTATTTATCGATGCTGGGAGAGAATGTATCTGGAAAAGTAACCATGCGCAGTAAGTAATGTAAATCTTGAAATTAATGTGACTCCAAATTAATGCGACTGCTGACCCCGAGTCTAGTAGTTCAGGGTGAATCAGCCGTGAATTAGGAAGTGCATTGGATATGTTTTCAGTGCGTCTATTGCTAGAATGAAGTTGTACAGACGATACTTAAAGAAAATAAATTAAATCGTCAAAGATATCGGTTTTATCTATGACAGAGGATGAGTCGAATATTGCTCAAGACAAATGTCAATGGTAGTTCATTGTAGCTGTGAATTCGCTGCAATGTGACATCGCGACGTGAGGACATAGCTCTGTAGGATGAAGGAAAGACGGAAATGCGAACGTTTTTAACCAGTTACTCAATTAGCTTGCACCATTACATGTACACTTTGTTATATGAACTTCGTGTCCTCATGTGGTTAAAATATATTCCAAAAAGTTAAATAATATTAATAACACCTCTGTGCAAAATTGTGAAGGTGAGTGATTTCCGTGTATGCCTATACAGTATCACGCCACACACTGTACAACTAAACTCCCCTCTCGCACAAACTGTACAACTAAACTTCCCATCTCGCACAAACTTTACAACTAAATTCCCTCTCTCGCACTAACTGTATAACTAAATTCCTCATTAGCACAAACTGTACAACTAAATTCCCTTTCTCGCACTAACTGTACAACTAAAATTCCTCATTAGCACAAACTGTACAACTGAATTCCCTCTCTCGCACTAACTGTACAACTAAAGTTCCTCATTAGCACAAACTGTACAACTAAATTCCCTTTCTTGCACTAACTGTAAAACTAAATTCCCTCTCTCACACTAACTGTAGAACTCAATTCCCTCTTTCGCATATACAACTAAATTCATTCTCTCGCACAAACTGTACAACGACATTCCCTCTCTCGCCCTGTACATTCCCTCTTTTCCAGTAACCGTACAACTAAATTCCCTTTCTTCCACTGAATGTAAAACTAAATTCCCTCTCTCGCAATAACTGTACAACTGAAGTTCCTCATTAGCACAAAATGTACAACTTAATTCCCTTTCTCGCACTAACCGTCAAACTTAATTCCCTCTCTCGCACTAACTGTAAACTGAATTCCCTCTTTCTCACTAACTGTACAACTTAATTCCCTCTCTCGCAGTAACTGTAAAGTAAACTCCCTCTCTCGCACTAACTGTACAACTGAATGTCCCCATTAGCAGAAAATGTACAACCTAATTCCCTCTCTCTCACAAACTGTAAACTTTATTCCCTCTCTCGCACTAACTGTACAACTTAATTCCCTCTCTCGCAGTAACTGAAAACTGAATTTTCCCTTTCTCGCACTAACTGTTCAACTTAATTCACTCTCTCTCACTAACTGTACAACTTAATTCCCTCTCTCTCACTAACTGTATAATAAAATTCCCTCTCTCACAATTAATGTTAAACTAAATTACCTCTTTTGCACAAACTGTACAACCACATTCCCTCTCTCGCCCTATAGATTCCCTCTTTTCCAGTAACTGTACAACTAAATTCCCTCTCTCTTACAAAATCTACAACTAAATTCCCCCTCTCTCACTAACTCTATAACTAAAATATCTCATTAGCACAAACAGTAAAACTAAATTCCCTTTCTTGCACTAAATGTACAACTAAATTCCCTCTCTCGCACTAACTGTAAAACTAAAGTTCCTCATTAGCACAAAATGTACAACTTAATTCCCTCTCTCGCCCTGACTGTTCAATAAATTCCCTCTCTCGCACTAACTGTACAACTAAATTCCTTCTCTCGCACTAACTTTACAGTTGAATTCCCTCTCTCGCACTAACTGTATAACTAAAATTTCTCTTGAGAACAAACTAAACAACTAAATTCCCTCTCTCGCACTAACTGTTCAACTAAGGTTCCTCATTAGCACAAACTGTACAACTGAATTCCCTCTCTCGTACTAACTGTAAACTAAATTCCCTCTCTCGCACTAACTGGAAACTAAATTCCCTCTCTCGCACTTACTGTACAACAACATTCCCTCTCTCGCCCTAAAGATTCCCTCTTTTCCAGTAACTGTACAACTAAATTCCCTCTCCGCAAAACTAAATTCCCTCTCTCTCAATAACTGTAAAACTAAATACCCTCTTTCGCACAAACTGTAAAACGTAATTCCCTCTTTCGCACAAACTGTACAACCACATTCCCTCTCTCGCCCTATAGATTCCCTCTTTTCCAGTAACTGTACAACTTAAGTTCCTCATTAGCTCAAAATGTACAACTTAATTCCCTCTCTCGCCCTGACTGTTAACTAAATTCCCTCTCTCACACTAACTGTACAACTAAATTCCTTCTCTCGCACTCACTGTACAATTGAATTCCCTCTCTCGCACTTACTGTATAACTAAAATTTCTCATTAACACAAGCTATACAACTGAATTCCCTTTAGATTCCCTCTTTTCCAGTAACTGTACAACTAAATTCCCCCTCTGGAAAACTATATACCCTCTCTCTCACTAACTGTACAACTAAATTCCCTCTTTCGCACAAACTGTACAACCAGATTCCCTCTCTCGCCCTATACATTCCCTCTTTTCCAGTAACTGTACAACTCAATTCCCTCTCTCGCACTAACTGTACAACAAAAATTCTTCATTAGCACAAACTGTACAACTGAATTCCCTCTCTCGCACTAACTGTAAAACTAAATTCTCTCTTTCGCACAAACTGTACAACCACATTCCCTTTCTCCCCTTATAGATTCCCTCTCTCGCACAAACTGTACCATTAAATTCTCTTTCTTGCACTAAATGTACAACTTAATTCCTCTCTCGCACTGAATGTATAACTAAAGTTCCTCATTAGCACAAACTGTACAACTTAATTCACTATTTCGCACTAACTGTTAACTAAATTCCCTCCCTCACACTAACTGAAAACTAAATTCCCTCTCTCGCACTATCTGTACAATTAAATTCCCTCTCTCGCACTAACTGTACAACTTAATTCCGTCTCTCGCACTAACTGTACAACAAAATTTCCTCTCTCGCACTAACTGAAAACTTAATTCCCTCTCTCGCACTAACTCTACAACTAAATTACTTCTCTCGCACTAACTGTACAATTGAATTCCCTCTCTCGCACTAACTGTTCAACTAAAACTAAATAAAATTTCTCGTGAGCACAAACTATACAACTGAATTCCCTTTCATGAACTAACTGTGCAACTAAATTCCCTCTCTCGCCCTAACTGTTCAACTAAAGTTCCTCATTAGCACAAACTGTACAACTTAATTCCCTCTCTCGCACTAACTGTACAACAACATTCCCTCTCTCGCCCTATAGATTCCCTCTTTTCCAGTAACTGTACAACTAAATTCCCTCTCTGCAAAACTAAATTCCCTCTTTCACACAAACTGTAAAACTTAATTCCCTCTTTCGCACTAACTGTGCAACTACATTCCATCTCTCGCCCTTTAAACTCCCTCTTTTCCAGTAACTGTACAACTAAATTCCCTTTCTTGCACTAAATGTACTACCAAATTCCATCTTTTGCACTAACTGTACAACTAAATTCCCTTTCTCGCACTAACTGTAGAACTTAATTCCCTCGCTCGCACTAACTGTACAACTTAATTCCCTCTCTCGCACTAACTGTAAACTAAATTCCCTCTCTCGCACTAACAGTACAACTAAATTCCCTCTCTCGCACTAACTGTACAACTAAATTCCGTCTCTCGCATTAACAGTACAATTGAATTCCCTCTCTCGCACAAACTGTACAACTAAAATTCCTCATGAGCACAAACTGCACAACTGAAATCCCCCTCTCTCACAAACTGTACAACTTAAT